ACTTAGATCTGATTTTAATGAGATTGAAGTAGTGCAGAGTTGTGTCCCTTTATTTACCAGGATCTCATGGACATGCAGGGTTCAAGTTTCTTAGACTGTCAGCATCACTGACTTTTTGTGTTGGCAATTAGGTGCTTCACTCTGGGAGAGTGGGTTCGAATCCCGTATGTTTCCGATCTGTCTTCTCTAGGTATACTTGTGACACAGATTCAAACACCGAGCCCACAATGTTGATGCATGGTCAGAGAGTGATTAAAGTATTCACTCATTATGCTGAATGCCTCAGTTCGATTCTCAAAATGGGTACAAAAGGTCATTTCTGGTTTCCCCCACTGTGCTAAAAACGCTGCGTAGAACCCCCCTCACTCATTGTCACCTGGTCCGGGACACAGGATTAGAGGCAGACAAACATGGCGGTGTCCACCTTGCTGGGATGGTTTCCCCCACTGTGCTAACAACGCTGCGTAGAACCCACCTCACACATTGTCACCTGGTCCGGGACACAGGATTAGAGGCAGACAAACATGGCGGTGTCCACCTTGCTGGGATTTTTTGCCTGAGTTTATAGAGCTCTGTGTCACATAAGCGTGACTACAATGTCACACACAACTTGATGGATTGCGATGCACTGCCAGGTCGACCCTCCGTGCACATGTACATCAGGAAGGCGTGGCAAGCACGTGATGCAGTCATATTTATCATCTATATATATTCATCCAACATCACATGTCTTGTTGCCTGAATATGGTCTACAATAGATAGTATAGCTGTTTTCTCCTTGGCTGAAAGTAGTGTACCGACTATGTCAGGAATGTACAGGTCTGCTATATAAGCTGGAATTCCAACCTGTGGGCTCTGAGTTCATTCTGCATGCATGCACACTGAAGGATGTGTCATGTCATATATTTAGGTTATTACATCCTTGATGTTTGTTTGTTTCTTGTTTAAAGCCCCACCCAGCAATATTCCAGCTATATGTCTGCGGTCTGTAAATAAATAATCGTGTCTGGCCGAGACAACCCAGTGGATGATATCATGAGTATTGATCTACGCAATTGGGATACGATGACACACATCAACCAATTCAGTGAACCTGACCACCAAGCAGGCACAAAAAAACATCTGTAAAAGTATAATGTGTGGACTATATGTAACATCAATAATTACAGGGACTTCCTATTTATTGATTATCGGCAACATATTCATGGTTTAGATGAATAAACTTATACACAAAATGTAGACTTGAAGTTTATGACAGGACCATCTGTGATCATGCTGAACAGCCAGAGGAAACACATGACGAAGCTGCACGTACAGCTGACAGACCAATCAACAGAATGAGGCACATTTGGCTGTCCTTATTTTGTGAGGTTGTTGTAGACAAGAGCCAGAACCATGACAACAGAAGTCAAACAGTTTAATCAAGAAATGATGCTCAGGGCTCCAGGTCATCTTCACGTTTGCAATAATTTACTATGCATTACAATTTATTTTGAGGTGCTTGCATACAAATATGCATACCGTATTTCCTCTATTAGACGCTGGGCCTCTAATAGAAGCCCGGTCAATTGTTCAGTGCAAAAAATAGAAGCCGGGCCTCTAATAGACGATAAATTGATACAATTAATGATCCCTTTTTTGGACCTAAATTACATAATGAGGACTCCCTTTCTCTTCCGGTAACTCCACGTGTGTCGGAAAACGGTCCTCAATCCGATATGTATTAATAGAAGCGGGGCCTCCATTCGACGCCGGGTCAAAGGCTTGTCCGAAATAAATAGAAGCCCGGGCGCCTGATAGACAATTAATACACCTCACAGGGTTAAAAACTGGCACTGGTCCTATAGTCCTGGCCAAACTGCCCAATAAATAAGGTATCATAATGACTAGTAGAAATTTGCCACTTTTATCTGTTTGCTATATGTTATCATAAGTGGACAAAAAATGTTAGATTCTACTGCTGCCTCATTGTAGTTACTCTCTTGTAGAATTAACGCCGCAAAATTGAATTTGGAACAGAATACACAGTATGGGGTATCAAATGTTAGATTTAGCACAGTAACCTATTGAAAACGCAGTAGGTTTATCTCCTAATTGAATATCAAGGGAAAACTATCTATATCCAGTGTGAAAAACATGGGAGTAAATACTGAATGTCTCTAAACCGTTTGTGGATCTGTTTTGTGGAGAGTGTGTGTAGGAGGAGATCACTGTCATCGGATGGCTCCAGAGACCATCTGTGGATGTATATAGAGTATTTTAAGACTACTACATCAATGTCAGCAGCCATTTGTCAAAAGGAGGTTGCATATCCTGGCATTCAACAAAAGGTTTGACCTCCAGTTGTCCACTGGATGTGATCTCAGAAATTACTGTATTCTCTGTAATAAGTGCCCTGGGCGATCAGAAAATTGACGAAAAGGGGCACTTATTAAACCATAAACAAAAAAGGTTCAAAGGTTGAGCAGTAGTGACAAACTTAGTTGAAACGTCTATGAAACTTACACTTTTCCTATAATAGTTACAAGGAGATTGTGTACCTTTTCTCTGCTTCTGTTTTCTGGACAAACATCTGTGAAATACACTAGAGATATGGACCGAAGCATACATTGTCGGCCTTAAGAGGGGTGCCCTAAATCTTAAACTTTAAACATTTTGCTTTTCCCGGATCCCGGGACACTTATATAACAAGCAGATGGAACTATTTTCTGTAACAGGAAGTTAAATCGGCTCATTGTTTTGTTGATTCATTGCCATTGGGTACATGAGGCTGTTGTGTTCGCGGTGTTTACAATGACTGGGTTTCTTCTTGAGGCCTCACAAGTGATAGGAACGTTGTTAGAAGCGTTGCTTTATCTAGCTGTCTTCACATCTGGGATAACAGTGTGTGTGTAGACTGGGTTTGTTCTTGAGGCCTCGCAAGTGATAGGAACGTTGTTAGAAGCGTTGCTTTATCTAGCTGTCTTCACGTCTGGGATAACAGTGTGTGTGTAGACTGGGTTTGTTCTTGAGGCCTCGCAAGTGATAGGAACGTTGTTAGAAGCGTTGCTTTATCTAGCTGTCTTCACGTCTGGGATAACAGTGTGTGTGTAGACTGGGTTTGTTCTTGAGGCCTCGCAAGTGATAGGAACGTTGTTAGAAGCGTTGCTTTATCTAGCTGTCTTCACGTCTGGGATAACAGTGTGTGTGTAGACTGGGTTTCTTCTTGAGGCCTCACAAGTGATAGGAACGTTGTTAGAAGCGTTGCTTTATCTAGCTGTCTTCACGTCTGGGATAACAGTGTGTGTGTAGACTGGGTTTCTTCTTGAGGCCTCGCAAGTGATAGGAACGTTGTTAGAAGCGTTGCTTTATCTAGCTGTCTTCAAGTCTGGGATAACAGTGTGTGTGTAGACTGGGTTTGTTCTTGAGGCCTCGCAAGTGATAGGAACGTTGTTAGAAGCGTTGCTTTATCTAGCTGTCTTCACGTCTGGGATAACAGTGTGTGTGTAGACTGGGTTTGTTCTTGAGGCCTCGCAAGTGATAGGAACGTTGTTAGAAGCGTTGCTTTATCTAGCTGTCTTCACGTCTGGGATAACAGTGTGTGTGTAGACTGGGTTTGTTCTTGAGGCCTCGCAAGTGATAGGAACGTTGTTAGAAGCGTTGCTTTATCTAGCTGTCTTCACGTCTGGGATAACAGTGTGTGTGTAGACTGGGTTTCTTCTTGAGGCCTCGCAAGTGATAGGAACGTTGTTAGAAGCGTTGCTTTATCTAGCTGTCTTCACGTCTGGGATAACAGTGTGTGTGTAGACTGGGTTTCTTCTTGAGGCCTCTCAAGTGATAGGAACGTTGTTAGAAGGGTTGCTTTATCTAGCTGTCTTCACGTCTGGGATAACAGTGTGTGTGTAGACTGGGTTTCTTCTTGAGGCCTCGCAAGTGATAGGAACGTTGTTAGAAGCGTTGCTTTATCTAGGTGTCTTCACGTCTGGGATAACAGTGTGTGTGTAGACTGGGTTTCTTCTTGAGGCCTTGCTAGTGATAGGAACGTTGTTAGAAGCGTTGCTTTATCTAGCTGTCTTCACGTCTGGGATATCAGTGTTTGTGTAGACTGGGTTTCTTCTTGAGGCCTCGCAAGTGATAGGAACGTTGTTAGAAGCGTTGCTTTATCTAGCTGTCTTCACGTCTGGGATAACAGTGTGCGTGTAGACTGGGTTTGTTCTTGAGGCCTCGCAAGCGATAGGAACGTTGTTAGAAGCGTTGCTTTATCTAGCTGTCTTCACGTCTGGGATAACAGTGTGCGTGTAGACTGGGTTTCTTCTTGAGGCCTCGCAAGTGATAGGAATGTTGTTAGAAGCATTCTTCACAGTGTGTGTGTCTGTCTGTGCATGTGTGTGTGTGTAGTGTGTGTAGTGTGTGTGTGTGTGTGCGTGTGCGCGCGCGTGCGTGCGTGTGTGTAGTGTGTGTGTGTGTGTGTGTGTGTGTGTGTGTGTGTGTGTGTGTGTGTGTGTGTGTGTGTGTGTGTGTGTAGTGTGTGTTTAGTGTGTGTGTGTGTGTAGTGTGTGTTTAGTGTGTGTGTGTAGTGTGTGTTTGGAAACCAGACAAACCAGTGATGGTCTTTGCCATAGGGGTACAATGAAACGCAATCAACAAAGTCACCGAGTCTGACTATCCATTAAGTTGCCTCCATTTGGTTGCTGACGATAAATTCTAACAAGGGGAGACAACTCAGTAGTGGTAAAGTAAGTAGGAGGAGTGGGCAGCAGGAATGACGACTGCCACTTTTCATTTATTGAAGGAGGGTCATGCTTTTGGTAATCAACATGATCAAGAAGAATAAAGAACCCTTTTATAAGTTATAATGTTGGCACCCTGTTCCTTGATTCAATGAATGATTTCGTTAGACTTGATGCAAAACATTTCAATATGACTTTGTATAGAAATCTAATGAATTTGACACTTCACTTTCCCATTTATTAATGATGATGGTAAATATTCAGATACAATACCCATTATTGTGTGCACAGATTGACATGTGGAACAACATGGCACTCGGTGGGTCTGATTGGCTGTGTTCGGTCCAGCGTGACGGACACCAAGTTGGTCAACTACAGCCGGAGTCTGTACAGGAAGTTGGAGGCCGAGGGTCATGGCATGGGTAAGTAGGGTGATGTTAAGTGGGGATTAACGTCACGTCCAAGATTATTGCACTCATATATAGTGGTGGGACGATACACTGATGCATTGGTGGATCCCGATATTTCACTTCCCAGTACAAGTTTTGTGTGTTTGTTTGTTGTTTAACGCTGGACTCAGCAATATTCCAGCTATATGATGGCGGTCTGTAAATAATCCAGTCTGGACCAGGCAATCCCGTCATTGACATCATGAGCATCGATCCACACAATTGGGATACGTTGACATGCATCAACCAAGTCAGCAAGCCTGAACACCTGACCCGTCTCTTACGACAGGCGTAGTCGCCTCTTACGGCAAGCATAGGTTCCTGAAGACCTATTCTACCCCAGATCGATACTGCTCTATCGATCACAGTTGCACACAAAGTAAAAAGTATTGATTCTTACCTTAAATGTATTCTTTAATAAATGTTACACCAAACACTAATTAGTAGTGAAAAAGTAAATATTTTCATACTTGACACTGCCAACAGTTAATCATTACTGTGCCAGGTATTTGGCCATCCTGTCTTTGAAAAATATGGGCTATGCACTATAGATACGAGCACATACAAGTATTGTGATAAGTATCGGATTGTGAGCAAGGTATTGTGATACGTATTGGATCGCACAGTTGGTGTATCATCCCAGCCCTACTTATATAGCGACATGCGTGCGTGCGTGTGTGAGTGCGAGTGTCTGCTTGTACTAGTCCGGACTAATGCCGATTTTATGGTGCTAGCCCACTGAGATACCATGCCACATTTTAACATGAATAACCCACTCAGACACAATATTCCTGACTCCCAGCTAACCAGTCCTTGTTTTAGCCCCTTAATGCCGAACACCAGGCAGGGTAACAACAAGTCTCATCTTTTAACATCAATTGGAATGACATGTCTTTCGATAGAACCCCCACTAGACCATGGAGGCCAGACACATTTTGGTCAGCATCAAACACTGGAAGACACTAAATAGAAGATTGTGCCTCACTGTACATGCTGTTACCATGGTAACCTGCTTGTGTTTCCTGCAGGATGGAAACAGTGTGGCAGCATCTCCCTGGCTCGGACCAAAGACCGAATGACAGACCTGCGGCGGAAACAAGCTACCAGCAGGTGAGATGGACTGCCGGCAACCTGACCATGTCGGAAGGCTGATCACCAAACATCTTGTTTAGAGGACATTTCCAAACTGATGCATCAGTGACAACATTTATGTCCGTTGCAATTCCCTATTTTGACTTGTACCATATGTTCCTGTGTTAATACAGGTGAACAATTGACTTGCCTTTGTATGTGTTTGTGACGGGTGCCACTGATGGGGCAAGATGCACTAACCTTTGTGTGAACACCTGGTGTCATCACTATTTGATAGTGATTCATAAACACATGCTTATAATACAGTCGGAATCGTACAACGACTCTGCTTTTGGCAAAGATTTCCTATGAATATGGAAAGGGTTTTGTTGCTTTTACTTCCCATCCTTCTTTAATACTATCTTATTAAAATCACATATTTTTTTCAATACGATACCTGTCTGTATTGATTAAGCACCATGTCTCCTACTCCCATGGACCATGTTCTGTGTTGGTTTTCTTTTATAAATAGCAACAAGGTGGTGAAGAAATGAAACCAATTTGTTTCAAAAAGTTAATGTCTGAAAAGCTCCAGAATCCAAACCCCCACTCCCTAACAGATCCTTCATTTAGATTGGGGAGATCACTCAGGGCCATCTGAAACCACCTTCTGTTGATTGGTTGTCAGATGTTCACGCAGAGAGATATTGTATCGGAGTATAATAAAATAGCCATGACACTCATTTTCTCCCTGAACAGATACGGTGGAGTGGAATCCCACATTGTGAGCCCATCAGAGATCAGCGACCTCAACCCTCTTGTCCGCCATGATGACTTAGTGGTGAGATCTTCCTTGTAATTTCAACTCCTCTAAGGGAGTTCAACTCATTGTTTGTTTGTTTGTTTGTTGTTTAATGCCGCTCTGAACAATATTCCAGCTGTATGATGGCGGTCTGTAAATAATCGAGTCTGGACCAGACAATCCAGTGATTTACATCATGAGCATCAATCTACCCTATTGGGATACGATGACATGCATCAACCAAGTCAGCTAGCCTCACAACCTGATCCCCTTAGTCGCCTCTTATGGCAAGCATGGGTTGCTGAAGACCTATTCTAACCCGGATCTTCTCAGGTCTCAAACTCATTGTACACCAGGATGTGCTGACCAAGTCAGCTAAGACGCCACCTGCTGGCCAAGATTGGTACCTATAATGATCCCATCGACACCAAATGTCTGCATCCCCTCACGGTCCATGTGGCGGCAATTTCTTCCCGATGAAGCCTACAAGATGCAGTTACCACACTAATTCTGGATGTTTAATGACAGGTTTATGATAAATAGATATCCAGAAATTATCTCTAGCACTAGAAACTAACATTTTTCGTCCACGAGTTCTTATAATGATAGCATATAGCAAAACCCTTAAAATAGCAAATTTCTACTAGTCCTTATGATAGCTTAACTATGCAGTTTGGCAAGGACTATGGGACTAGTGCCAATTTATAACACTGCATCCCAGTTTAACTAACTGAAGGTTTTCAGGTAACCAGTAGAACATCACTTAGTGTGATGTATAGAATGTTAGCCATGCAAGGTGAAGTAACTAGTGGCTGGTTCTGTGTAGGGAGGCTTGTACATCCCAGAAGATGGCGTCACCACAGCCCCAGATGTTGCCATGGTGATGAGTGGACTGGCAAAACAGAAAGGTTGGTGACAGTTTAAACTGAGACACAATGTTTACAGAGTTAGAAATTAATGTTTATTTTCAGCATGTTTGCTAGTCTACAATAATGATCTGCTACACAGTTGCCATCTACCTCATGGTAAAAGTCGTAGTTGTCATGGAAATGTCACTAGTCCTCAAAAATTGCTAGTCTAAGACTATCAGACTTATGGTAACTTTGAACCCTGTAATATTTGTCCTACTCCATCTCTACTGGTCATGCAGGTTCAAGTTCACTGATCAACATGTGAACCCAAGCCTCATTCACCATTATTGCTCCTGACATGACCTCACTAGAACAATACCTAGAGCAGTATGACCCAGCTAGAACAATACCTAGAGCAGTATGACCCAGCTAGAACAATACCTAGAGCTGTATGACCCAGCTAGAACAATACCTAGAGCAGTATGACCCAGCTAGAACAATACCTAGAGCAGTATGACCCAGCTAGAACAATACCTAGAGCAGTATGACCCAGTTAGAACAATACCTAGAGCAGTATGACCCAGCTAGAACAATACCTAGAGCAGTTTGACCCAGCTAGAACAATACCTAGAGCAGTTTGACCCAGCTAGAACAATACCTAGAGCAGTATGACCCAGCTAGAACAATACCTAGAGCAGTATGATCCAGCTAGAACAATACCTAGAGCAGTATGACCCAGTTAGAACAATACCTAGAGCAGTATGACCCAGCTAGAACAATACCTAGAGCAGTATGACCCAGCTAGAACAATACCTAGAGCAGTATGACCTAGCCAGAACAATACCTGAAACAATATGACCGAGCCAGAACAATACCTAGAGCAGTATGATAATGTGTAGCCTGTTTAGAAGCTTGGAAATATAAAGGAATTTTATCCAAATAGTTTTTTTCTATTGTTTATAGCACAATTAGCAATATTCCAGCTGTATCATGGCAACCAATATTTAAAAAAAGATATTCTTTTTTAATAATTTGTTTATTAACAGATATATGTTTGAGTCAGGGAAATAAACCAGTGGATGATATTATCTTTATTGTGTGCAACATATGTTGTTGTCTGGACAATCGTCACGGTCATGTGGTTGATTGATCAGGTATATTTGTGTACAATGTAGGGTCCTGTAGGAAGGTGAGCTTCAGTACCCTGGTGTTGTGTTCCAGGTGTGAGGGTGCTGGAGGGTGTGCAACTTGACAGAATTCTCACCAAGAATGATCAAGTCTATGCTGTGGAAACATCCCTTGGCACAATCAACTGTGAATACTTCGTGAACTGTGGAGGACAGGTAGGTGGTGTGGACTCACTCACTCACTCACTCACTCACTCACTCACTCACTCACTCACTCACTCACTCACTCACTCACTCACTCACTCACTCACTCACTCACTCACTCACTCACTCACTCACTCACTCACTCACTCACTCACTCACTCACTCACTCACTCACTCACTCACTCACTCACTCACTCACTCACTCACTCACTCACTCACTCACTCACTCACTCACTCACTCACTCACTCACTCACTCACTCACTCACTCACTCACTCACTCACTCACTCACTCACTCACTCACTCACTCACTCACTCACTCACTCACTCACTCACTCACTCACTCACTCACTCACTCACTCACTCACTCACTCACTCACTCACTCACTCACTCACTCACTCACTCACTCACTCACTCACTCACTCACTCACTCACTCACTCACTCACTCACTCACTCACTCACTCACTCACTCACTCACTCACTCACTCACTCACTCACTCACTCACTCACTCACTCACTCACTCACTCACTCACTCAGCACATAAGAGTTATTACAATATTTCCCCACCAAGCTGGCAGGAGATTTGTATAAACATGTTATTGCTCAAGTATTATGAACAAACAGCCAAAACAACAGTATATTATTATTCATTTCAATCCAACCAACCTGAAATTCAGAATTTCCATTTGATTGGTTTGTGTTAGAAACATGTCATAGTGATCATGTGTGATCACAAGGTGCAGAGTGAGTAAGTGAGTGTGTTTGGTTTTATGCCGCGTACATAGCAATAGTCCAGCAATATCGCGGCGGGGGACACCAGAATTGGGCTTCAAACATATGTCGGGAATCGAACCAAGGTCTTCGGCGTGACAAGCGAACACTTCAACCAGCAGGCTACCCATCAGCCCCCATAAGGTGCAGATGCAGAGACCGACAAGCCATACAGACTTATTGTAAATTTAGCAGCTAGCATCACCAGGTGCTGTGAACATCCAGTGAGGATGCTGCTGCTGCTGAATCCTCAGCAGGTTGTGAGTAGGAACTAAATGATGACTGGTGTCTGCTGCAGTGGGCTCGCGAGGTTGGCAAGAAGTCGTCCCCGGAGGTGAAGGTCCCCCTGCACTCCTGTGAACACTACTACATCGTCACCAAGCCTATTGAAGGCGTACCCAACGACATGCCAGGTACGTATATCTCAATAGTAAGGTCACTACACTGTCACCAAGCCTATTGAAGGCGTTCCCAATGACATACCAGGTACATATATCTCGATAGTAAGGTCACTACACTGTCACCAAGCCTATTGAAGGCGTACCCAACGACATGCCAGGTACGTATATCTTGATAGTAAGGTCACTACACTGTCACCAAGCCTATTGAAGGCGTACCCAACGACATGCCAGGTACGTATATCTTGATAGTAAGGTCACTACACTGTCACCAAGCCTATTGAAGGCGTTCCCAATGACATACCAGGTACGTATATCTCGATAGTAAGGTCACTACATCGCCACCAAGCCTATTGAAGGCGTTCCCAACGACATGCCAGGTTCGTATATGTCGATAGTAAGGTCACGATACCTTACACAATACCATACATGAAAACTTGATTGTTGCTCTGTAAACACTACTATTGGCTTATAAACAGAAGCCCAACCACAATATATCTAGTAGTTTTGAATTGCTGAATTAAAAACGTTTCCTGAAACACGAATGTGACCAACCATGAGATAAGGGACCTTATGGGTGAAACATCACATTTTGACTTTTCATTAAATTATAAAACTACAGCATTACACAAGCTTCAATTCCTATTTATGACAGAGATACATGACATCACACATATCAATCTTCACTCATGTAAGTTGACGTCCAACATCTGTATGACGTCTTAGCACAATTCCTAGCATCCATAAACTGCCTTTTCTCCTTGTGGGTCACAGTTTGTTTTGTTTTTTCCTTGTAATTGACCGTGATGTTTTGAAACTAGGGCAGTACTCCTTCATGAGATACCTGTTGCCACTACCCCTGCTGGTATGTCTGTGTCTGCATCGAGTCTTCCCTGTTTCAGTTATTCGGGACTATGACGGCTACACCTACTTCCGGGAGTGGAATGGGGGGATTCTGGCCGGGGGGTTCGAGCCGGTGGCCAAGCCTGTGTTCACTCACGGTATCCCAGACAAGTTTGAGTTCCAGCTGCTGCCGGAGGATTGGGACCACTTCCGTGAGTAGCTCCCATCCACAGGAATAATGATTTAATCTACAATCCAACACCCCACTCTATCATGTCTATATGTCACTATACTGGGACTGAAATACCATCTCTCCAAATTGATGCATCACTCAGATTCAGATTTATTCTAAGTCCAATGATGGCAGTCTAAAACGGACTATAGACATATGTGCACGTGACTCCATTATTATCCCCCGCCGCGCGAAAGCGCGAAGCGGGGGATATAGTATTCACGACCGTCCGTACGTCCCACCTGTTTGTTGCCGCGATATCTCAAGAACTAAACACTGGATTGTCTTCATATTTGGACCTATGGTGTATATACAGACTCCGCAGACACCAGTCGGTTTTGGTGACCTTGACCCCATTTTCAAGGTCACAGCAGGCATATCTGCTTTTGGAGTTGGAAAACGGTGTTGCCGCGATATCTCAAGAACTAAACACTGGATTGTCTTCATATTTGGAACTATGGTGTATATACAGACTCCGCAGACACCAGTCGGTTTTGGTGACCTTGATCCCATTTTCAAGGTCACAGCAGACAAATCTGCTTTAGAGTTGGAAAACAGTGTTGCCGCGATATCTCAAGAACTAAACACTGGATTGTCTTCATATTTGGAACTATGGTGTATATACAGACTCCGCAGACACCAGTCGGTTTTGGTGACCTTGATCCCATTTTCAAGGTCACAGCAGACAAATCTGCTTTTAGAGTTGGAAAACGGTGTTGCCGCGATATCTCAAGAACTAAACACTGGATTGTCTTCATATTTGGAACTATGGTATATATACAGACTCCGCAGACACCAGTCGGTTTTGGTGACCTTGATCCCATTTTAAAGGTCACAGCAGGCAAATCTGCTTTTGGAGTTGGAAAACAGTGTTGCCGCGATATCTCAAGAACTAAACACTGGATTGTCTTCATATTTGGAACTATGGTGTATATACAGACACCGCAGACACCAGTCGGTTTTGGTGACCTTGACCCCATTGTCAAGGTCACAGCAGGCAAATCTGCTTTTGGAGTTAGAAAACGGTGTTGCCGCGATATCTCAAGAACTAATCGCTGGATTGTCTTCATATTTGGAACTATAGTGTATATACAGACACTGCATACACCTGTCAGATTTGGTGACCTTGACCCCATTTTCAAGGTCACAGCAGGCAAATCTGTTTTTGGAGTTGGAAAACGGTGTTGCCACAATATCTCAAGAACTAATCGCTGGATTGTCTTCATATTTGGTAGTATGGTGTACAGGCGGGGGATATTTCGTCACTCTGTGACAAATACTTGTAATGATAATAATGCAGTCTTCACAAAACATCCAATCCCTCTTATGGGGTTTTCAATTCATACCAACACATCTACTTCATGATAAATACAACAACAATACACAGGGGCGGTCTCAAAAGCAGAACTGGGATGTGAAAATATCACGCCTAATCACCCCTGTATCAAAGCTGTCAACTATCATTTCATGCTCTATCATTGCTCTATACAAGATGGGATATCTGTTTCAGAGCTACTTCTGCTCCTTCATCAGGTGATGCTTAGTATGTGTTGTGTAAATATCATGATTTATATATATGTATGGTACTCTATGCAATTACAAAGCATTCACCTGATAAAGGAGCAGGAAGTAGCTCTGAGCTGTCGTACAAAGAATAAAAGAAGTTGGTTTCCATAAACAAGTGGCATGTATTCTGTGTTCCTGTATGTAACATCAGTGTTCCTGTGTTGCGTGTAGAGATCCTGCTGGATGAGATCCTGCACCGGATTCCCTGCATGGAGACAGCGGAGGTGAGGCAGATGATCAATGGCCCCGAGAGTTTCACACCCGACTCCAACTGGATCCTGGGAGAGTCAGCTGAGGTAACGGACACACTGACTGTAACATGGTGTGCAACTCGCGTGTTGACTTGCGTATTGAAGTTGACTGGCTTACTGATTGACGTGTTGACTGGTGTGTTTACTGGCGTGTTGACTGACGTGTTGACTGACGTGTCGACCGATGTGTTGACTGACGTGTTGATTGACGTGTTGACTGATGTGTTGACCGACGTGTTGACTGGCGTGTTGATGTTGACCGACGTGTTGATGTTGACCGATGTGTTGACTGACGTGTTGATGTTGACCGACGTGTTGATGTTGACCGACGTGTTGACTGGTGTGTTGATGTTGACCGACGTGTTGACTGGCGTGTTGATGTTGACCGACGTGTTGACTGGCGTGTTGATGTTGACCGACGTGTTGAATGGAGTGTTGACCGACATGTTGACCGACGTGTTGATGTTGACCGACGTGTTGACTGGCGTGTTGATGTTGACCGACGTGTTGACTGGCGTGTTGAATGGAGTGTTGAATGGAGTGTTGACCGACGTGTGGACTGGCGTGTTGATGTTGACCGACATGTTGACTGGCGTGTTGATGTTGACCGACGTGTTGAATGGAGTGTTGACCGACATGTTGACCGACGTGTTGATGTTGACCGACGTGTTGACTGGCGTGTTGATGTTGACCGACGTGTTGATGTTGACCGACGTGTTGACTGGCGTGTTGACCGACGTGTTGACTGGCGTGTTGATGTTGACCGACGTGTTGACTGGCGTGTTGATGTTGACCGACATGTTGACTGGCGTGTTGATGTTGACCGACGTGTTGACTGGCGTGTTGAATGGAGTGTTGACCGGCATGTTGACCGACGTGTTGACCGACATGTTGACCGACGTGTTGACCGACGTGTTGATGTTGACCAACGTGTTGATGTTGACCGACGTGTCGATGTTGACCGACGTGTTGATGTTGACTGACGTGTTGACTGGCGTGTTGACCGACGTGTTGACTCGAGTGTTGACTGCATGTTTCAGGTTGCCAACTACTTCGTGGCAGCAGGGATGAACTCCCGGGGGATTGCTGGAGCTGGGGGTATTGGCAAGTACATGGCAGAGTGGATCCTGGACGGGGAGCCCAGCATTGACCTGTGGGCACACGATGTCCGACGCTTTGCTGGTCTCCATAACAACAAGCGGTTCCTGCGAGACCGAGTCAAGGAAGTCCTAGGTATAACATCCTTGTTCCATATTGTTGCAGTACACAGCCATAGTCTACTGGGAACAAAGGACTGCCATGACAATCGGGATTTAACCTAGAACCTTCATTCTTGTAACAGTTCAGAAGGTTTTAGTGGTAAAGTTACAAATAAGAATAAGTCAGTACCCGTTTGACCATTGTTGTTGGCAGTTTATTACCAACGCAAATCACGTTTTGAAATAATGTAATTTATGACTGAATTGTGCCTACCTGTACCATAATGTATTTCATGTCCACCCTTTTTTGAAGGGAAAATGCTTCAAGCATATCCTGACATATGCTGCTTTGCTTGCCACTCCTTGCAAACTGTTATACCAGTATTATGCTGAAGCAGAGAATTGGACTCTATGTATACCACAAGGCTTTGTGAAATGATAACTTGAGGCTAATAGATCTGCTCTGTGCATTTTCAGGATGTGACAAACGTAAGGGAAAGCACTGTCTGCATTAAAGCTGCAAGATCAGATTTGCAAAGTTTTTGATATTTTATTTTCTGACTTTTAAATCCAAAATTCATTACCCTGTAGTGTGTGAAGATAGCAGGCATATGAAGGGCTTTCTGGAAATAGTTATTGCTAAAAATAAATTCATTGAACGCATTGTGAAAAGAATCCATCTCTTCCTCTCTGTATTTACTAAAGCTTCACAGCCAACACAGCCCGAACAGCAGTACACTCTGGGTAGGGCATAGGTAGTGCTGTAGCAGGCTGGGAAATGTGTGTGATATAACTGGGGAACTGTGTGTGATATAGCTGGTAGATGTGTGATATAACTGGGGAAATGTGTGTGATATAACTGGGGAAATGTGTGTGATATAGCTGGTAGATGTGTGATATAACTGGGGAAATGTGTGTGATATAACTGGGGAACTGTGTGTGATATAGCTGGTAGATGTGTGATATAACTGGGGAAATGTGTGTGATATAACTGGGGAACTGTGTGTGATATAACTGGGGAAATGTGTGTGATATAACTGGGGAACTGTGTGTGATATAGCTGGTAGATGTGTGATATAACTGGGGAAATGTGTGTGATATAACTGGGGAACTGTGTGTGATATAGCTGGTAGATGTGTGATATAACTGGGGAAATGTGTGTGATATAACTGGGGAACTGTGTGTGATATAACTGGGGAAATGTGTGTGATATAACTGGGGAACTGTGTGTGATATAACTGGGAAATGTGTGTGATATAGCTGGTAGATGTGTGTGATTGACTGGGAGATGTGTGTGATATAACTGGGAGATGTGTGTGATATAACTGGGGAACTGTGTGTGATATAACTGGGAACTGTGTGTGATGTAACTGGGGAACTGTGTGTGATCTAACTTGGGAACTGTGTGTGATATAACTAGGGAAATGTGTGTGATATAAATGGGGAACTGTGTGTGATATAACTTGTAAAATTGTGTGTAATACAACTGTGGAAATGTGTGTGATATAACTAGGGAAATGTGTGTGATGTAACTGGGAGATGTGTGTGATATAACTGGGAGATGTGTGTAATATAACAGGGAAAATGTGTGTGATGTAACTGGGGAACTGTGTGTGATATAACTGGGAAATGTGTGTAATATAACAGGGAAAATGTGTGTGATCTAACTGGGGAACTGTGTGTGATATAACTAGTGAAATGTGTGTGATATAACTGGGGAAATGTGTGTGATATAACTGGGAAATGTGTGTGATATAACCAGGGAACTGTGTGTGATATAACCGGGAGGTGTGTGATATAACTGGGGAACTGTGTGTGATATAACTGGGGAACTGTGTGTGATATAACTGGGGAAATGTGTGTAATATAACTGGTTAAATGTGTGTGACATGACTGGGGATATGTGTGCAGTATTACTGGGGAAATGTGTGTGATATAACTGGGGAAATGTGTGTGATATTACTTGAGAAATGTGTGTGATATAACTGGGGAAATGTGTATAATATATAACCAGGGAAATGTGTGGGATATAACTGGGGAAATGTGTGTTATATATAACTGGGGAAATGTGTGTGATATAACTGGGGAAATGTATGCAATATTACTGGGAAATGTGTGTGATATAACTGGGGAAATGTGTGTGATATAACTGGTTAAATGTGTGTAATATATAACTAGGGAAATGTGTGTGATATAACTGGGGAAATGTGTGTAATATTACTTGGGAAATGTGTGTAATATTACTTGGGAGATGTGTGTGATATAACTGGGAGATGTGTGTGATATAACTGGGAGATGTGTGTGATTTAAATGGGGAAATGTGTGCAATATTTCTTGAGAAATGTGTGTGATATAACTGGTTAAATGTGTGTAATATATAACTAGGGAAATGTGTGTGATATAACTGGGGAAATGTGTGCAATATTACTGGGAAATGTGTGTGATATAACTGGGGAAATGTGTGTGATATAACTGGTTTAATGTGTGTAATATATAACTAGGGAAATGTGTGTGATATAACTGGGGAAATGTGTGTAATATTTCTTGGGAAATGTGTGTAATATTACTTGGGAAATGTGTGTGATATAACTAGGGAAATGTGTGTAATATAACTGGGGAAATGTGTGTGATATAACTGGGGAAATGTGTGTGATATAACTGGGGAAATGTGTGTGATATAACTGGGAAATGTGTGTCATATTACTGGGGAAATGTGTGTCATATTACTGGGGAAATGTGTGTAATATAACTGGGGAAATGTGTGTGCACATATAACTTGGATGTCGTGATTGGGCGCACATGTCAGATGCATTATTGGTCACTTATGTACATCATTCATGGAACATAGCAAGAAATCTAAAGACAATTGATTGCGGACACAGTGGAAGCAATACCACCTGTAGGCCATTGATAAAATACACGTAGGTGGGAAGCGACTCTGATCTTGCACTGTAATGCTTACTGTTGAAATGACATTCATATTGTCACTTTATTTTATCACTGTTATTCTATATATTGGCCAAGATGATATCACAACTTACTGAGCTAACAAAGGGTAAAACTAAACATGCCCCAATGAACCAAATCGGTAATTCTATCTGACTGACATTATAACATCTAACTGCCTAACAATTACCTCACAAGGTCTTAGTCACAACACTCATGGCATAGTTTCCCTCCCACATCAAGCTGACACACCGTGATATAACAGGACTCCTGTTCATAGTGGCTTAATTCAACTCACTCACTCACTCACTCACTCACTCACTCATTGCATACCAAGATTTAGTTTAACAAAGGAGTTGTAGTGATGAGGCTGTCATATTCATCTGTAGAAACAAGCCACTCATGCTGCTCCAATTACTTTGAGACAAATGACTCCAGTCTCACTGCAGTATAGGATTATCCCTGATGGAACTTATGCCTCACACTTTTTAAGAGTTACCTCCCCTAGGTTTCCAAGTGATTGTAAGTTACGATCAACCAAGAAAAACATCTCCAGATTTCCTTGTTTAAGCCAGAATGCCACAGTTCTGAAATTCAAAAAATCTACAGATGTTTGACAAGTCCATCACAAAATCCAAGACGAAGTTATATATTTTACAGCAACAAAAGAGCAGATACATACGTTCATGGCCCAGTGCCTTGGTGCTGAGATGATTCTCCCATACTTACACTTACCACAGTTGTGCTGCCAAGATCACACATGGAAGCAGACCAAGGGTGCCATTGTACAAAGCAACCTTAGGCTTAAAAACATAAAACAACTGGTTCTCAGGCAATGGCTTTTGAATTTATAGAGGTGTTTTTTTGTGTTTTATTTTGTTGTTGTTCAAACTGGTATGTAATCAAATAAAAAGGTGTACAGTCAACCTGGAAAAGGGCCTCCCTACATAAATATATTCCTTGATGAGTAAAATAAAGTATTGGACTACCAGTGTGTGCATAATACACACACACACACACAATGAGCTTGGACTTTTATTCCCAAGGTTGAGACATTATTGTGAGCACGTAACACTGGAAGTAGCATGTCAACAAGTCATTGTGTTCATTGTGTATCTCGACTTATGTTTGTAATCCATTATTTTACTTTTATCCAAAATTTCAATCAATTTTGTTTACAATAATTTTGTTTTAATCATGTACGTACTGATCGGCAAATCACAATATTTGGCAGAATATTTCCCAATTTGTATTTTTAAAAAAATAGAAATTAAAACAAAACGTGCTGCCGACTTTATGATGATGCAGGCAGTTATTTGTATTGTCCTTAGTGCGTACTGATCGGCAAATCACAATATTAAGCAGAATATTTCCCGATTTGTATTTTAAAAAAAATAGAAATTAAAACAAACGTGCTGCTGACTTTATGATGATGCAGGCAGTTATTTGTATTGTCCTTAGTGCTATGACTGTCGTAAGTCTATGTTAAGTATGGAAGTTACGATCACTTACTGCTAAGATCTCTTTGTACAACGGCACCCTCAGCTTCTTCTGAATGCTACCAAACAATTGAAGTCTATCCCTGGCCAGGGAGGTCGGCATGGACCCCTGTGCTTCGTAATGGCATCGGGGCGGTCGGGTAGCCTAGTGGTTAAAAGCGTTCGCTTGTCACGCCGAAGACCCGGGTTCGATTGCTGACATGGGTACAATGTGTGAAGCCCATTTCTGGTGTCCCCCGCCGTGATATTGCTGGAATATTGCTAAAAGCGGCGTAAAACCAAACTCACTCACTCACTCACTCGTAATGGCATCCACTTCCCAGACGTACAAGTCCCGGGATGAAGGTGAAGGGGTTTTGCATGCTTTGCTTAATATGACAACCACGTATCAGGTGTCTGGCAATATCAGCACTTATATCATCAACTTCACAATCGTTCGTCCCTATGTTGAGTGGACTAGCCCGCAGGTGGAGAGTGCTTCCACTCACCACACCTACCTGGCGCATGTTGTACATCACTGCAGGACCTACCCATGTCTGCCGATGTGCGGACACCTTGTCATGGATCATATTTTAATATCATTTGTCGATTGAATTCCATGGTTTTTTCAATGAGAAATTTCCTTAAAAATCTGGAAAGTTGGCAGCAGATAATAAAAATAATGATCTGTTCAAGTTGAGCATTAATTTACAAGCAGACATGTTACCATGGTTACTTCGGTCTTGGTGTTCAGGAGACTAAATCTGCATCATTAATATTTTGTCACAATAATCATGATAATCTACATACTACACACTTTTTGTTTCCTAATTCCCAGTTTTTACAGTTTTAATGCTGATGTTTGTTTCCTGGGCAAACTACTTATAAATCTTGACAACATTAACACAAACTGAATGAGAAAACGTGCTGTACTCTGCGCATTTGAATTACCATGGTAAACTATGATTGCTTTTTCAGGGATGATTACACAGTGTTTGAAATTGCTGCCAGCCTGCTAGCCAGATGCCAGTAACTTATATATTGGGCCAGTAACATTTTATGAAACTGGCCTGACTGTCTATTTTCTAATTCTAGTCAATACATAGTTCATTTGTAAACTTATCCTATCTCACACTATGCATTTCTTCCTTCTTTCGATCCTAATGAGGAAATGTGTTTGAACACGAGCTTGCGGCTGGAGGAGAAGATCATCCCTCGGGGGAAGATGTTAATCAGCACTGTGAACCAACGTTAAGCTGGCCAGTAGGGTGGTGATGAGGGAGAGAATGATGTCGCGGGGGTAGTAGGGGTGAAACTTTGTTCAATCACATTTCCATGTAAGGATCGAAAGAAGTAGGAATAAGTGCATAGTGTGAGACAGGATAAGTATATAAATGTACAATTTAATGTAAAATTTACAGTTTCTATGAATCATCAAGTCAGTTAAGGCGTCATTTAATGTCAAAGCCTGTTGTCATTTTGTTCATAGTTTATTGGAAGTGTTTTGGGCTAGTAAAATATTATGAGGGCTTGCAACATCTTTTGTTATCAAGCGTTCCTGGCCAGTGAACTTTGGGAACTAATTCCTACACTGATTACACAAGACAACAATGAAGATAGGTGGGATGGGTGTGGCCTGTCTGCCATTAAGATGATGGCCGGGTTGGGTGTGGCTGGGGAGGGTGTGGCCTGTCCACCATTAAGATGATGGCCGGGTTGGGTGTGGCTGGGCGTGGCTGGGGAGGGTGTGGCCTGTCCGCCATTAAGATGATGGCCTGGTTGGGTGTGGCTGGGGAGGGTGTGGCCTGTCTGCCATTAAGATGATGGCCTGGTTGGGTGTGGCTGGGCGTGGCTGGGGAGGGTGTGGCCTGTCCGCCATTAAGATGATGGCCTGGTTGGGTGTGGCTGGGGAGGGTGTGGCCTGTCTGCCATTAAGATGAAGGCCGGGTTAGGGAGGGTGTGGCCTGTCTGCCATTAAGATGAAGGCCTGTTTGGGTGTGGCTGGAGAGGGTGTGGTCTGTCTGCCTGCCATTACAAAGATGGCCTGGTTGGGTGTGGCTGGGAAGGGTGTGGCCTGTCTGCCATTAAGATGATGGCCTGTTTGGGTGTGGCTGGGGAGGGTGTGGCCTGTCTGCCATTACAAAGATGGCCTGGTTGGGTGTGGCTGGGGAGGGTGTGGCCTGTCTGCCATTAAGATGAAGGCCGGGTTGGGCGTGGCTGGGAAGGGTGTGGCCTGTCTGCCATTAAGATGATGGCCTGTTTGGGTGTGGCTGGAGAGGGTGTGGTCTGTCTGCCATTACAAAGATGGCCTGGTTGGGTGTGGCTGGGGAGGGTGTGGCCTGTCTGCCATTAAGATGATGGCCTGGTTGGGTGTGGCTGGGGAGGGTGTGGCCTGTCTGCCATTAAGATGATGGCCTGGTTGGGTGTGGCTGGGGAGGGTGTGGCCTGTCTGCCATTAAGATGAAGGCCGGGTTGGGGAGGGTGTGGCCTGTCTGCCATTAAGATGATGGCCTGGTTGGGTGTGGCTGGGGAGGGTGTGGCCTGTCTGCCATTAAGATGATGGCCGGGTTGGGTGTGGCTGGGGAGGGTGTGGCCGGTCTGCCATTAAGATGAAGGCCGGGTTGGGCGTGGCTGGGAAGGGTGTGGCCTGTCCACCATTAGGATGATGGCCTGTTTGGGCGTGGCTGAGGAGGATGTGACCTGTCTGCCATTAAGATGAAGGCCGGGTTGGGCGTGGCTGGGGAGGGTGTGGCCTGTCTGCTCATGCTGGTCATGTTGTTACTGTCTCTGTCTGCAGGTGCCCAGTACTCCCTCAACTACCCCCGACAGATCGAGTACATCACCGGGCGGCGGCTGCGGACCTCCCCTCTGCACACGCGGCTGGAGGTGGCCGGTGGGTACTTCGGGGAAACCATGGCCTACGAGAGAGCTGTGTGGTTCGCCAGGCTGGGACAAGGTAGTGACACCCACAGCATGACACAAGGGAGATAATACCGCCTACCCCCCTTTGGTGAAACAGTCGCAGATGCAATTGGCCACAATAACAGAGCTGCCCCAGCACTTAGAAGTTTAAGATTAGTCGTTGATTTACAAAACCAATCAATAATCAAGGAGAATAGAAACTATCATCCATGTTGGGTCTAAGCGTCTACTGATGCTTGAGACCCGTGAAGATTCAGGGGTAGAATAGGTCTTCAGCAACCCATGCTTGTCGTAAGAGGCGACTAACAGGATCGGGTGGTCAGGCTCGCTGACTTGGTTGATGCATGTCATTGATCCCAATTGCGTGGATCGATGCTCATGATATTAATCACTGGATTGTCTGGTCCAGACTCGATTATCTACAGACCGCCGCCATATAGCTGGAATATTGCTGAGTGCGGCGTTAAACAACAAATCAAACCAATCAAACCATCTGATGCTTGAATGTATATTTGTGTATCAGATGAGGACATTGACTCCGACACCATCAGCCACCGCGGAACATTCGGGAAGCCGACGTGGTTCGACTGCGTCCAGGACGAGTACTGGGCGTGCAAGGAGAGGGTCTGCCTCATTGACATGTCATCATTCGCCAAGTTTGTCATCAAGGTAGCTCACAACATGCACATGTGTTTCTGCACTTTGTACTCCTTGCATCTGTGTGTGGTCCAGTAGGGCTAGCTCAGGACATCCCATGTGAGGGGTTACATCTACTCATTAGGACAAAGGACACATGAAGATCTGGGGTAGAATAGGTCTTCAGCAACCCATGCTTGCCATAAAAGGCGACTATGCTTGTTGTAACAGGGGACTAATAGGCTGTTGTCAGGCTCACTGACTTGCTTGATGCATGTCATCGTGTCCTAATTGCGTGGATCGATGCTCATGATGTCAATCACTGGATTGTGTGGTCCAGACTAGATTATTTACAGACCGCTGTCATATAGATGGAATATTGCTGAGTGCGGCATTAAACAACAAACAAACAAACATTAAGACAAGCAAACATTAGGACAAAGATTTAGAATGAATCCAGGTCTAAGAGACTAGCGGTAGTTTGGCATTCCACTGGGGTTATGCATCTATGTCTATCGTTGTTCTGTGTCCAGTCTGCAGGGAGAGAGGCAGTGGACTTCATGCAGTATCTCTGCTCCAACGACATTGACCAGAACATCGGCAACATCATCCACACTGGGATGCAGAATGAAAGGGGAGGCTTCGAGAATGACTGCAGTATTGTAAGGATGGAGGAAAACAGGTCAGAGGAAGATAATGTATTTATTAACAAGTAATATCTCAGATACAATGACACTCCTACTCAGTGTTCCATGCTACCAGCATAGTACCTCTGCCACAGGCCAGCAGCATGTGACGATTCGTCACATCTTACACAGTCCATTCAAGATATTGCATATGTTTTTCTTCTGTTTCATATTTGACAAGTCTACATATCTTGATAAATATATGTCATAGAACTCTCTTTGAGAAAATATCCTAAATCATGAAAAACTATTTCCATTTGCTTAGTTATCCTATGTTTACATTGGTCGTGCGGCTCCACGTGCTGTCATCGAAGCCCACGGAGAGCTAGCGATACAACAACTTGGAGGTGTAAATTTGTATTGTCATGCACCTCACTGACGCAGTTGTAGTAGCATATCTAGATAATTATGCAAAACAATATGTGAAGCGACCCCAAATACTTGAAGTAGTTCGTTCTATTATGATTTCTGAAAAAAATGCTTCTTTTTTTTACAACCAAGAGAAAAGTCTGGTCACGTGATATGCAAATTACCCTGTGGCAGTGGTGTTATGCTAAGTCACCACTGCCCCGTAGTGTGAGATAATGACGGTTTATTTTTACAGTTTCTCTCTTTCTCTCCAGATTGAAATTTAAGTTGTTACAAATATCAAACTTCTGGTTGTCTTTCTTAAAATCTACACTGAAAGATCAGTCGTAGTTGTATAGAAACAAGATGCTCTGGGCGGTATTCATTCTGGTCTTGTGTTGTAACTTGTTGTCTCTTCCTTCGCTGTTGTCAGTTTTGAATATACCTCCTTCGCTGTTGTCAGTTTTGAATATACCTCCTTCGCTGTTGTCAGTTTTGAATATACCTCCTTCGCTGTTGTCAGTTTTGAATATACCTCCATTGCTGTTGTCAGTTTTGAATATACCTCCTTCGCTGTTGTCAGTTTCGAATATACCTCCATTGCTGTTGTCAGTTTTGAATATACCTCCTTCGCTGTTATCAGTTTTGAATATACCTCCTTCGCTGTTATCAGTTTTGAATATATCTCCATTGCTGTTGTCAGTTTTGAATATACCTCCTTCGCTGTTATCAGTTTTGAATATACCTCCATTGCTGTTGTCAGTTTTGAATATACATGTACCTCCATTGCTGTTGTCAGTTTTGAATATACCTCCTTCGCTGTTATCAGTTTTGAATATACCTCCATTGCTGTTGTCAGTTTTGAATATACATGTACCTCCATTGCTGTTGTCAGTTTTGAATATACCTCCTTCGCTATCATCAGTTTTGAATATACCTCGAAGGCTGTTGTCAGTTTTGAATATACCTCCTTCGCTATCATCAGTTTTGAATATACCTCCATTGCTGTTATCAGTTTTGAATATACCTCCATTGCTGTTGTCAGTTTTGAATATACCTCCATTGCTGTTGTCAGTTTTGAATATACCTCAATTGCTGTTGTCAGTTTTGAATATACCTCCTTCGCTATCATCAGTTTTGAATATACCTCGAAGGCTGTTGTCAGTTTTGAATATACCTCCATTGCTGTTATCAGTTTTGAATATACCTCCATTGCTGTTGTCAGTTTTGAATATACCTCCATTGCTGTTGTCAGTTTTGAATATACCTCCATTGCTGTTGTCAGTTTTGAATATACCTCCTTCACTGTTGTCAGTTTTGAATATACCTCCATTGCTGTTGTCAGTTTTGAATATACCTCCTTCGCTGTTGTCAGTTTTGAATATACCTCCTTCGCTGTTGTCAGTTTCTTCATGATCTGCCCAACCACCCAGCAGACCCGAGCGTTGGCATGGTTACGCCACCACCTGCCACCAGATGGCTCTGTGCAGGTGGAGGACGTGACGTCCATGTACTCTGGGATCAACATGATTGGTCCACATGCCCAGCATCTCCTGGCCGACGTGTCCGACACGCCCACTGACAAGAACGAGTTCAAGGCAATGACTAGTAAAGTAGGTACCTCATAATTAGTTAAAAATAACACAAAAGTGTTGGGAATTTATAATGGTTGGTTGGTTGGTTGTTGTTTGACGCCGCACTCAATATTCCAGCTATATGACAATGTTCTGTAAATAATCGAGTCTGGATCTGACAATCCAGTGATTGACATCCTGAGCATCAATGTTCACAATTTGGATACGGTGACATGCATCAACCAAGTCGGCGAGTTCTATTCTGGGTCTTCACAGTGTTGTGAGTTTGTGAAATCACTCCTGTCTTTAATGTAACGTGGTGCATTGTTTGCTTCTCGATATGGAGACATAACTACGAAACCCCAGGCATTGTAACACCTGTTTAGTGCAATGTTTGTATGATGTATGACCTAGCTGACATGATCGGTATGATGTCATTCGTAACAGCTAAATTGTAATGAGCTTTTCCTGTTAGATTTCCGTCAATATGACGTCAGCGAATGTAATGAGATAATAGGGCCAAATTATGCCCCACAGGGATCCCAGATCAGGGCTTGTCGCTTTAGAAACAGTGAAGATGGGTAATGAGTAGTTTTATCCCCAGCAACTCGTTTTTCGGGGGTATTAAATGGAAGGCGTCCATCTGTGCGTCTGTGCAAGATGTTCCAGAAACAGATCTTGGAAACAATCTTCTTCACCAGACTTGGCACATAGATAGGTCTAGTGGTGAACTTGTGCCTTTGATGATTTGGGATTTTCAACACAAATATTTTTTTCACATTACCATGGCAACAATTTGGACTTAGACTTAAAAACAGCAGTAGGGCTCGTTTCAGGAGCAGATCTTGAAAATCGTATAATATTCCTTCACCAAACTTGGTGCAGTGATAGGCTGAGTGGTGGGCTTGTGCCTTTTGATAGTTTACGATGTTTTTTTAAATTTACTTTTTGAGTTTCCTTTGCTACAATTTTGACTTAGTCTGGAAATGGAGTTAGAGCTCATTTCCTGAACAGATCTTGAAAAACCGTAAAATATTTCTTCAGCAAACATGGTACATAGATAGGTCTAGTGGTGAGTTTGACAAGTATTTGCCACTGCAGGGGATATCGATGACATTGTTCTCTTGTTTATTTAATTTCTAACGAGATGGTAGAGGGGTCGAGGTTCACCGATTTATTTACCCGAATTGAACCTAACGATATGATACATGATGGGCCTACCCGTGTGCCAATCCAGTATCATATTTCAACAGTTTTGCAATAACCTGGCCATGAACATGACTGTGTTGTTTGTTCAATAACAGTCATCCTAAAGTCTTTTTTGATCTAGCTGACTTGTACCTTTCTCACTGCCCAAGAAGATGCGGGGTAGAATAGGTCTACAGCAACCCATGCTTGCTTTAACAGGCGACTATGCTTGTCGTAAGAAGCGACTAACGGGATCGGGTGGTCAGACTCGCTGACTTGGTTGATACATATCATCGTATCTCAATTGTGTGGATCGATGCTCATGATGTCAATCATTGGATTGTCTGGTCCAGACTCGATTATCATTGATTATTTACAGACCGCTGTCATATAGCTGGAATATTGCTGAGTGTGGCTTTAAACAACAAACAAACAAAACCTTTCTCACATTTACTGTACAGTAACATTTTATAGCCGATATATTTAGAAACTGTACGAGTCTGATGTAGCTGCGGTGTTGTGAGTCTGCTGCTGTTGTTGTTGGCAGGTTATCGACGTGGGCTACGCCAGTGGAATCATCGCCATGAGACTCACGCATTCTGGGGAGGACGGCTTCATCCTCTACATACCCTCTGATGTAAGCTTTGTATCTCCATGGCAACTCTTTTGTCATTTTTCCAGTTTAAGGATTCCATCCAACAGAGCAAAAAACAATCATAAAATAACATGAATAATTTTGTTTTTGTGAGATTTGATGTATTAGAAAAAATGAAAAAAATCACAAACAAAACATACAAATTTTATGAAAGTAATTTATCAAAAGCATTTTAATTAATTAAACACCTGCTGGAACAATTCCTTCTCTGATGGATGTAAATTTGTTTTTATTTCCACCTAGTCAATTGGTTAGCCAGAACAACATTAACAGTAGATTAAGTGTTGCCTTAACATACCATATATCACTGTCTATAAAGCAACCCCTCTTATAAGGTGTAGCGTTTTAGTATCAGATAACCAGTCACTCGCTTTATCCATACGATGTCTCTATATAAATGAGTGCGCACATGTAACAGCGCCGGAAGTGTGTGTTGTGCGCTAGCAGACCACATGGCTGCCGACTACACTTGACTGAGTGTATTGACATGTAATGAGAGAATACAACCTTTCCCCGGAAAGCCAAGTGTTTGTTGTAGCTGCCAAAGTCATCACATAAGGAGACCCCCCTGTAAAGCCTTCAAAATCAATGCTTATTTGTATACCCCGTAGCCACATGCAGCTCAGTACCAGTCGGCCAACTTGTGCAGGCTGCAATAGATTAATCCTAAGATTTTGATCCCGCTTGCTGGCGTTATCCTGCTTTCAAAACTATTTTCCAGTATGCCATCCACACTTACGACACGCTGATGCAGGCTGGGATTGATTACGGAGTGAGGAATGCTGGGTACTACGCCATGCGACACTTGCGCATGGAGAAGTTTTTTGCGTACTGGGGCTTGGACATTAATGCCCAGACAACCCCCATGGAGTGTGGCCGGGAGTTCCGTGTAAACCTGGAGGTGAGGGAGTGAGTGAGTGAGTGAGTGAGTTGGGTGTAACACCGCTTTTAACAGTATTCCAGTTATATCACGGCGTGGTAGCCTAATGTGGGAGGAAAGCCCGAAGTGATGCAGGTCTTAGACGTTTGTCAGAGTTTGTAGGGTTAGCTGGGTTTTACCTTGACCTACAAAACTAGAGGTTGAGGGGACTCCAAATAATTAATTTCAAGGGTTCTTACAGGAAATAGGAGGGTCCTGTAAAGTAATGACAAAGTAGTGTACTCGACTCTGATTTGATCCTTTCTGTAATTACAGGGTCGTTATGGCTACTTTAATTACTCGACACACATTGTGTCGTGTTATTCCTGGGTTAGGAAATTGAATAATGTCTGTTTCTGTTGACAGAAAGGTGACTTCATTGGCCGAGAAGCCCTCAGGGAACAGAAGGAGAACGGCATCACAAAGAAGTTTGTACAGTTCCTACTGGAGGACTTTGACGTGAACCGCGACCTGTGGCCGTGGGGTGGCGAGCCGGTGTACCGGAACGGGGTGTTCGCGGGGCTCACTACCACCTGCGGCTACGGCTTCACGCTTGACCGGATGGTGTGTCTGGGATACGTCAGTGACTTTGACGAGGACGGCAGTCCAATACTGAAGAAGAACATGAACAAGTTTGTGATGGAGAAAGACGCACACTATCAGATTGACATTGGTGGGAAGCGGTACTCAGCCAAGGCTGGTATCTACACCCCGAAGTTGGCCATGTCCACAGTGGAACCATCCTTCATTCCAGTACCGGTGTGACCAACTACCTCACGGTCCACTCTCAGAGTCCACTCTCAAAGTCCACTCTCAGGGGCACCACAAACTCAACTCTCTCCAAACAATGGCAATCTCTGTACATTGACAGTCTGCTGTGTACCAGATAAGCAGACACACGATCTCATTGCTATTGGCATCCCAAGGTTTGATTATAGTGTGTTTCTCCTCGTTTACTTCTCCATGTTAGTTCTTGCATGAACACATTGTGTTTGAACCATGATGGTTATGGCACATACCTGGGGAAATATGTCAACCTGCTCAAGACTTCTGCAGTTCTGTAGGATCATTGTATAGACAGCACTTTTCTTTTCTTGAAGCAAGGATGTAATTACATCCCTTATCCACGAATTTGTGATCAGAGACATTTTTATTCATAAGGTATTTCCTTACACTGACAGATCTCTTGACTGCTACAATGTACTGCTGGTATGAATATTTTGCAGGGTAACCATGGTAACTAGGTTCTGTATATTACAGACTGACCGTGCGGTAGATATACTACTCAAAAGAAGTCAAAGAGCACCAATTTCTTCATGTGATTATAACGTGTGTTAGTTTATGATAAAACCCCAGTTTTCATTTCAATTTGCAATGAATGCAGTCTGTGCCAAAATACTTTCAGGTCAGTTAGCGCCGCTTGTCTGTCAGAGACTTTCAGTGCACCAACCAAAGAGATTACTAGACCTGGGCCCACTTGCACAAAGCGATCTTAGCGCTACAACTACTGTAAGCCTATGTTATGTATGGGAGTTACGATCATCTAAGCGCTAAGATCGCTTTGTGCTAGTGGGCCCAGAAGTTGAACTAGATTCCAGCTTTGTGCTAGATGCCGAGGACACAGACTGTGGATGTTTGTGAGATTGTATACAGTGTGACTGCTGCCGACCGGACACCAGTATTTTACCAGTATGTTGAAGTCAGTCAGTGCTGTGGATGATCGGTGTTTTCCTACGTTTGATGGATGCTCTCACATCGACCTGATGAACATAAATAGTGGTATAAGTATGTACTCTAGGTTGTGTCCTAACATCTCATGTTTCTACACTAAAAAAAGCTTAAGTGTCGAACCCACAAATAATTGTACATCTATTCAGTGTTTTATATGTACGAGTCATACTGTTTCTGTATTACTTCATTCTTGGTGGGGTAGCCAAATGGTTTAAGTGTTCGCTTGTCACGTGTAATGCCAGGGTTCGATTCCCGACATGGGTACAATGTGTGACCCATATCTGGTGTCCCTTATCAAACAATCAGATCATGCGTTTACTGACTGAGTTGACTGAAGCTTTATCTTTACTCAAACATGTACAAGTCAAAAGGAATGTGTGCATCGTCGGAAAGAAATGCGAACATTAGCGACTTGTGTGGTCATTAAACAATATATCAGGTGACTAACCACGGGTCCGGGTAGTCCTGTGGGTACCCGGGTCCTCCTCAGGACCCACCCGACCCAAGTACCCGAGTTACCCGTCCCAGCCCTAGTATACTGATATCAATTTCATTGTGTATGCCTGTTTTAGAGTGGGCTGTTGTCCCCATGACAACATGAAATCCCTCGTAGTTAAGGACCGACCATGTGATATTCAGGGGACTAGGATGTGTATGGAGACTAGATATTGTTTCACCTCCAGCTGCAAAACCAGATATTAAATCTTGCAATAATGTTTTTTTTGTGGCGGATAATATATTTTTTCTGCATCCTGAAGAATAGCTATCAGATGGTCGGTGCCTAAATCATGTAGTACTGTAGATAACCTGGGCCGGACACTGGGAAGTACTTGGTGTGTGTCCATACGGAGACTTGCTGTCTGTTTGTTGTTGTGTTTGCTGGGTTGTACATGCTGCCAACTGCCTCTGAACGCTACAGATTTACAGATTTACAAATCTGTTGGTGATATACTTCAGAGAATTACAAATTTGATCTGTAGTGGGATTGATTGTCCTATCGGTTAATGTTACCTCAGCACCTTGATTGTCCTATCAGTTAATGTTACCTCAGCACCAGGTATTTCTCCATTGGCTATTCTGTGACTCTATGAGTTTACTTGTTGATCACTGGATAAAGAAAGTTGTCAGGTAATACTGATATAGAATAGCGATCGAACGTGACGTCTTAATCACATGTACAGCAGACTGGCAGAGGTCAATGTACGAAACCGTTTCTGCCATCACTGATATTTAAGATTCTGCACTGTAGGTTGGCAGCTGTTTGTGTTTCTGTGAAGTGATGGTGCCGTATGAACAAAGTGTGTCCCTGACTGAATGTTGCTCCTCGGTTGCTGATGTTGTGTGGCTGTTACCCAGTACATCCATATCAGATTCTCATATTTATGTGTTGTTTGGTTTTATTTCCTTATCTCGGTGAGTAAGAAGTACGAAGTACCTTCCTGGCCGCCAGTGTGAGTGACCTGTCACATTAGAACATGTCACTAAACTGTTAAAACTGTAACAATATAATTGTTTGTTCATGAGATTGTTAACAATTATTTTGTTTGTTATACATGTTCCCTGGAAATATATATGAAAGTTAAATTATTATTGCTGCATTTATGAGTTATTTTAGTATTTTATCCTGTGTTTAGTAATGGATGGTCAGGATATAGCTGGATGTTAGACTGGTGTTATACTGTAGGACGTCAGTAGGCACTCGTTTTAAACCCCTGGGGGTATTCTGGAGGTAAATGAGGTCACTTGTGCTTTATGAACTCATTTCCACTACAACATATGAAGATGAATTTCAGTTAGATTCTGTTCAACAAGTGATTAGTTTGTGTGGTCTGTGATTGCAGGGCAGATGTTTCTGTCAGTTTGTTCAGCTAAATGTTTTATTGGCATTGTGATATATGTAGTCACTTTTTAATTTGCAACGTTATTATGTTGAAGTGGTGTTCACAAACATATGAGTATTATTTGCTTGTATCTGTTATTATTTTAACCTGTGTGTCATGTTGCTGAGATATTTCCCACACCACTACTCGACACTGGTCGACACGATGTGTTGAACACAGCTACAGATAAGCATGATAAGCAGCGTATTTGCGTAAAATACCCCCGAAATGTTAAAACCCCAATTACTTTCAATTAATTTGTGTACAGAAATGCATGCAATAAATAAAAAACTCAAAGGATAAAAACAGCATGCGTAAATACCCAATGAAACTTTTTCAGCATGTGTACAAAGAAGCTAATTCCCGAAACACAATTACAAGCTAATTTACTTTCCGAGTCAATCCTATATATTTAGAACTGATATATACATCTAAAACATTATTTTCTTTTTTGTAAATCATAAAATGTTCACTCATTTGGGAAAAAACCCAATAGAGTGATGAATAGATGAGTGAAGAAATATTGGTTACCTTATGATAAATGTAATAACCCAATGACAATAGAAACCTTGGAGTAAAAACTCAATTGCTCAAAACTTACCTGGGGCTCTGGGTTGAAGACACACAGATGCATTGGTGCAGAGTGAGTGCCTCATGGGAGAGATGACATTTTCCCCATGTACTCCCCAAGCATGTCCCCAAGCATCTGATTGGTGGAAGTGGTGTGTCATGTTTATATATAGTACACAGCATTCAGGTACTTACGATGGTGCACGTATAGATGGTCATATGCAGATCCATAGTTGCAAACACTTCTTTTGATATCATCGATGATGGTGCAAATTTTGTATGTGTGGATAATGTCTGAGTCTTTATTTGAGATGTGTGACATGTTTTTATTGTTTGCAATATGATGAATAAAATAAATACATGAACAAAGTTGTTGCCATTGTTGCCACAGACAGGAGTAAACTGATTGCGATTGCAGCGATGCCCAGCCAGCAATACTTCAGGTGTTCTAACACAGCATGCCTTGTCATCCAGAAGTTCATCTTCCACAGGCAAGGGAGTTAACCGACTATAAAAGTCCAGTTTCCACCCATGCCGAACTAAGCTGGGATTATGGAGTTATATTTTGTCTGGACTAACGAGCATAGTCCAATCAAAATCATGTAACGAAATCGACATCCGGGTTTGAAACTGCCGTGCTGATTTTGGTCAATTGCAGGATTTGCAAAGCATATGTACTACAGTACCGGTACCAACTTGTGCTCACATGATATGATGCACTTCACAAAGTAAGAATCGTTTTATCACACTATAGATTTTGATAATCGCTCAGATCGTCTTGACTGGGTGCAAGCATTTTGTTTGAAGCAAATGCATGTGATATGAGAGGTGGAATCTGATTGGTCAATAGGAGGGACATAGAAGGGACATAACTCGTAATAGCCACTGGTGGCGCTGTGATCTAGCCCAGAAATTCAAGCGTAGTTCAGCAAGGGTTGAAACTGGACTTTTATAGTCAGTTTACTCTCTTGCCTCGGGAAGATGCCAGAAGTTGGGCCTGTACAAAATTGATGCAAACTATTTAAGCCTTCAATCAACCCTGTATGTGCTCAGATTGATATCACAGACCAAGAACTCGAATACAGTCTCTCCTATCTATTTGAATAAACGTTGAATGGGCTTAAAATGAAGGCGTATTGACAGCATAGCTTCTGTATTGGAACCGAATGCATTTATTATATGAACGAAAATAAATTTGATTTGACAGCGGTCATAAGCGGAATACGTGCACAACCGCTGTGGGAAAGTCGGGCAAATGCAGCGGAATACGTGCACAACCGCTGTGGGAAAGTCGGGCAAATGCAGCGGAATACGTGCACAACCGCTGTGGGAAAGTCGGGCAAATGCAGCGGAATACGTGCACAACCGCTGTGGGAAAGTCGGGCAAATGCAGCGGAATATGTGCACAACCGCTGTGGGAAAGTCGGGCAAATGCAGCGGAATACGTGCACAACCGCTGTGGGAAAGTCGGGCAAATGCAGCGGAATACGTGCACAACCGCTGTGGGAAAGTCGGGCAAATGCAGCGGAATACGTGCACAACCGCTGTGGGAAAGTCGGGCAAATGCAGCGGAATAACCTCGGCTTTATCTGTCCAACCAGACCTTTTCCAGAAAAACAGTATGCAAGAAATGGTGGCGATCAACAAATACGCGACAAGCAAAGTAATTTCTTTTGTTTAGTCTGATTCAAAGTCTAGAGTATAAAACAAAAAAATCCATGGCATTGAAAAAATAGCATTCATATGGAATATATCAGTGGAGGTGATGATTATATAGTCTAGCTGGAGAGTCTCACAGGATGTTCTGTCTACACTATAAATAATTATACATATGCACAAAGCATGTTATAACTTTTATATATTCCAGGGGCCTTAAATACAACCTCTCTCTTCAGCTTCTACAATAGTAAGTCTGGAATCAGTGAATCTGTCTGTGTGCATCATTACAATATCAGGGTCGTACTGTGGTGGCGTGTGAAGGATGAGTTAGATGTATGTGGAGGCTTGATCCTGAAGTTGATAGTCGTCTATGGTAATATGTTGCTGATATCACATGACATGGTGTTGCATAGATGGCGTATACACAGGGGTAGATAATCATTATGTTTCTGACTGCCCCGTGGTCTAGGGGTAGAGCATCCACCTGGAGAGCAGAAGGTCTGGGGTTTGATCCCCCACCGTGCCATACCACAAGAAGTTAAACGATAGTACTTGTTGTTACCCTGACTGGCGCTCGGCATTAAGAGGCTAAAACAAGGACATGTCAGCTCGTGTTCGCTACAATGTGTCTAGGTGGGGTATTCATGTTAAAATGCGGCATGGTATCTCAGTGTGCTAGCACTATAAATCAGCATCAGTCCGGACTAGTACAAGCAGCCACACATACACACACACAGGTGCAGCACGTCGCTATATAAGTGCAATAATCTTGGAATTATAATTTCACCTCACCATTATATTTCTCTAGGTAGTACACAGCATTCAAGTCAGATCTGATATGACGGGTGTAACATCGTAACGTGGTGAACGTCGTCTGATGCCCACCCTCATGTACATCCTTGCGCATCACGACACCGGCTACAGCAGTTTCCTGGCTGTGTTGGACGCGAGATGCTCCATCCTCATTGAATATAGGTGATGGATCTGCTGCCAATTACTGAAGCATAGTGATTGTCTGGTTTAAGTGCATGTTATATGGGCAGTGGGGTAACCGGTTGGTCAAAGCATTCCATCGTCACGCCAGAGGCCTGTGTTCAATTCACCAATTGGCATACAATGTGTGAAGCCCATTTCTGGTGATATTCCTGGAATATTGCAAATAGCGGCGTCAAACCTCACTCACCCATACCTTCAGATCAGGAACAATTTTCAACTCCACACCGCTCCCACTGGCTCAGTGAGTCATATTCTTCAAATGACACTGAGACAAGTAGCCTCAAACCATGTGTATACAAAAAACAGAAGCTGAATTAATCATATCTTGTGTTGCTATACAGGAATATAAGTACATGAGTTGGCTGTCTGCCACTGTATCTTAAATCTCCATTATACATTAAGTACTGTTTCTTGTCCTTGAATTCTGCTGACCTTGACCTTTCACACAAGTCAGTTGAAAGAAGTTGAATAGGACCCTGTTCAACTAGAGCCCTGACTAGGTCATGTATTCCTTGCTTGGTGCATCTCCGAACAAGTGCGGGGTAACAAGCACCGTCTTTGGGTATGATGTGGACGGGGATCGAACCACTGACCATCCGTGACCTAAGGAGATGCTCTATCGACTAGACCACATAGGCGATCGGTTGGTGAAGTCATCCTGAATTCTGTATTCTTTACTAAACTAAGTTGCTGTGGAGGCCATTTTGAATTTTTCAAACTGAAGAGTTCTACATCGCAGAGAGAGGCATATTGATAGTTTCAGATGCGTCAAGAAGAGTGCTAATAGACGAATGATAAAGGACGAAGAGATGGACTGACGGATGGATGGACGATGGACAGAACACCTTGCATTGTCAAGGTCAGCGATATAGTGTGGCCTGAGTCATTGATATAAACAATGAAGCCTAGTGGGTCTGACACGTAACTTAAAAAATCACAACCAAATTCAAGTGGCATTCAAAATAAAATCTTTAATAAATCATGATCATGTTGACAATTTTTCTGTTCTCCTTTCTTACAGGTCACATTATTCTATATCACATTCATCTGATTCACAGTGTTCATCTAGCACTTGTACACAACATGACCAGGAACATGTTCATGTTCAAGGAACAGCATCAACAATAACATGGTCCTTCAAAAGTTGAAGTCACAAGAGCAGTGCAAGGTACAAGACTACAGAGAAGCAGTGGTTCCTCGCCTTCATCCACGACATCTAACTCAACAAGATGATAAATGATCTTTGTACATAAGTGGTGTATATAGGTAAAATGTGCATTCTTTATCCAACCCCAAACATCATCAAATCGTCTCCCTTGAGAACATCATCAAATCTTCTCCCTTGCAATGACACGACACTTCGTCACACTCCCTATTTTATCACTACCACCAGTTTGCAAGCGGCCATAACAAGAATCATGAAACACCAAACGTAGTGACATCTATATTTTTGTGTACTGGTATATATTTGAGAAAGTGATTATATAGTAAAATCTGAAAAAGTTAACGACTGACTTATTTCCAAGATGAATTTATGTGCGTTTGTTTAATCTGATTGGTTTGAGATTGCAGACTAAAGAAACAGCACCCAACTTCCCCCTTACATTCGTACTATACAAATTGCATCATAGTTGAAATGAAATAGAAATACAAATTGATAAACAAAGAAAATCATTTTCCTATGTAAGAGATTTGCCATCACTAATGTCATCACTTGTTTGTAAACATAACGGTCAGGTGTTTGTGAGTTAAGCTCCATGCATGGTTATAGACAGCTGGCACTGTGGAGAGCTGTGACTGGTGGCAGCGATAATATGGAGAGCTCCGAGAAGGGGCTGTTGCTGTGAAGAGCTTGGACATTAAGACAAGACCAGAGCAGACTTAATTCATACACCTTAAACAAGAACATCTCTACAGAGAGCTGATGAGGCCTGTCTGTTGTAAGACTTCCCTTTCTAAGGGACTAACCACCAAATTTTCTGCAGTCATGGGGTCTAATTTCAGGGCATCATGTCCGTCCAACATTTCTTGGTGTATGAAAACGTGAGGTAGAAACTCACAGGGTATCTGCAAGTTGCTGACAGCACTTCCATGACAGCTAGGATGCGGCATACATGGCATATGGTGGTATACAAGTTGCTGACAGCACTTCCATGACAGCTAGGATGCATCATACATGACCTATGGTGGTATACAAGTTGCTGACAGCACTTCCATGACAGCTAGGATGCGGCATACATGGCATATGGTGGTATACAAGTTGCTGACAGCACTTCCATGACAGCTAGGATGCGGCATACATGGCATATGGTGGTATACAAGTTGCTGACAGCACTTCCATGACAGCTAGGATGCGGCATACATGGCATATGGTGGTATACAAGTTGCTGACAGCACTTCCATGACAGCTAGGATGCGGCATACATGGCATATGGTGGTATACAAGTTGCTGACAGCACTTCCATGACAGCTAGGATGCGGCATACATGGCATATGGTGGTATACAAGTTGCTGACAGCACTTCCATGACAGCTAGGATGCGGCATACATGGCATATGGTGGTATACAAGTTGCTGACAGCACTTCCATGACAGCTAGGATGCGGCATACATGGCATATGGTGGTATACAAGTTGCTGACAGCACTTCCATGACAGCTAGGATGCGGCATACATGGCATATGGTGGTATACAAGTTGCTGACAGCACTTCCATGACAGCTAGGATGTGGCATACATGGCATATGGTGGTATACAAGTTGCTGACAGCACTTCCATGACAGCTAGGATGTGGCATACATGGCATACTGACAGCACTTCCATGACAGCTAGGATGCGGCATACATGGCATATGGTGGTATACAAGTTGCTGACAGCACTTCCATGACAGCTAGGATGCGGCATACATGGCATATGGTGGTATACAAGTTGCTGACAGCACTTCCATGACAGCTAGGATGCGGCATACATGGCATATGGTGGTATACAAGTTGCTGACAGCACTTCCATGACAGCTAGGATGCGGCATACATGGCATATGGTGGTATACAAGTTGCTGACAGCACTTCCATGACAGCTAGGATGCGGCATACATGGCATATGGTGGTATACAAGTTGCTGACAGCACTTCCATGACAGCTAGGATGCGGCATACATGGCATATGGTGGTATACAAGTTGCTGACAGCACTTCCATGACATCATTGACATCAAGTCAGTCTTCAACGTATGTTGACATCAAGTAACTTAAGTCAGTCTTCAACGTATGTTGACATCAAGTAACTTAAGTCAGTCTTCAACGTAAGTTGATATCAAGTAACTTAAGTCAGTCTTAAACGTATGTTGACATCAAGTAACGTAAGTCAGTCTTCAACGTATGTTGACATCAAGTAATTTAAGTCAGTCTTCAACGTATGTTGACATCAAGTAATTTAAGTCAGTCTTCAACGTATGTTGACATCAAGTAATTTAAATCAGTCTTAAATGAATGTTGACATCAAGTTAGCTCAGTCAGTTTTAAACCTATATTACATTAATCATAAACATTATTCAATTAATAGAAAACACTTGCTGTCTAGTTTCTTCATAACTGACCATGATAGAGTCAGCTAGTCTTATGTCGACCCCCCTAATGTTGTCATGCTTTAGGGGATAACCTTTTCTCTCCTGAGTGAGTGAGTATCGTTTTACACCACTCTTAGTACTATTCCAGCAATATCAATGCGGGGGACACCAGAAATGGGCTTCACACATTGTCCCCATGTAGGGAATTGAACCCGGGTCTTTGGCGTGACAAGCGAACGCTTTAACCACTTGGCTACCCGACCTCTTCTCTCCATGATAATATCCAATCTCTGGGCACTATTCAGACACCACTTGAGAAAACCTCAAGGACCTAAGTCCCCCTTAATTTTTAACTATATTGTGTGTGGCAGAATTGATATTTCTCGTCTGTTGGGGAGGGAACGTTTCACATTGCATCGGCATATTGGAGCCACCCTGCGACTTATTCACATCAGTCAGTCCCCTCCTTCACTCATAGGTCTCCGTTTTCCTGTTCAACAATGTGATGATATTTACTGTGGCTAATCCAACACCTGGTTCATGGACACATCTAGAGTCGACCAATGTTAAGAAATTGATTGAAGCTAAGCATTTTTTCAACATTTATCTGTTTGGTTTAAAATGTTTGTATAAGAGGAGGTTTTTTTAGGAAATAACCTAAAACTGACCCTGCCAGCATCCTAATGTCCCCTGTACCCCTCCTGGCGTAGTGACCAACAACGACGCAGGACAAGGCAACAACTACAGGTATGTACAACAAAACAACATTAATATTACGTATTAAAAGCACATGAGGCATACACAAATATAAAAAGACAATCTTGCAAACCAGAGTTTGATACAAGTAGTTCAAGGTTAAGTAGTAAGAAATCTGAACCCCGAACATGCAGAATATACTTCCACATAAATAACGTTAGTCAATGGGCACAGTCAACACTATATACAAAACATATACAAAAACACATACATGAGGCCAACAAGGATGTGGTTCCGATTTCACAAATCTAAACATTTCGGTTTCTAGGTAGGCCATGTGTTTTGTAAAATGGTAACAATTTCTTCAAAACCAGCTGAAAATATGTTGAGACAAGTATCCTTCAAGTGCTCCCCAAATATCAGTTACATAGGCACATGAAACTCGGAGAGACGGGGAATCTGAAACCACACCAAGTTAGGCCTGATTTGCTGTGACAGATCATTGTCTCGGTTGTAATATACATTTTGGCACAATGTTTCTTTAATCTGTGAAGAGGAATCTGTCGTTACTTCCAACAAACAATTATTATAGCAGGGCAGATTGAGATAGTTTACCCCCATCTAAATTTGTCTAACATTTGTATTATCAAGAAAATCAATGAAATTAAATAACATCACTTCAGATCATTGGTCGTCCTATCGCACAGAATAAATCTTGTTGAACATCAATAGTCAGAAACAAAAATGAATGTAATTTTATGAAATATTTATTTTTTAATATAAATAAAACTTGTGGTAAACATTAAAATCATTGCATTTCTTTTTATCAAACTTCAATATTGAGTTTGGTTGTTTCAATGATCGATTAAAAACTTTAGCAATGTTAATGAATGATACATGAATGACGAAATCTAAACCTGCATATTACAAGTCGATTCCGACTGTTGATGGCGTTGTTGGTTTCTTTGACATATCTCCAACATTCCATATTGTCTTACGGAGACAAGCATGTTCCATCATGCCAAAACAAAGCGTCAACATGGAGGCATCACGTCTCAAATGCTGAATCCTAATGTTTTATCATGGAACCTTATTTCTATGTGGGTCAACTTCTCAGTACACCATGTCTGAGAAGTCGAGACACATCCACGTCTCCTGCAGAAACCATGTCTGAGATGGAGACACATCTCCTGCAGACACCATGTCTGAGATGGAGACACATCTCCTGCAGACACCATGTCTGAGAAGTCGACACATCTCCTGCAGACACCATGTCTGAGATGGAGACACATCTCCTGCAGACACCATGTCTGAGATGGAGACACATCTCCTGCAGACACCATGTCTGAGAAGTCGACACATCTCCTGCAGACACCATGTCTGAGATGGAGACACATCTCCTGCAGACACCATGTCTGAGATGGAGACACATCTCCTGCAGACACCATGACTGAGATAGAGACACATCCACGTCTCCTGCAGACACCATGTCTGAGATGATGACACATCTCCTGCAGACACCATGACTGAGATAGAGACACATCCACGTCTCCTGCAGACACCATGTCTGAGATGGAGACACATCTCCTGCAGACACCATGACTGAGATAGAGACACATCCACGTCTCCTGCAGACACCATGTCTGAGATGGAGACACATCTCCTGCAGACACCATGTCTGAGATGGAGACACATCTCCTGCAGACACCATGACTGAGATAGAGACACGTCTCCTGCAGACCACATGACTGAGATGGCGACACATCTCCTGCAGACCACATGACTGAGATGGCGACACATCTCCTGCAGACACCATGTCTGAGATGGAGACACATCTCCTGCAGACACCATGACTGAGATAGAGACACATCCACGTCTCCTGCAGACACCATGTCTGAGATGGAGACACATCTCCTGCAGACACCATGACTGAGATAGAGACACATCCACGTCTCCTGCAGACACCATGTCTGAGATGGAGACACATCTCCTGCAGACACCATGTCTGAGATGGAGACACATCTCCTGCAGACACCATGACTGAGATAGAGACACGTCTCCTGCAGACCACATGACTGAGATGGCGACACATCTCCTGCAGACCACATGACTGAGATGGCGACACATCTCCTGCAGACACCATGTCTGAGATGGAGACACATCTCCTGCAGACACCATGTCTGAGATGGAGACACATCTCCTGCAGACACCATGTCTGAGATGGAGACACGTCTCCTGCAGACACCATGTCTGAGATGGAGACACATCTCCTGCAGACACCATGTCTGAGATGGAGACAACATCTCCTGCAGACACCATGTCTGAGATAGAGACACATCTCCTGCAGACACAATGTCTCAGATGGAGACACATCTCCTGCAGACACGATGTCTGAGATGGAGACACGTCTCCTGCAGAAACCATGTCTGAGATGGAGACACGTCTCCTGCAGACACCATGTCTGAGATTGAGACACATGTCCTGCAGACACCCTGTCTCAGATGGAGACACGTCTCCTGCAGACACAATGTCTGAGATAGAGACACATCTCCTGCAGACACCATGTCTGAGATGGAGACACATCTCCTGCAGACACCATGTCTGAGATGGAGACACGTCTCCTGCAGACACCATGTCTGAGATGGAGACACATCTACACTAGACACCATGTCTGGGATGGAGACACATCTCCTGCAGACACCATGCTTTGTGTTAGTCCACAGAAGGTGTCTATGGCATGAACCTGTGCCTTTGGTAACTTCTAGGTAAAACCAGGCTATATTTCAATGTTACAAACATCAATGAACATCAATAAGGAATAAGTCATGCCAGAGTCTGGTCTGCACAGCGAATGGCAGCCCCCAGATGCCTGGGCCACTAATCCCCCTCCGAATGTAGAACATAGAATGTCAGAATGTTAAGCATTACAAATAATACACATAGCACTAACAACATAAGGAGAGAGAGACTTAGTGCTCCTTGCCGAACTGTAACAACAACAATTCCATGACTGGCGTTGAACCCAACATATCTACTTGGGGAGTGACTCAGATATGCTGCTGCTGTTGTTGACACAGGTGATATCCCAGCTACATCACAACACCAGGAAACCAGTGAGTGAAAGCATGAGCATCGATCCATGTCATCAGGTCAAGATGACACAGCCTGACCACCCTACAACACCAGACTCAGTAAAATCGCTAAACAGAGATCGGATGACATCCAATTATGGGTGATGTCGGAACGACCTTGCATCCGACCAATCAGAGCTTCATTCAGAATATATTTTGTAATAATGCAACCTTGGAAAGTTTAACACAGGGTATTCCAACGACAGTTACTAGCTGTACGACTGATTCTGTAAAATCACCGCCGCTTCAATGGAAAAACATTGTAAACGGAAGATACTTAACATAGCCAGTGGAAAATACTGTCATACAATCTCTGCCTTCAATTGGACAGTCAAGAATTTTCTTTTGTTCCGTTTTCAAATTTTGAATCGGTATTTTTCAAATCTAGTCTGGAGTGAAAGTCGACATTTTGCAACTAGTGTTGTAAAGCTCACGAGAAAGGTAATTCATAATGGGCTAATGTCGACTTCTTGTTAGTAATTTCATTGGTCGCTCGAAGTCGAAGAAAGGTCATTCTGACGTGTGGTGTGGTGGGATGACCTCAGATCATTGTGTGGTGGTAGCGAGCACTGAGATCTGATGGGACTGAGACTGAGTCCACACTGGCCATCAGCCAAGTCTCTGTAGGGGGGGGGGGAACAAGATGTGGCAAACCCTGGTCACATCGCCAGCTCAACTACAGGTGCTATCACCCTCCAAGAGAAAGTGACACGTGATATGTTTCTGGACCGGACTACATGTGACGGAATGCATAGGTCCTGGAGGAAGGCACATGAATGACAGTGTCCGCTACAAACTCAACACAGCTGGTCCAGACGCAACTGAAACTGATGCAACATGGCAATGGCTTAAGTAAAGAGCAGATACATACTTGATAAATCTGATTAAATGACAGGACAAACTCAGGCTATCCATGAAGTCTATGTATACAGAAGGATGGTTATACCCTCGGGATTTCATAATGTATGCGTTCATATCAAAACAGTCAGCATAATCATGAATGAAATATATTAAGTAATTTGTGATCTGTGACTATCAGTCTAATGTAGACTTCACTGGTGTTTGATAAGAGGTGGTTCAGGGTCAGTGTTCTGATCGCGAGGCACGGGCGTGGAGACGGAGTTCTGGGGTTCCTCTACAGATGGCCGCGTTGGGTGGTTGTCCCCCGGCTCCTTCTCCGTGATATCCATCCCCGGCAACACAGGGTCGGACTCGCTCACCTCCACGCCGTTCTCCTTGTCAAGAGACTCGTGTAGCGTTAGTGTCATGTTATCCACAGAAAGGCTTGCACTGGCCGAGTCACCGCTATCACAACCGGGATCCGAGGGGGCGTGTTCTGGCGACTGTTCCTCATCGCTGCTCCGTTGAGACAGCGATCGCCAGGACGCTGTTAAGCCAACTCCGTCCGTGATGTCAAGCAGAACGGAGTCGTTGTCATCATCATCGGCGACATTCCCGTTGTTGTATGTCCCAGCCTGACTGTCCTCCGAATCACTGGATGTGGAAGGAGGAATGAGTTCCACAGTGGAAGATGTATCCATATTAGCATTTTGTAAATGTGTAGAGTTCAGAGATATCAGTTGAACATCATTTTCTCCTGCTAGCTGATGGTCATCTGCTGTCTCATTCACGATCTGATGTGACGACGGCTCTTCAGGTGTCGGCGGCAATTGCTGATTTCTCCGCCTATCTCTGGACCTTCGTCTATGCTGGTCACGTGACTGACTTAAGTATTCCTGACGAGCTTCTTCATACGGCCTCGACGTCAACATGGCCTCGTGGTAAGGGGGAGGTGGGGCACGTCGCCGTAGAAACTCGGCTTGTAGCCGGCTGAGGGGACTCTCGTGTCGTGGGCCGTACTGTTCGTTCATCCGTAACGCATACACCTTACATATACAGCCGAGAGCGATGACCAGCAGCAGGGAGCAGATCAGGGAACCGGTCACGGCGGCCACAATCACACGGCGGGTGAAGACTGGAAACAAACAACATGCTGTAAAGTATCCCTTCAAGTTTGTTTCTTGTTTAACGCCACATACTTGCAATATTCCAGCTGTTTGATGGCGGCCTGTAAATAATCAAGTCTGGATCAGACAATCCAGTGATCGAAATTGTGAGCAGCCAAGTCACCAAGGCTGACCTCACGAACCATTTGATGACCTCTTACGACAATCATGGGTTGCTGGGGACCTATACCCAGACTCCCCATGGGGAGTTTTCCTTCAAACTTTACCACATTCACCACACTTTATCTACCCATTATAATTTTTCTCCAAAACATCGAAAAAATATTGCAATTATCAATAATACACTAAAAGTATATTTTGCCCACAATAACTGCACATGAAATTTAATATATGATAAAAAATCAATTAAAACAAAATCCTAACATGAGGTCTCGGAGTTTGTACAATAGTTGTGGTCTGAAAAAGCTCGGAAATTCCAAAATATCAAATATAAATTTACAGATGAATGCTCGGGAATAACAGTGAAGATCGTGAGGATCCCAAAACATAATGCTTCAAACTCACAAGGTGAAGGACACCCATCTTCGTCTGAGTGGTCATCACAATCGTCAGTGCGGTCACACTCCCACGTCTCATAGATGCAGCGTTTATTCTTGCATAGGAACAGGCCCTTGTGAGACCCACACTGATTGGCAGCTGAAACAAAGGGGAACAACTCTGGATCTGGGTGATTCTGATTTGTCAACATCATCCCAACCAATGACATTTGTCTGGGGACCAACACTGGGCACTGGAGACCAACACTGGGGAACCACACTGGAGACCAGCACTGGGGACCGACACTGGGGACCAACACTGGGGATAAACACTGGGGACCAACACTGGAGACCAACACTGGAGACCAACACTGGGGACAAACACTGGGGAACGACACTGGAGACCAACACTGGGGACCGACACTGGAGACCAACACTGGGGACCGACACTGGAGACCAACACTGGGGACAAACACTGGGGACAAACACTGGAGACCAACACTGGGGACAAACACTGGGGACAAACACTGGGGAACGACACTGGAGAACAACACTGGGGAACGACACTGGAGAACAACACTGGGGACCGACACTGGGGAACAACACTGGGGACAAACACTGGAGACAAACACTGGGGACAAACACTGGGGAACGACACTGGAGACCGACACTGGGGAACGACACTGGGGACCGACACTGGGGAACAACACTGGAGACCAACACTGGGGACCGACACTGGGGACCGACACTGGGGAACAACACTGGAGACCGACACTGGAGACCGACACTGGGGACCGACACTGGGGAACAACACTGGAGACCGACACTGGGGAACAACACTGGAGACCGACACTGGGGAACAACACTGGGGAACGACACTGGGGAACGACACTGGGGAACGACACTGGGGACCAACACTGGAGAACGACACTGGGGAACGACACTGGAGACCGACACTGGGGACCAACACTGGGGAACGACACTGGGGAACGACACTGGGGACCAACACTGGAGACCAACACTGGGGACCAACACTGGGGAACGACACTGGGGAACAACACTGGGGACCAACACTGGAGAACGACACTGGGGACCAACACTTGAGACCAACACTGGAGAACAACACTGGGGAACGACACTGGGGAACAACACTGGGGAACAACACTGGGGACCAACACTGGGGACCAACACTGGAGAACAACACTGGGGAACAACACTGGGGAACAACACTCGAGACCAACACTGGAGAACAACACTGGGGAACGAAACTGGGGAACGTCACTGGGGAACAACACTGGGGAACAACACTGGGAAACGACACTGGGGAACAAACACTGGGGAACGACACTGGGAAACGACACTGGGGAACAACACTGGGGAACGACACTGGGGAACAACACTAGGGAACAACACTGGAGACCAACACTGGGGACCAACACTTGGGAACAACACTGGGGAACGACACTGGGGAACAACACTGGAGAATAACACTAGGGAACATCACACGGGGGAACGACTCTGGGGAACAACACTGGGGAACGTCACTGGGGAACGACACTGGGGAACGACACTGGGGACCAACACTGGGGACCAACACTGGGAAACGGCACTGGGGAACAACACTGGGGAACAACACTGGGGAACAACACTGATGCAGATCTCTGTTGTCCTATACCTGATGATTGAGAGAGAATCTTGGGGAAAATCACAGCTATCACAGTATTTCAGTTCTATCATGGCGCATAAGCCTAGTGTGGATGGAAGCTACAAGACCCCAAACTGAAGGCATAAAGATTCCTAGTGCACATTGTATGGTTCAACTGATTCTTAATGTACAAAGGTTAAAGTAAATACAAGAACTCCCTTATTGACAGTCACAGTTCATTTCATCAGCATGGTTGTGACACTGACTGCTTCGGCTATTGTTTCCCTGTCTACTTACTACAGTTTTTCTCATCAGCATGGTTGTGACACTGACTGCTTCGGCTATTGTTTCCCTGTCTACTTACTACAGTTTTTCTCATCAGCATGGTTGTGGCACTGACTGCCTCGGCAACTGTTTCCCTGTCTACTTACTACAGTTTATCTCAACAGCATGGTTGTGACACTGACTGCTTCGGCTACTGTTTCCCTGTCTACTTACTACAGTTTTTCTCATCAGCATGGTTGTGGCACTGACTGCCTCGGCAACTGTTTCCCTGTCTACTTACTACAGTTTTTCTCATCAGCATGGTTGTGGCACTGACTTCCTCGGCTACTGTTTCCCTGTCTACTTACTACAGTTTTTCTCATCAGCGTGATTGTGACACTGACTGCCTCGGCTACTGTTTCCCTGTCTACTTACTACAGTTTTTCTAATCAGCGTGGTTGTGACACTGACTGCCTCGGCAACTGTTTCCCTGTCTACTTACTACAGTTTTTCTCATCAGCATGGTTGTGACACTGACTGCCTCGGCTACTGTTTCCCTGTCTACTTACTACAGTTTTTCTCATCAGCATGGTTGTGGCACTGACTGCCTCCGTTGCATCGGTCCTGTCGGGAGTAGCATGAGCTGGCCGACCCACAGCTGAACTGGAGTGTCCCACACCGATCTGGAAAACACAACATGACCATAAACAAAAAACTCTACTCTAGTTTGAACTTGTTGGCTTGGAAAAGTTCAAGATAAAAATTAAAAAGGTTCTGAACATCAGAGTCAACAATGCAGCATTTGCCTAATGTGTATATGACAAAAGAATTCCGAAAGCATTCCAAATCACATTGAGCATGTTGAGCTACTCAAGTTCGTCTCTAATTCTAGTACTGTTCAAACAACCACCCTGACAGATTACTTTATGTCCGATTACAGTTGAGATTTCTGTGTGAAAGTTGAAGGGCGGGGGAATCACACTCTAGGTCAAATGAAGAAAAACAGTACATATGTTTGTTTTGTTTGTTGCTTAACGCTGCAATCCGCAACATTCCAGCTGTATGACCCAACATGTAAATGAACGATCCTGGGCCAGACAAACAAGTGACTGACATTATGAGCATCGATCCAGGGTGTAGGGAGTGTGACACTCTATCAACCAAGTCAGTGATTTCGACCTCCATTGAGTCGACTTGTCCTAACCTGGAACCCCCACGGCCTACACTCGGGTACAGGCATGTGAGCACAGCATGTTTACATCGGTAAAGAATGGTTACACGGATTTACAGTGTGTAAACTGGTTTTACTTTCATATCTCCATAAACGCAAAAAAAAAAATTGAATTCAATTCTTATAAACAAATAAATCAACAATAAAACTTCACAGACTTCTTAGTAAATCATCAACACAAAACAGCTTGAAATGAGTGCCATCATTCATTGTAAGAACATGGAAGCCCCAACCCTATTATCAGCCAATCAGGAAACAGTATTCCACTAGTGGGCGAAGTCTTATTGATTTTGGTTTAAGGAAACACAAACACAAAAATAATTGCTTGATCAGCAGTTGAGTCCCGTCCGGGATTCGAACCCACACTTGCCAGAGTGAGGCACCTAATAGCCAGCGAACAAATTCGGCGATCTAACCCACTCAGCCACCGAGGCTTCCACAAAAATGAAAGTCCGACAACTGGTAGTCTAGATCACGTACTTTGAGTACCCCTCTGACAAGTGTAAATTGGCACGGCTACCTCTACTAACGTGTGGTTCAACCCAAAAAAGTACGAGAATCTGTACTTTACTAAGAAAGTGTTATCCCAAATATAACATTTGTTACATTTGACCACTTTCTAAATGGCATTGTGTATTCATTGTTCACAGGGGGTACGGGTGGCCCAGTCGTCCAAGGCGCTGCGATTTGCTGTGCAGAATTGCGTCCCTTGGGCACGCCAGAAACCTATGATTGTGGGTTCAAATCCCGGTTCGCCCCGATTATGTTTCTAGGTTTGTCAGCACCATACCCTTGCTCGTGGGTTTCATCGAAGTGGTAAACGTCCGAGACCTGCATCACTTAGGGCTTTCCTCCCACATTAAGCTGACATGCCGCGATATAACTGGAATACTGTTAAAAGCGGCGTTAAACCCAACTCACTCACTCATTGTTCACAGATACATTCAACTTCACTTACTGCACCCAAGTTCATCAGATCCGTGTTCCGGGCAGTTCCACACTCCATCACACTTCTCACTGATCTGGTAACAGTCCCCCTCCATCTTGCACGCCTCCTGGACGCCGGGGATACACTGACCTGCACACAACATTAGTCACATTTTATGCCTCTTTTGGCAACATTCCAGCAATATCACAGTGGAGGACGGTAGAAATGAGCTTCACATAGTTTAAACTTGTGAGGAATTAAACCCAGGCCTCTAGCATGACAGGCGAGTACTTTAACTACAAGGCTACCCAACTGGGTTTCACTGTTGCTACAAGCTGTGATCTGCAGTGATATGTCTGTTAGGATAGGAAAGGCACATGTTTGTAATAAAGATAGGGTTTAGTATTATATAGGAATGTTTGAATAAAGTCAAAGATATTCTAATATGTGGTCACTGCAACGCGTGTGGTTTAACAAATCGTGGTCACTGCAACACATGTGATTTAACAAATCGTGGTCACTGCAACACATGTGATTTAACAAATCATGGTCACTGCAACGCATGTGATTTAACAAATCGTGGTCACTGCAACACGTGTGGTTTATCAAATCGTGGTCACTGCAACACGTGTGATTTAACAAATCGTGGTCACTGCAACACATGTGATTTAACAAATCGTGGTCACTGCAACACGTGTGGATTATCAAATCGTGGTCACTGCAACACGTGTGGATTATCAAATCGTGGTCACTGCAACACATGTGATTTAACAAATCGTGGTCACTGCAACACATGTGATTTAACAAATCATGTTCACTGCAACGCGTGTGATTTAACAAATCGTGGTCACTGCAACACGTGTGGTTTATCAAAACGTGGTCACTGCAACACGTGTGGTTTATCAAATCGTGGTCACTGCAACACGTGTGATTTAACAAATCGTGGTCACTGCAACACGTGTGGTTTATCAAATCATGGTCACTGCAACACGTGTGATTTAACAAATCGTGGTCACTGCAACACGTGTGGTTTATCAAATCGTGGTCACTCCAACACGTGTGGTTTAACAAATCGTGGTCACTGCAACACGTGTGGTTTATCAAATCGTGGTCACTGCAACACGTGTGGTTTATCAAATTATGGTCACTGCAACACGTGTGGTTTATCAAATCATCGTCACTGCAACACGTGTGGTTTATCAAATCATGGTCACTGCAACAGGTGTGGTTTATCAAATCATGGTCACTGCAACACGTGTGGTTTATCAAATCATGGTCACTGCAACACGTGTGGTTTATCAAATCATGGTCACTGCAACACGTGTGGTTTATCAAATCATGGTCACTGCAACACGTGTGGTTTATCAAATCGTGGTCACTGCAACACGTGTGGTTTATCAAATCGTGGTCACTGCAACACGTGTGGTTTATCAAATCGTGGTCATGGGGGAAGAACAGCCACATTGCTTTCTAGACTTGACACGGCTTCTCAGTTAGGCAAAAACACAGGACAATAAACATACGACACAGACTGAAACCACCCACTCCTACTTGTAGTCATCTGTTACATGGGGAGCCAAGGCAAGGGAGTTAACTGACCATTAAAATCCAGTTTCCACCCTCGTTGAACTAGGCTGGAATTATGGAGTTATATTTTGGCGGGACTAACAAATCTATGCATGGTCCAATGAAAATCGTGTAATGTAATCGACATCTGGTTCATCAACATGAAGCGTTGACAGAAATTAAATTTTTATTTTTCATGTATTCAAGGTGCTTAAGTGATTTGAGGCACTTTGCGAGGTAAGACACGTTTTATTACAACAAAGATATTGATTATCAATCAGATTGTTTCGACTGGTCGTCGCCACTTTGTTTGAAGCAAACGCAAGTGATGTGAGAGGTGGAATCTGATTGGTCAATATGAAGAACATAGAAGGGACATAACTCATAATAGCCACTATTGGCGCTATGATCAAGCCACAATATTCCAGGTTTGTTCGGCAAGGGTGGAAACAGTCGGTTACCTCCCTTGCCTCGGGAAGATGTGGAATTCCCACCTGGGCCAACATGTAACTACAAGCACAGACTTCATTGAAACTTACCTTTTTGTTGGAACGTGGCATTGAAACCCTGCTCTGGGTAGTGCTGATCTGAGTGGAACTTGATGAACATCCAGTTTGTTGACACCTCAATGATGGCCGGAGGTTTGTTGCCCCCGTAGTAGGTCCCTATGAGTGGGCTGCTGCTGCTCCTGCCGTTGTACACCGATACGTAGTCGGTGTTGCGCTCGTGCTGCAGGTTGAAGCTGGAGAAACGCAGCTGCACCTTGTCTCCGGGGTTGCCAGCGTGGATCGTCCACTCACAGTCCTTGCCGTTGGGGTAGTCGCGGGGGTAGCGTGGCGAGGTCAGGGTGCCGTAGATGTCATGCACCACGCCACCACAAGCTTGGTCTGGTCACAAGTGGAAGAAAATTATAACTAATAATGACTGCAAATACAAACTTGTGAAACATAAATCATCAGGTAGCAAAGTATATGGTGGTCTGTTAACAAAACAAAATAATTGTTGATTTGTTTGTTGTTTAACGCCACACTCAGCAATAATCCATCTATATGATGGTGACCTGTAAATAATCAAATCTGGACCAGACAATCGATCTATGCAACTGGGATTACTGACAAGCATTAACCAAGTCAGAAAGCCTGACCAACCAATCCTGCTAGTTGTCTCTTAAGACAAGCATGGGTTGCTGAAGACCAATTCCACCCGGGTCATCAAGGAGCAGTTTGTTGTTGAAAGAAATGACATTACACACGTGAGAGATTATTCTCGAGATTATTCATATACGTTCTAGAAGAATGACTCACGTTGAGGACAGAGGGCCGGTGACTCGTCCGCATCGTTGGTGCAGTCCTGCTGGCCGTTACACTGGTACTCTGGTTTGAGACAAGTCCACCTGCCTGTCTGGACATCGTTGCAGAGGATGGACGGCGGCGAGCACACAGGGTGGTCAGTGGTGACTGAAATCCAGAATCAGTAGTCTACATCTACACAACAAACAGATCGAACATCGTCTACCTGTCCAACATGACCTACTATTGCCTGCACATCCCAATCTACCCACATCATCACAAGCATCGTAACTTCTAAATGTCCCACTGACAGCCACAGTACCGTACCGTAATTTCAAATATTCCAGAGGTACACCCACACTTGCCCATACAGCACAATGTTAAAATTAGTAAAATCTAAATATTTTTTACATTTGTATACTTATCCTGCATTACTCCGTATTGCATTTACTGATATGTTTGACAGAGAGACGAACTGTGTGAGATCCAGCTGCTGAAGAAAGTTGTCCCAACCAGCCCAGGAGGCAGCGCCCTCTCACAGTCGGCACGTGACCCGGAAGTCATGACGTCACACAAAAAGACATAACTGCTTTAAACATAACATCTGAAACTTCGTGGGGAGGTAGCGTAGCGAAAGGGAGGGCACTTAGACTTCGTAATGCAGGATAAGTATACAAATGTAAAAAATATTTAGATTTTACTAAATTTTTTAACTTATCCTGCATTACTCCGTATTGCATCTTTATCAGACGGCTTGGCCGGTGGGCATACTTGCAGATGTGAACCATATTAAACCCTCGTCAAGGTCCGATGAATCCGCACCGCATACAAGTGATGACCGGAACATCTACGACCATTCCTGTCTTCAGGAAACAAGAGTCGATGCAAAAACGAAACGCCCGAATAGGTAACCGAAATACAATGAGGCGTGTAGCCAAAATATATAACTTACCGAAGAGCGAAAGCGAAACGCAGTAGAACCTAGAGCTAATCTGAGGTGATAAACACCAGAGAGTTCGACGGGCCCCGCTCGGGGAATCGAAGAATCAGCGGCGGCGGCGGCAAAATCTACGACCAATCCCAAGAGCAAATGCGAAACGCAGGAGAGCCCTCTAGGCTGGAGGCAAGGAACACCGGTGAGGTCGACGGGCACCGCCCAGGTACCAGAGAAGCAGCGGCGTTGGCGTCGGCGCCGGTGTCCACATCTACTACCATTCCTGTCGTCAGGAAACGAGAGTTGATGCAAAAAGTAAAACCCGGATAGGTGACAGCAATAGAATGAGTCGGGTAACCCAAAACTAAAACTGACCTAAGAGCGAATGCGGAACGCAAGAGAGCCGTCTCGTCTGGGGTGATAAACACCAGAGAGGTCGACGGGCCCTGCTCAGGGTATCGGAGAATCAGTGGCGTCGGAGATAGATGACCTGTTGGGCTACAACCAGGGACCAAAACTGTGAACGCCGGCGACAACTTTCAAGGCTACATCACGGAAGTAGTGGTTGGTGAAGGCGGTGTCCGATCGCCACGAACAGGCTTCCCTGAACGACGGGATGGAACAGTATACCGTGAAGAACCAGTGTAAATACGATCGCCCTGATCTCATTTTATTTCAGGTAATAGCCTTTGGGGGGAGGGTCCAATCCGGCGGCTCATACGCTTTAAGGATGACCGCCCGGAGCCACAGGGAAAAGTATTCCGGCTGACCAACGACAGCGACGAAGGGGAGACCGGCAGAAAAAGGTGTTTCCTAGACTTGCGGCAGTCTTTAGATCGTAGAATAACCTTCAGTGCCCTTACTGGGCATAATGACGCTCATCCTCATCCTCGGCACCCGCACTGGACGAGGGGGGAGGGGACAAGGAATGATCAATCAGGCTGTCCTGGGAGTTGAGTCTTTACGCTGACGTCCCAGTACGGTCCATGATGAACGGCGCCCTGGGTACCGCATTCGAACCGGGCATGGGAGACGTCGAGGGCGTGCTGTACATGGACTCGAGCGGCAGTAGTCAAAACCAGTAGAAACACCCGTCTTCTACTTAAGGTCGTAGAAGGAAGACGAGGGGAGTGGTTCGAAGGGCGTTGAAGACCACATTCAGATCCAACGCAGGCGGTCCAAACTTGGTCTTCAGGTCTTCAAGACTGAACGAGCGCAGCCAGGCCCGTAGGTCGGGAATTTTCGTCTTTCTCCGATCGTCCGGGATGGCCAGAACGGAGTAGATGGCGACCAGGTATGTGGGGGTGGTAAGCCCTTCAACCGATGGGTGCTACACAAGTACAGAAGGAACTGATCCAGGATCTGCGGTGACGCTGTCATCGGATCCTGGTGTTTGTCAGAACAAAATGCCTGGAACAAGCATCATTTATCAGCATACAGTCCCCCTGTAGATGGACGGTGGGCTGAAGCAATAGCCTTGGTCGCTCTAGCCGAATAGCCCTTGGCTTTCTGCATGTGTGTCAGGCGTGCAGACGATAACATGCGGGTATGAGGGTGTGGCTTCTCATTCTAACAGACCGTGTGGATGGAGCAGAAGGTTGGACCACACCGGAAGTTCCAGGGGTTGTCTCTGGCTATGTTTCGGAGGTCGATAACCCAACTTCTGGCTGACCAATAAGGCGAGACCAAAGTCAATGGCAGGGGTCGAGTGGCCTGGATCTCTGAAGAACCGTGGGAGGGAGAACCGGAGTCGGAAAAGCGTACGCGCGTAATCCTTCTCAGGAACGATGGAAGGCTTCGACTGCCACAGCGGTCGTATCCGGCACAGGTGGAATGGAAGACGACAGCTGGCCACATTCAGATATGAGGCAAACAGATCTAGGGTTGGGGTGTCGACCGTTTCACATAGTCTGGCCCGAGGCGCCGGAGAGCGTGAGGCGTCGGAGAGCTTGAGGCGCCTGGAACGCCGAAGATGGTGATTCTCGGGTGCGCCGGTCGAGTTTGTGGCGCCGGGAGAGGGGCGAGAACTCTGGGTCCGCAAACACCACACTACGGTGACGTCGTCAGTGGACACGATCAACAGGGCGTGACCGAGAATGCACTGTCAGCAAGTGCCGTCCTGGATAAGCATTTATCTCGAGGCTGTTGCTGTGCCAATGGTGTTGATCTCTGGATCACAGGTGGTCACAATGTGGGCTGGCGTGGGCCACTAGCCACTGACAAGGTGGCAGGGGAGGTAGTCAGCAACAGGGGTCTGCGATTGCGTACCGTCGGTACGATTCGGAAAAAGGTGTGATCGCCTGCGAGCCAACCTCAAGTAGACGAAGTAAACCAGCTTCACAATCGACCGCCGGGGCATCGACGTAACCGGGTAGTAGGAAGTCGAGGCAATATGGCCATTGCACGAAGTAATGATATCGTTTTCATCCCTGAAGCGGCGTATAAGTACTCCTGTTCTTATATCGAGGTGACGATGGAGGACGACAACACGATACGAGGCAGGTATGCAACAGGGGTCAGTGGGACGGCCGAGGGACTTTAAGTATCAAATCGACACTGTGTCCGGTAGTCAAGGCGGAAGATAGGAAGGTGTCGTAGTCGAAAAGATCAAACCGGACGAAGGAAGGCGATCTCTTCCATCCCTTGAACGCCTATAGGCGCTATCGTTCTTATAGCGAAGGGTTGATGAAACAAGGTTCCTCGTGACAGCCGTGTTGGTAGAGGAGGTCTATTGTTTCCAACATCCGTGCATGGATGGACTGCGACAGGCGCCTGGTTGAGTGGTATCACCAAGCGTACAGGTAGACATGGAAACCAATCTGTAGAAATACATGGCACCCCTTGCCATGGTAAGTTGACCTAAATCCGGTCGGAGTTGTTGACAGTCCGAGTACTTGACACGTGACATGTAAATCACTCTGCGCAGTAGCCGAGAAAACCGCCTTGGAGTCGGAACTGAGGTGCAAACTCCACACACAGACAATCCTCAATGAACTGTGTGAGAGACGATAAAGTGGTGTACCCGAGTTTTGCGATAAAACACGGAACCCCATGGGCGTCGTGCAAAACCCGGGGAGCGCCGAGGAAGAGTCTCTCTCAGGAACGCTGGCGCTAGGGTAGGGTAGAACAGCGTTGATGTCTGCGATGTCGACGAAGTAAACTCTTTGTAAGTGGATGTCGTCGTCGAATCTGATACAGACGCTGTTCACATGACGCTCTGTTTCGATGGAAACCCGCAGGTCATCTCTCCGGAATCATAGCGCTTTAAACGACGGGATTATGGATAACGTCTCAGTGGGCAAGTTGAATCAGACCAACTGTCTATTGGTTGAAATGATTCCACCCAGGAAGTAGAACGATATTTACGATCCCGAAGACCGACGGGAGAGTAGCGAAAGGAGCGGCGACAGTTGTTTCACCATGCTTCTCCGTGTGACGAGTTATGAGACGGCAGCAAGAGAAGAGGGCAGTGGCGCCGGGGAGGCGATTGCCGATGATGCCCCTTAAGCCGCAGTAGAAGATCGGATGGTCGGCTCGTTGATCTGAGCTTGATAAAGCTTGTTGATCTGAAGCTTGTTGAGCGCCGAAGACATCAGAGGATGCGGAGGCGCCGGAGCGCGGAGACATCAGCGGCGCCGGTGGCGCCGAGTCATCGGAGGCGCCGAGTCAACAGCTTGTCATGAACAAGTCATGAAGCTTGTTGAGCGCCGAGTCATCAGAGGCGCCGGTAGCGCCGAGTCATCAGAGGCGCCGGAGGCGCCGTGTCATCAGAGGCGCCGGGAGCGCCGAGACATTGGAGGCGCCGAGTCATCAGAGGCGCCGGGAGCGCCGGGAGCGCCGTGTCATCAGAGGCGCCGGAGGCGCCGTGGGCGCCGTGTCATCAGAGGCGCCGCGTCATCAGAGGCGCCGGGAGCGCCGTGTCATCAGAGGCGCCGGAGGCGCCGGGAGCGCCGGGAGCGCCGTGGGTGCCGTGAGCGCCGTGAGCGCCGTGAGCGCCGTGAGCGCCGTGTCATCAGAGGCGCCGGAGGCGCCGCGTCATCAGAGGCGCCGGAGACATCAGCGTTGACGGTGTTGGAGACCGTGAACGGTCGTATGTCGTGCCAGGGGAGGCAGACTCTACGTTGGGAGCGCTGGAGCCGCCGGTGGAGTAGGAGACCGTGAACGGTCGTATGTCGTGCCAGGGGAGGCAGACTCTACGTTGGGAGCGCTGGAGCCGCCAGTGGAGTAGGAGACCGTGAACGGTCGTATGTCGTGCCATGGGAGGCAGACTCTACGTTGGGAGCGCTGGAGCCGCCAGTGGAGTAGGAGACCGTGAACGGTCGTATGCCGTGCCATGGGAGGCAGACTCTACGTTGGGAGCCGCCGTGAAGCTCCGCTGAGCGCTGCTGCCGTCAACGTAGGTGGGGGTCGACGAGCACGTTGAGCGAGGTGTGTCCTGGATACTCGCATGAGCTGAAGGATCACAGCTACGAATGACTGCAACATCGGCACTGCCTTGTGAAAGTACAGGGCGTCGTACAATCACGGCAGAAAGGGGCGGCCCCGACCAGATTTGTTCCCGCGGAAACAAGTGCAGCGAGGCAGAAAATCTGGAATTTAAGCAAAACATAACTATGTGGCAAAGCCACAAAGTGCGGGAAGCATAATGTGTGGCCAATCACAAAGTATGGGAAGCATAAAGTAACTCAAAAACAGTATATTTTATTAAAGTTTATGAGATAAACAAGTACGCTAAAAGGGAGCGAAAAGGCAAAGCCTTAAGCAAACACGTAACCATGTGGCAAAACCACAGAGTACGGGAGACATAATGTAACTCATAAACTTCGTATTATATTGAAGTTTATGAGAAGAAACAATTACGCTGAGAGGTAGCGAAAAGGCAAGGCTTCAAGCACACCAAAACAACATACATAAATGTAATGTATTACCCAAGCCAAAGAGAGAATTCAAAACGCAGAACACGACATTACGTGGCCACGTGGTGAATGGCCAAAATGGCGGGAAAGAAAACAAAATGGCGGGAACAACATTGCGCCCGTAAATTACTGTGACGTGAGCCACAGACGAGCGATAAACGTTACAATTTACGAATGGGAAGACCCTAAGGTCACGGCCCATATCAGGTAACAATGTAGCAGCATATAATGAATGTAGAAACACGCAAAATATAAAAAACAAATAATAAGCTTTAATTTCCACAAGGGATACAAAGTACATCCGTCCGTGGAGGTGACAAAGCAGTTATGTCTTTTTGTGTGACGTCATGACTTCCGGGTCACGTGCCGACTGTGAGAGGGCGCTGCCTCCTGGGCTGGTTGGGACAACTTTCTTCAGCAGCTGGATCTCACACAGTTCGTCTCTCTGTCAAACATATCAGTAAATGCAATACGGAGTAATGCAGGATAAGTTAAAAAATTGACCCATTGTATTTGAAAATGGGGGCCTTTGTTCAAATTTAGGGGCTAAAAGCACAAGGCCCCACCCTAGAATTACCCCTGAAACTACTAACCTCTTTGACAAATGCTGGGAGATTCATCAGCTCCATTGATACAGTCATTACGGCCATTGCACTGATACTGTGGACTGAGACAGACTCTGGTGCCCGTGTGAATGTCATAGCACATCATGGACGGTGCGGGACAGTGGGGGCTGGGTGTTGTTGCTGAAACACAGACATAGCACATCATGGACAGTGCGGCACAGTGGGGGCTAGGTGTTGTTGCTGAAACACAGACATAGCACATCATGGACGGTGCGGCACAGTGGGGGCTAGGTGTTGTTGCTGAAACACAGACATAGCACATCATGGACGGTGCGGCACAGTGGGGGCTAGGTGTTGTTGCTGAAACACAGACATAGCACATCATGGACAGTGCAGCACAGTGGGGGCTAGGTGTTGTTGCTGAAACACAGACATAGCACATCATGGACGGTGTGGCACAGTGCGGGCTAGATGTTGTTGCTGAAACACAGACATAGCACATCATGGACGGTGCAGCACAGTGGGGGCTAGATGTTGTTGCTGAAACACAGACATAGCACATCATGGACGGTGCGGCACAGTGGGGGCTAGGTGTTGTTGCTGAAACACAGACATAGCACATCATGGACAGTGCAGCACAGTGGGGGCTAGATGTTGTTGCTGAAACACAGACATAGCACATCATGGACGGTGCGGCACAGTGGGGGCTAGATGTTGTTGCTGAAACACAGACATAGCACATCATGGACGGTGTGGCACAGTGGGCGCTGGATGTTGTCCTATATCAGTAGGTAATATCATTTCTGTAATAATCTGCCTAAATAGGATATCTTCCTACACCCTGTTCCTATATCAGTATGTGATATCATTTCTGTAATAACCTGCTTCTATATGCTATCTTCCTACACCCTGCTACATCCTCCCCAATCAGCCCACGGGTCCTGTGACGTACTCTGCCCTGGAATACAGTCAGGGCCGAAGTGTGAGTAGTAAACACCTGACTCTGAGAGAGTACTCACTTCGTGGACAAAGGGAGTGGGACTCGTCTACCCTGGTGAGACAGTCTTGCTTCCCATCACACTGGTACTGACGGCTCAAACATATCTGTTGACCCGTGTGGACGTCACGACACACGATCGACGGATGGAAGCACGTCGGGGCAGGCGTGGCTGTAACACAGATGTGTAGGATAGCACAATGGCAGTAAGAACTGGAGTTGCTGGGATACAGTACCTGTATCACAGTACATGAATGTCATGCTTGTTTTTTTTTGGTTGGTTAACGCCGCACTCAGCAATATTCCAGCTATATGACGGCAGTCTGTAAATAATCGAGTCTGGACCAGACAATCCAGTGATTGACATCATGAGCATTGATCCAGCAATTGGGATATGATGACATGCATCAACCAAGTCAGCAAGCCTGACCCCCTGATCCTGTTAGTTGCTTCTTACAACAAACATAGTTGCCTTTTACGGGAGGCATGGGTGGATGAAGACCTATTCTACCCTGGATCTTCACGGGTCACAAAAGCGAGATGACACAGGACACACTGTTACAAACTAGCAGCTCACTTCTCACAACGGTAACTCTAGCATGCAACACCTACTTGTGACACAGGAGGCCTCGTCGCTGTTATCGCCACACTCATTGCGTCCATTACACCACCAGTCCTTGAAGATACACTTGGTGTTGCTGCATCGCCTTAGACCCGAACCGCACGGCGTATACTGGGGCACCTTCCCTGCAACAAAAGTCACTCGGCTTACACAACATCCAGTGTTTTGGCTGGGTTTTACTAAATTTTGCCAGTTAGGTTCCTTTCAACTTTTGCATTGTCGTATGAAAATCATGACTCTCCCAACTTAGAATAGATGGCACGTGGTCCTGTGCACAACACACAGGTCACAAATCAGGAAAAGTTAACCAACGTCGGGCGCGGAGAGTCCTTGGATGGGTGACCGCATTAGGCAGGGTTTCTAGGGCTTCGGTCCTGCCCCACACTGAAACACATGTAACACATGTGGTGTCTCTTTAGGCAAGTGATCCTTCTCGGGCCTTACAGGCTCCCCAGGGAGCTGAGAATGGAGTGCACACTGCTCCATTGGCCGGGGTAATAATAGTGTAGCGCTATGAGCATCCACTTGGTGAATGGAGTTTGGTGCATTATACATGCACACATTATTGTCATTATATTTCCTCACCCACAATATACTTGAGGGCAAAGTTGTTGTTCTCCACTTGTTGAGTGCTGAAGAAGATACACAAATGTCCTCCCTTCCCCGTGGCGATGTAGGTGAGCTGCGACGATCGGCAATACCTCGTCTGTGACACTGGGCCTATCTCTACAAAGTTTTTACTACAGCTGTCATCTGGGCTGCTGTCGATGTTCAAGGATTCGAAGCTGGATAAAAATACATTAATAAATGAAGGTCTTAACCGTGAGTTAACATTGCTTAACAGTGAGTTAACATTGCTTAACAGTGAGTTAACATTGCTTAACAGTAAGTTAACATTGCTTAACAGTGAGTTAACATTGCTTAACAGTGAGTTAACATTGCTTAACAGTGAGTTAACATTGCTGAACAGTAAGTTAACATTGCTTAACAGTGAGTTAACATTGCTTAACAGTGAGTTAACATTGCTTAACAGTGAGTCAACAGTGAGTTAACATTGCTTAACAGTGAGTTAACATTGCTTAACAGTGAGTTAACATTGCTTAACAGTGAGTTAACATTGCTTAACAGTGAGTTAACATTGCTTAACAGTAAGTTAACATTGCTTAACAGTGAGTTAATATTGCTTAACAGTGAGTTGACATTGCTTAACAGTAAGTTAACATTGCTTAACAATAAGTTAACATTGCTTAACAGTGAGTTAAGATTGCTTAACAGTGAGTTAACATTGCTTAACAGTAAGTTAACATTGCTTAACAGTGAGTTAATATTGCTTAACAGTGAGTTGACATTGTCACCTGATGATGTAGTTATAACATGATAGTGATGTAGTTATTATCTGATGATGCAGTTACTACCTGATAGTGAAGTTATAACATGATAGTGATGCAATGATGATCTGATAGTGAAGTAGTTATTATCTGATGATGCAGTTATTACCTGACAGTGATGCAGTTATTACCTGATGATGCAGTTATTACCCGATAGTGATGTAGTTATTACCTGATAGTGATGCAGTTATTACCTGATACATGTGATAGTGATGCAGTTATTACCTGATAGTGATGTAGTTATTACCTGATCATGCTGATAGTGAAGTAGTTATTATCTGATGATGCAGTTATTACCTGACAGTGATGTAGTTATTACTTGATAGTGATGTGGTTATTACCTGATAGTGATGTAGTTATTACCTGATGATGCAGTTACTACCTGATAGTGATGTAGTTATTACCTGATAGTGATGCAGTTATTACCTGATAGTGATGTAGTTATTACCTTATGGTGCAGTTATTACCTGATAGTGATGTAGTTATTACTGATAGTGATGTAGTTATTACCTGATGATGCAGTTATTGCCTGATACATGTGATAGTGATGCAGTTATTACCTGATAGTGATGTAGTTATTACCTGATCTAATAGTGATGCAGTTATTACCTGATAGCGATGTAGTTATTACCTAATAGTGATGCAGTTATTACCTGATAGCGATGCAGTTATTACCTAATAGTGATGCAGTTATTACCTGATAGTGATGGTGGCGTTCTCTGGGGCCTGTATGAACCAGTATTTACAGTACACGCTCGGGTACACCAGCATCCTCGTGCTCCGTATCTCCCCGCTCGGCTCTGTCACCACCTCCTTGGAGCACGCTGTACACAGCAATCAGTAGGATGACACCGGAGCTCCACAAACTTTATAATGTTTCTGATGTGGCATAATCTTTTACAGAATACTCTAATTACACACATTGTTTCACAACTAAAACCTAATGAATTGAAGTGCCTTGGTGGACAGCCCCCTAGACCAGTACAACATGTTGTGGTGTTCATGTTTACAGGAGTTGAGTTTATATACGACAAGTGGAACATTGTGGTGAGGATTGCCAAAGGTAACTAAGCTTTGTGATATCCAATTTCTTCAATTTCCTGAACCTACGAATTCAACGGTAAACCTAAAAAACATGACATGTATTTGATTACCCGACAACCATAATTTAATATGCCTTGTGTCCAGCACTGTCCAGTGGTATTCCCTCACAGTGACAAAATGAAACTATGTACCACACTTTACAGCAGTTCTCCTGCTTACCCTGTAGTTGCAGGGCCTTTAAATAATATAGAAAAGATAAAAGTTTACCTTCCTACCCACCCATCCACCCACCTACCCATCCATCTGACCACCTACCCACCCATCCACCACTCTACCCATCCACCCGGCCACCCACACACCTACCTGTTGTAAGTGTATGTTAGGGTATGGGAGTTACGACAGTCTTAACTTTTATATCACTTTCCACCCAGTCCCTGAGACTGACCACTGGTTCCTAAATTAGCCGCCTCTTATGACTTTGACTAGTCTCTTTGACTATGACTAGTCCTTTTGACTATGACTAGACTATGACTAGTCATAAGAGGCAGCTAATTTAGCGGTGGGGTGCTGGGGACACACAGGCCTAAGAAGATTGTAACTCCAATACATAACAGACATACAACAATTGTAGCACTACGATTGCTTTGTGTTACCTGAATATTAAGAGTGAGTGAGCTGGGTTTGATGCCGATTTTAACAGAATGACAGTTATATCACGGCGTGTCAGCTTAATGTGGGAGGAAAGCCCGAAGTGATGCAGGTCTTAGACGTTTACCACTTCGGTGAAACTCCTGGTAGCACAGGTATGGTGCTGACAAACCTAGAAACATAATCGGGGCGAACCAGGATTCGAACCCACAATCATAGGTTTCTGTCCAAGGGATGCAACTCTGCACAGCGAATCGCGGTGCCTGAGATGACTGGGCCCCCTGAATTAAGAGGTAACACTAAACAACGTATAAACAGTGCTAGTTGGTCTGTTCCACTTACCATGCTTGCTGGCGTGAGTTGTCCCCAGCCCAGCACAGAGCAGCGCACCTGGAGAAGAGAACAAAGCATGTTACAACCAGCATCTTTCATCATCACCATAGGTACTGGAGCTCACGTACCTGGATGACATGTTTGTTTGTTGTTTAACACCGCACTCAGCAATATTCCAGCAATATGACGGTGGTCTGTAAAATAAATTGGAGTCTGGACCAGACAATCCAACGATTGATATCATGAGCATCGATCCATACAATTAGAATATGATGACATGCATCAACCAAGTCAGTTAGTCACCTCTTACGACAAGCAAGGGTTGCTGAAGACCTATTCTCTGCCTGCATCTGCACAGGTAAAAATAAACGTGATAAACGTGATGGAGTGATGGTGAGCATGGCCATGTCTACAAACTCCACGAATCTACCTCGCCTACCCACAGTGTTTGAAACATGGTCTGGCCATCTTATCATAGTGAGTGAGTGAGTTTGATTTTACGCCGCTTTCAGCAACATTCCAGCAATATCATGGCAGGGGTTACTAGAAATAGGCTTCATACATTGTACCCATGATAAGAATCATCTGTCTTCGGCGTGACAAGCAAACGCTTTTACCACTAGGTTACCCGACCATCCTTGTCAAGATAAATTCACCCCGTATTGCAGTGGTAACACTGAGTATGAGGGCTGCAACATCCCAAGCACGGTGAGGTGACACCATGACTTAGTGGAATCAGTCTTCAAGTTAGTGGGACACTCTCCTTTCTGGCAACCAGTGTCTACATTGAGTACATCATATTCATCTTAACGCTTAAGTGAGAGAGTTAAACTTTAGAGTCACATCAGCAATATTTTTCCTCCTGAAGTCCCCTCGCCATGCAAGGGGCCAGTGTTTGACATAAGTTTAAAATCCAAAAAAGACAGTCAGACAGGTGACCCATAAATGTTGCCTGCCCATCTTCAAAGTTACCTGTCTGCATTCAGACATTGTAAAGATTGAAAAATTGTAACAGCCTAAAGAACAAAAAAAGAGACCAATTGTGTCTTGATTCAGCTGAAATAATGCAAAGAATTACTTGACAATCTACAAAGAGTAATCATAAAACTGAACATGTAAGCATGGTAAGTAGTCTTCAGATTATCCGCCAGACAGTCCTCTGACAGTGGAGGAAACATTCATGCAGTCCGACAGCCATAGGAGGCAGGGTGAGTGAGTGAGTGAGTGAGTATGGTTTTACGCCGCTTTTAGCAATATTCCAGCAATATCACGGCGGGGTACACCAGAAATGGGCTTCACACATTGTACCCATTTCAGGAATCGAACCCAGGTCTTCGGCGTGACGAGCGAACGCTTTAACCACTAGGCTACCCGACCGCCCACATAGGGGGCAGGGCAGGCAGTTATTTCAGACACTGCAAGAGGCTGACAATACCTCATGGACTACGATAAGTTCAACTGTGGACCCCATCATCATGGTCGCTGTACTTGTAAACTCAGCTAATGCCCTAGAAAATAAGTTACTGTGATGCCTTAACTCAGTGGTAATAATACACTTGTCCACAAACTATAAGGAATATCCATGAACACCATTAATTACGAATTCCAATTGTGTGGATCGATGCTCATGATGTCAATCACTGGATTGTCTCGTCCAGACTCAATTATTTACAGACCACAATCATATAGACGGAATATTGCTGAGTGTGGCGTTAAACAACAAACAAACAAACAAACTATTAATTTCCCAATCCCAACTGTGTAGCCTAGTTGCTATGTGACCATGTGGACAACATCCTGCATTATCACAGACTTGTAGACATATGATGTGAAAATATCACATAATCGGCATTTGGAGGTTTTCACTTAGGATTAGCAGATAAGTTTATCTTTCATTGAAACAAGCCTGGAAGCATCAAACAGCTCATCTTTGAACTCGGCCCACTACAGCTCAGCATGAAACAGATTTTCATGTTAAACACACCCACTCTTCAATTCAACACTTCCTGTTCACAAACATGCAGAGCAAATTCTTGATTGTATACACGATAAAGCTGAACAACCTGTGACCACATGACGTCCTGTTCAACAGTGTGTGTCAGCGTGTGCTCTCCCTGGTAACCATGTCACCATGTTCAGTGGAGCATAGCCTCGGACAACCACATCAAGGTCACAAGGTGGAAGTCACCATGTTCAGTGGAGCATAGCCTCGGACAACCACATCAAGGTGGAAGTCACCATGTTCAGTGGAGCATAGCCTCGGACAACCATATCAAGATGGAAGTCACCATGTTCAGGGGAGCATAGCCTCGGACAACCACATCAAGGTGGAAGTCACCATGTTCAGTGGAGCATAGCCTCGGACAACCACATCAAGGAGGAAGTCACCATGTTCAGTGGAGCATAGCCTCGGACAACCACATCAAGGTGGAAGTCACCATGTTCAGTGGAGCATAGCCTCTGACAACCACATCAAGGTGGAAGTCACCATGTTCAGTGAAGCATAGCCTCGGACAACCACATCAAGGTGGAAGTCACCATGTTCAGTGGAGCATAGCCTCGGACAACCACATCAAGGTGGAAGTCACCATGTTCAGTGGAGCATAGCCTCGGACAACCATATCAAGATGGAAGTCACCATGTTCAGGGGAGCATAGCCTCGGACAACCACATCAAGGTGGAAGTCACCATGTTCAGTGGAGCATAGCCTCGGACAACCACATCAAGGAGGAAGTCACCATGTTCAGTGGAGCATAACCTCGGACAACCACATCAAGGTGGAAGTCACCATGTTCAGTGGAGCATAGCCTCTGACAACCACATCAAGGTGGAAGTCACCATGTTCAGTGGAGCATAGCCTCGGACAACCACATCAAGGTGGAAGTCACCATGTTCAGTGGAGCATAGCCTCGGACAACCACATCAAGGTGGAAGTCACCATGTTCAGTGGAGCATAGCCTCGGACAACCACATCAAGGAGGAAGTCACCATGTTCAGGGGAGCATAGCCTCGGACAACCACATCAAGGTGGAAGTCACCATGTTCAGTGGAGCATAGCCTCGGACAACCACATCAAGGTGGAAGTCACCATGTTCAGTGGAGCATAGCCTCGGACAACCACATCAAGGTGGAAGTCACCATGTTCAGTGGAGCATAGCCTCGGACAACCACATCAAGGAGGAAGTCACCATGTTCAGTGGAGCATAGCCTCGGACAACCACATCAAGGTGGAAGTCACCATGTTCAGTGGAGCATAGCCTCGGACAACCACATCAAGGTGGAAGTCACCATGTTCAGTGGAGCATAGCCTCGGACAACCACATCAAGGTGGAAGTCACCATGTTCAGTGGAGCATAGCCTCGGACAACCACATCAAGGAGGAAGTCACCATGTTCAGGGGAGCATAGCCTCGGACAACCACATCAAGGAGGAAGGAGGAAGTCACCATGTTCAGTGGAACATAGCCTCTGACAACCACATCAAGGAGGAAGTCACCATGTTCACTGGAGCATAGCCTCTGACAACCACATCAAGGAGGAAGTCTCCAGTTGTAAATAATAATTTGCACATCATAAGTTGGCACAATACAACAGAAGGATCTCAGGGTTGACAGGGGGCCTTGTCTGTGATTATGGAAGATTATGTGTGGTTGCTTCGTGGGGACCTGACTGATTGATCTCTGATTGTTTCAAAAATCAGAACACAAAGAGTCATGACGATAACTAATACTAAGCAGACAACTTTGATCACCACAACACCTTCCACTGGCTTATGCTGATATGTTGTTGTTGTTTGTTGTTTAACGCCGCACTCAGCAAAATTCCAGCTACATGTATATGATGGAGGTCGGTAAATAATCGAGTTTGGACCAGACAATCCAGTGATGGACATTATGAGCATCGATCTATGCAATTCGGATACGATGACATGCATCAACCAAGTCTGCGAGTCTGACCACCCGATCCCGTTAGTCGCCTCTTGCAACAAGCATAGTAGCCTTTTACAACAAGCATGCGGACATGTGTGTGTATCACAACTGGCAAAGTCCCGTGTTCAGACATTGCTAGCCCTAGGATGGAGATGATCCCCAAGTCTACCCTGTCACTGATAACAGTCCCCATGGCCTGTTGTCACAGCGGCTGGGAGACTCACTGGACCATGACGGCTCACACATCAGCATGACACACACTTCTAAACATAGACTGCACTGACGACTGGTTGTCAGTTGTCACCTGATCTGCTATTCTCTACAGGTGTGTCAGTGATTTTGCAGGAGACAAATGACATCAGGAAATTTTAACGACTTTATCAACCTTTGACAGGACATTCTTCCATATCATTACCAAACTAATACCTGTAATATATTTTGTATGACAAACCCAAATCAGGACACAGAAAATGAATCGATCTGAACGTTGAGTTGTTCAAGATTCTGATTAAATGGCAGCCAATGCAGCCTGTAGGCAAACAAAAGTCCATAACCTAGAGTTGAAGTGTTATTTAGTGAGTTCAAATAGTACTCAAGCCACAATAGAAGTCTGTCCACCACCATGACTAGGTCACGGTGACCTCCACTGTACTACATAGATAACACAACAATCTTTGCAAGCTGCATGGGTTATAACCAGAGTACAACTTGTTGCTGGCTGCAGCAATTGATGGAGCGTGTATACCGCGGTACAGGGTATATGACTAACAGAGCTGTTCATTACGGTAAAGTCGACACAATTTATGGATAACAACTTCCTCATTTACTGTAAAGGTGATGTTTCTGTATGGGTCCTTATACCATTGTCAAGCAAGGCCTAGGACCTATACCGAAATCTTGCCTTTACAGTATTAAAGAAGTTGTTATCCATAAATTGTGTCTACTTAGTCATCCGTCAACTTCCAAGTAATGCCTATAAAACAATTCAAGTTGCTAATTATGATTTAATTTAGATGGATTGGAGCTAAGTTTAGTGATATATTGTAATGCCAGTTTTATGCATCTCAAACTAAGACAGTGTCACGTTCTCACATCTCTATTCACTGCAGGAGAGTTCATGCATCTAATGCCTGCATTCAATCAGTAAACAAAAATACAAGTAAATACAGGAAATATGTATATAACCGGCCATGATGGGCTACCTAAACTATTTTTTTAATGCAAAATTATGCTTATTTGCGTGCAAGCAACTTAAAACTGATTGGATAATGGGGAAAGTATTTGCTTCACACATACACACTATTTATTTGTGCTCTGACACATTTATAGATATATATGTATAACAGTGCTCTGACACACTTATAGATATATAACAGTGCTCTGACACACAGATAGATATATATGTATAACAGTGCTCTCACACACTTATAGATATATAACCGTGCTCTGACGCACCGAGATATATATGTATAACAGTGCTCTGATACACTTATAGATATATAACCATGTTCTGATACACTTATAGATATATATGTATAACAGTGCTCTGACACTTATAGATATATAACCGTGCTCTGATACACTTATAGATATATATGTATAACAGTGCTCTGATACACTTATAGATATATAACAGTGCTCTGATACACTTATAGATATATATGTATAACCGTGCTCTGATACACTTATAGATATATAACCGTGCTTTGATACACTTATAGATATATATGTATAACAGTGCTCTGATACACTTATAGATATATAACCGTGCTCTGATACACTTATAGATATATATGTATAACAGTGCTCTGACACTTATAGATATATATGTATAACAGTGCTCTGATACACTTATAGATATATAACCGTGCTCTGATACACTTATAGATATATATGTATAACAGTGCTCTGATACACTTATAGATATATAACCGTGCTCTGATACACTTATAGATATATATGTATAACAGTGCTCTGACACTTATAGATATATACCGGTAACCATGCTCTGACACACTTACAGATATCTATGTATAACAGTGCTCTGACACTTATAGATATATATGTATAACAGTGCTCTGATACACTTATAGATATATATGTATAACAGTGCTCTGACACTTATAGATATATACCGGTAACCATGCTCTGACACACTTACAGATATATAACCGTGCTCTGACACACTTATAGATATATATGTATAACAGTGCTCTGACACTTATAGATATATACCGGTAACCATGCTCTGACACACTTACAGATATATAACAGTGCTCTGACACACTTACAGATATATATGTATAACAGTGCTCTGACACACTTATAGATATATACCGGTAACCATGCTCTGACACACTTACAGATATCTATGTAGAACAGTGCTCTGACACACTTATAGATATATACCGGTAACCATGCTCTGACACACTTACAGATATCTATGTAGAACTGTGCTCTGACACACTTATAGATATATATGTATAACAGTGCTCTGATACACTTATAGATATATATGTATAACAGTGCTCTGAAACACTTATAGATATATAACCGTGCTCTGATACACTTATAGATATATATGTATAACAGTGCTCTGATACACTTATAGATATATAACCGTGCTCTGATACACTTATAGATATATATGTATAACAGTGCTCTGACACTTATAGATATATACCGGTAACCATGCTCTGACACACTTACAGATATATATGTATAACAGTGCTCTGACACACTTACAGATATCTATGTAGAACAGTGCTCTGACACACTTATAGATATATATGTATAACAGTGCTCTGACACTTATAGATATATACCGGTAACCATGCTCTGACACACTTACAGATATCTATGTAGAACAGTGCACAACCAGTGGGGTTGAGTAAAGTGTCTATATTGTCTGGTTGAACTGCCTGGTGTGTAACGCCATGCTACCAATATACACTTAAGTAGGGACATGGTGGTGTGGGGTAACCATGGCAACTAATTGGTAAAGCCATTCATGCAGCAAATAACCTAACATAGTGGAGGCATCAAGGAGAGGTGAACATGGATGTGCGAAACCTGGGTGAGTGAGTGAGTGAGTGAGTAAGTGAGAGTGAGTGAGTGAGTGAGTTGGGTTTAGCATCGCTTGTAACAATATTCTAGTTTTATCACAGCGTGTCAGCTTATTGTGGGAGGAAACCAACAAGTGATGCAGGTCTCAGATGTTTACCACTTTGGTGTGGTGCTGACAAACTTAGAAACATAATCGGGGAGAACCAGGATTCAAACCCACAATTAGGCTCCTGGCATTAGCAAGAGATTCTACCTAGCACAGCAAAGTGCTGCGCCTGAGACCACTGGGCCACCCGTGCCCCCTGAGTTATTACTATCGACTGTGGAAATGTATAGTGCTAAGAAGTAAAATTAAAGTACTTGCTCCTCATTCTCAAACATGAAATTCTTCTATAGAATGTTTAACATGTTTAGTAATGGACTAATAAATCAAATAAGTGAAAAGTTTCAACATATTCTTTACTCGACCCCTGAAGATCCGGGGTAGAATAGGTTTTCAGAAACCAAGGCTTGCCGTAAAAGGTGACTATGCTTGTCGTAAGAGGCGACTAACGAGATCAGGTGGTCAGACTCGCTGACTTGGTTGATGTATGCAATCGTATCCCAACTGAGTGGATCGATGCTCATGATGTCAATCACTGGATTGTCTGGTTCAGATTCGATTATTTACAGACCGCCGTCATATTGCTGAAATATTGCTGAGTGTGGCGTTAACCAACAAACAAACAATATTCTTGACTCAATCATTCATGATGTGACATAAATATCAGGCTGTTTGAGGAGTAAGCTTACAACCTCGGTCCATTCTCTGTCTTCACAAATACTAAATGAGACTGATCAGGCTAATTGGTGACAAGATAAACTCAAGGTGCTCAATATGAGTAAGAAAAGATTTCATTTCTCAGGATCAGTAACCATGGTAACTTCAGAATTATGTTGATGTCAGTCTTAATACATATGTTAGTAAAAGTCTTTGAGAGTGACCTTGATTTCTTTAAAGTGAAAGTCTAACGTGTTGCAACCATGGAACACAGTCACACATATTCTGTGACAGCAACACTGCCATGATCAGTAGACGTGGAGCGAGGGTTGTAATGTAGAGGTTAGTGTTACATTACTTTCTGTGTTTTGTTTTTTGTTTAACAACGCACTCAGCAATATTCCAGCTATATGACAGCGGTCTGTAAATAATCGAGTATTGGGATACGATGACATGAATCAACCAAGTCAGAGAGCATGACCACCCAACCCGTTAGTTGCCCTGGTGAAAAATGTTATCTCTGAATAATTTTAGACGCAAGCTCGGAGATTCACACAGTATAACCAGCGCTTTTAAATCGTTCACACTTCAATGAACCCACCCAAACTGACATTCAATTCTTAAAATATTTTTTAATGTGAAGTTTACATGATATACTTCTTTCCCATTGGACGAGAGGCCAGTCACATGACCACGAAACTGACGTTCATAAGTGTGTAACAACAAAATTTGATGTTCAAACGTTTTTAACAAGACCATATTCTTGAAATGATGGATTGATTACTTCTTCCATGCTTAAACGTTGTTGCAAGCTCCGATGTTCATACAGTTTGGCCCTCACTATATCATGCTATATGAACGTTCGTACTCCAATGAACTCACAAAAGTGAAAGTCATTTCTTAAATATCAAGCATCAAGCTTGTAACCTCAATCACTGTCTATTTCAGCATGGTACATGAACAACCAATAATGACAATGCGTCAAAAATACCGAGAGAGCTCATACAACTTCTGCATGGCTGGGAAAGTTAATCTGCATGTTATAAGACATCGCTATCAGCAATGATCAACGACAAGACGGAGTCACATGATCAATAACCTATATGGCCTGCGAGACAGTAGTCCTGGTAGTTGGAGGCCTGAGTAAATAGAGGCCATATTTATGAGGGTCTAGTAGTCAGCTTAGCTACCTGGTAATAATAGTCTGAATTTATACAATGCAGATTAGTAGACTCACAAAATGTTTTTCTTCATGACCATGATGACAGAAGACCACTAGACTACCAAATGTTTTGTTGTTGTTGCAAGAATGTCACAAACTGGCTATTCATGTCAAATAAACAATCAACAGTCTTGTCATCACATGAACTGGTAAAGCATGACTATTGTGCAAATATGAAATTGATACAATATGAAGAGCATGGTATGTGCAAAAAGACTCCAGTACGAAACAATATTATTTGAAAAGTCATTGTTTAAAGTGGTTTCAATTTAATCTCAGATGGTTGTGGGACAGTGGTCGAAATAAGTGCCAACCCGTAGGCCTGTGGCAAGTAGATCTTGTGTCGGGGCAGTAGTTTCAGATTTGAATGGGTCCTTATGGCCATGCAGTGAGTCATTTCAGTGAAGATTTATTTGTCACAACAAGCTGCAGTTTTTTTTAATGAGGGTCTGAAGAATTTAGTCAAGGCCTGCAGATTCTAAAGTCTGTGGGTCCTGATGGCAGCCTGCCTATATTTTTTTTATATATTTCAAACACTGCTGTGGGAGCAGTTGTGGTGGGTCATGAAACATATTTTAAAAAGCCTAAATTATCTTCATGTTCATGTCATAAAAAAATACATTTGTCCAGTGCAGTTCTTGTTAACAAGGCATAGTGCTGTCACTTTTATGGTGATTCTCAAGGGCCTATACCCTACACTTTAGTTGCCATATGATAATCATATAACACGCTTGACATATTACTATTACTATCTTACTAAGGGTTAATAGGCATTCAGTTTAGGCGATGGTTACACCAGGAAAGGTTGACAGGAAAAGTTGAGCAGGAAAAGTTGAGCAGCTAAAGTGATGACGTCGTGCCTTATCGTAGCACACAAGGTTAGATCATGGCCCTAACACAAACAGAAATATGACGATACGATTCTGGACAAATTCATGATCATGATTAAAGATGACTGCTTGTGATGTCAGCGTCGTTCGTAAATGTTACTGATGGAATTATGTCCATGTAGCGTGCATCTCATCACACTCACCAACAGCGAGGTATCCCCGGATCTGGAGTGTTGTCAATGTCCTTGTCATTGTTGACAGATTCAATCAGAACTTCCTACTTCTTCACAACCTGGCATAGAAGTGAATCTCGGTGTTACCAGACGATATATATCTACTATCTGTACTATGATCGATCCTCAGTTAGATAACCTAACATGCTGCTTTGTTGTTGGACACAAATATAGCCAGTGAGAAAGTTGAAACTCATTTGTTTTCAGCTGTCTCAACACAATGTCCTGGTTCACGCCACCATCTTGAATTCATTGGAGCGTGACGTCGATGTAGAGTTACGCCCCTTTAAATATCCTAATTACAAGCTCCATGACACCACATGCCTCCCAGTGATTTTCCCGATTTCGCCGCGTGAGTCTAAATGTGTGTAATGCCCAAGGTATCGATGTGGGGAGCTTGACCCATATTGGAGCTTTTATTGTTGCTTTAAACAGTTCTTGCATGCGCTCCTGCCCTATATTTCTTAAAATTGCGTATCGATGGTAGCTTTCCTTTTAGTTTAATCACTAATTGGTTATGGACATTCAAAAAACATATTCATATTTTTTTTTCTAAATCTATAGTCATGTCAAAAGACCGTCGACCAGGACAAAACTGAACTAAATACAATTTACGACCATTGTAACACTAAAAGATAGAAAAAAACACACACAAAAACAATAACACCCAAACACGTTATTTAGGTGTGTTTCTTTACGCTGTTATAAAGCATGTTTCAAGTAGAAGGTGAGGGTTACCATTCTGAGTACGACAAAGTGTAAATAAAATAACATAATTATGCCTTTCATAAACCCCAACAAACAAAGTCATACGCCTTGAATTGTCAATCAATGTTTTAGTCAACCTTTTTAAAATTTGTGACGAAAAAACTATTTTTTCCTGTGAGTAAATTTTTACACACTATACTCAGAAATTAAATTATGAAAAATACTGTGCCCTTTTTGTATGGGAATAAACTTAATTATCTGTCATAAACAATATATATATTTTATATTAGTCGCCTACAAACTTAAATCAGTCGATGGTTTTCTTTCTTCTGTTTAATAAGGAAAACTATTAACGCGTGATTACAGGGAACATTTAGTTGTAAGAACAAGTAGCGGCTATCCATAGAGTGTATTCCAATGCGGCATCACTTTACGTGACAAATTGTTTTTACCTGACACCTAACACTTTCACGTCACGTGTGTTTTAAGTGGTAAATAACGAAGTGATCGTACAGAATGGCCAGGATTTATTGATAAGGGGAAGGGTCATATTCTCAATATTTCCCTTCATGTGTGTGTGTGTGTGTGTGTGTGTGTGTGTGTGTGTGTGTGTGCGTGCGCGCGTGAGTGCGTGCGCGCGGATTGTGCTTAAAAAGGAGGCAGGAGGTGATTGGAGGTGATCATATCAATTCGGAATTGAAGATTCGCCATAGTGCCGTGAAACTAATATTTCTATACCATCAAACTCGCAGAAGAGACCGAAGGCTCTGGACACTGAACATAAATTTCCAATTCATTTTCTCTTTAAAAGCCATATCAGACTTAACCGTATATGTCTTAAGATTTGCAAAAACAATTACAAAGGTAAGATTTAGTGCCCAACTAGTGACATACTAGATGAAAATTATGGACATATATGTGCATACAGATCAACCTTCTAAACGACAAGAATGCGTGTACCTGTCACATGGACGAATAGCAGAAAACGATACATTATGGAATTTATAACTTGAAGAAAATTGTATAAAGGGAGGTAACCGTTACGAGCTGTCAAACAGCTGTTGTCATGTTGCAAGTTGCTGGCGGTTTGATGCGAGAAGTTGGACTCGTCCGTGAGCCACGAGATGCACGCAGATGTCAACCGGCAAATTATCGTCTGCTCGCCAGTCGTCAGGACAATTATGATGTGTGGGCATGGTACACATGAGGATGGGGTCTGAACGCTAGTTCAAAGCAATGTCTACGAGAGATTCCTGCAAATGTGTGCCACAACCATTATCCCTGCTGAGCGCTGTCTGCATAATTTATGCAAGGGGCCCAGTTCTGCGAAAGAAGGTATTTGTTAGAATGCTGCAATTGGAATTTTATAGCCGTGAAATTTTCTTTGATGGATTTGTGAGAACCCCCAGACGATGTTCGACCGGGAGTAAATCGGATTGCAATCAGTGCCCGTGGGATAACAATCTCTTGTCCAAAGACGGCATCTGTTGTTGTGATGCGACTGATGTCTTTTAACTGAGTGGGAGCGATTTCAGCTATGGTTCCTGATGTCTGAACTGGGTCAGGAATAATTTAACCAGCTTAAATCGGTAAAGGATGTCTATGATTTCTTTTTCACTGATGTATTGTATAGCACTGTAGGCCCACTACCCGAAACTGTTCATCTGGGTGTACAATTGGCCCTGGCCGTTCCTGGTACCAAGAACAGAGGCAGCCAGGGCTATATTCTAAGCCCTTGATTGTTTCTGAATTTCTTATGCAAATGATTCATGATAATTTCGAGCAGCACTTGTAGTGTCAACAACAAATGTTTTAGGTGTTCACAAATGTATGTATATTTTTAGAACATATTTCAGAAATCATGTTCCGGAATACTCAGAATGAATTATATATTAGTATTCTTGAGGTAAGAAACTGATAAGGCTGTCACAACGATGGAAAAAAATTTGGAAACGTGAATACTTTTGTTTCCAATCGGAGGATAAGCACATCTAGGTCTCCGGTTGTATATAAGTATTTATTACCTGTCAGTGAAATTAGATTAAATTAATTAATTAAATTAGATTCTGTATTAAGAATATTCACAAAACAATTTCCTGGAAACAGAAAATATTTTCAACTATTCGTATGAAATACTACACCAGCCCATCACCACATTAAACACTATTCTTGAAATAAGACAAGAAATTATTATCCCTGTTTGTTTTGTTTTGTGAAAGGCTCTTTGACTAAATAGAACATGAAGATGATCCCAAAGTATCAAATTAATATGAGATTACCTGTCATTAAGCTAAAAGGGATTGATCTAGTATATGTATTCCAAACTAACTGCCCTTGGCTGGAAAATTGGTGAAAAATGATTGTTTTGTTTTAAATTAGGATTCCTGGTTAGAATCGGTCCCCAGCAATCTATGCTGGTCACAAGAGGCTGCTGAAAATTATCAGGTGGTCAGGCTCGGTGGTCAGGCTCAGTGGCTTGGTTGATAGAATGTTCTTGTACCCTGACAGCAGGGATTGTTGCACAAAATGTCGAGCACTGGATTGTCTGGTCCATACTTGATTATATGCAGGCCGCTGTCATAAAGCTGGAAAAAAGCTGAGGGCAGCTTTAAGCCTCAAACAAACTTCTGTGTCTGCTGGTTATGGAAGCTCGGAGATGCTTTTCAGATTGGTGTTAAATAATCAAGTCAAACAATAAAAATAATGTTATGTTTTTCTGTTATCAGATGTGCATGATTGTCAAACTATTCCAGTGGTTTAAACATATATTCAAAGGCACAAGTTATTGTGACATCAGAACAAGATATACAATGACCCCGTCACCTCATTATAAGACTGTAGTATATTATTACTGCATGCTATTGCTACGCCTACTGTGTGTTAACTACGTCATACGTGACGTCATCAGTACTGATTTCATATGGAAAGAACAATGCCTGAAGGTATAGTGAAAAGCATCACTCCATATGCAGAGTGCTCCTTCCATATGCAAAAGAGTCCTGTCACTCAGAGGGGTTCAGAGGGGTTCAGAGGCAAGTTCAGTCTCGAGAAAGTTCCCCTTTTCAATGATGCAGGCCTGGCCCCATCACCTCATTATAAGACAGTAGTATATTATTACTGCATGCTATTGCTATGTCACCTCATTATAAGACAGTAGTATATTATTACTGCATGCTATTGCTATGTCACCTCATTATAAGACAGTAGTATATTATTACTGCATGCTATTGCTGTCACCTCATTCTAAGACAGTAGTTTATTATTACTGCATGCTATTGCTGTCACCTCATTATAAGACTGTAGTATATTATTACTGCATGCTATTGCTATGTCACCTCATTATAAGACAGTTGTATAGTATTACTGCATGCTGTTGCTATGTCACCTCATTATAAGACAGTAGTATATTATTACTGCATGCTATTGCTCTGTCACCTCATTATAAGACAGTAGTATATTATTACTGCATGCTGTTGCTATGTCACCTCATTATAAGACAGTAGTATATTATTACTGCATGCTATTGCTATGTCACCTCATTATAAGACTGTAGTATATTATTACTGCATGCTATTGCTATGTCACCTCATTATAAGACAGTAGTATATTATTACTGCATGCTATTGCTATGTCACCTCATTATAAGACAGTAGTATATTATTACTGCATGCTATTGCTATGTCACCTCATTATAAGACAGTAGTATATTATTACTGCATGCTATTGCTATGTCACCTCATTATAAGACAGTAGTATATTATTACTGCATGCTATTGCTATGTCACCTCATTATAAGACTGTAGTATATTATTACTGCATGCTGTTGCTATGTCACCTCATTATAAGACTGTAGTATATTATTACTGCATGCTATTGCTATGTCACCTCATTATAAGACAGTAGTATATTATTACTGCATGCTATTGCTATGTCACCTCATTATAAGACTGTAGTATAGTATTACTGCATGCTATTGCTATGTCACCTCATTATAAGACAGTAGTATATTATTACTGCATGCTATTGCTATGTCACCTCATTATAAGACTGTAGTATAGTATTACTGCATGCTATTGCTATGTCACCTCATTATAAGACAGTAGTATATTATTACTGCATGCTATTGCTATGTCACCTCATTATAAGACAGTAGTATATTATTACTGCATGCTATTGCTATGTCACCTCATTATAAGACAGTAGTATATTATTACTGCATGCTATTGCTATGTCACCTCATTATAAGACTGTAGTATATTATTACTGCATGCTGTTGCTATGTCACCTCATTATAAGACTGTAGTATATTATTACTGCATGCTATTGCTATGTCACCTCATTATAAGACAGTAGTATATTATTACTGCATGCTATTGCTATGTCACCTCATTATAAGACTAGTATATTAGGCGAAACCGCATTATCGGTGGTTCGAGAAGGGAGCTAACTCCGTTTGCCTAATCGAAAGTTCGAGGTGGGCCCACATTCGAAACTAAACGCACTTGTTGTTGAGAATATATACTACGTAAACAAACCCGCATAACGAACTCATAATTTGTCTATTTAAAATAAGTATTATGACTTATAATTGGATTAAAATGTACAAATAAGATGGCAATACAGCAGAACTCACTTCTACGAATATCGCCAAACTAGGTCGTGGGGTCATTAATATTCATGAGTTATTCCTTTTATGGAACAAGTTCTCGGAAACGTCTGAGGCTTGTATCATGTCCGAGATCAATTCAAGTGTAGACATATGTTCAGGCTTATATCGCCACCAACACTTATGATTAGATTGATGTGTTATATTGGAAAAAGTAGAATGAGTTGTATTGCCTCTGTAAATTTAATTTGAAGTAGATTTAAGTTTCTTGCTTGGTAGCTATTTTTGTAAAACTAGTGTGGTCAGCTATGACGCAGTTATTCAAACTTCAAAGACTTTTGTGCCTTTTATGGAATTAATGTCACACGAAATGATTTATAAAGATATTTCCCATCAATATTACAAAATATGAATAATATAAAATGTCACATAATGACAAAAGTGAGCCCAATAGCCTAAATGACTTCGTCAACCTAATGAAACCCAGCGATTTAAAAATGTGGGCCCACCTGTTTCGATCACTATGAGACGGGAACAATGTGGGCCCACATTTTAGAAAATGGTTATAAGTAAGCCAAGCTAATGAAGCTAGCGATTTTTTAATGTGGTCCCTCCTTTTGCAATCACTATGACGGAAGAACATCTACCCACTAGGCGATATACAAATGTGGGCCCACGTGTTTCGATCACCATATATGACGGGAACAATGTGGGCCCACATTTGAGAAAATGATTATCAATATTTAAGTAGAATTTCGCGATTAATAAATGTGGTCCCTCCTGTTGCAATCAATATGACGGAAGAACATCTGCCCACATTTAGGGATTGATTATCAGAACTAACGAAACAACCTAACGAAAAACTAGGCGAAATACAAATGTGGGCCCACTTGTTTCGATCACCATAGATGACGGGAAAGATGTGGGCCCACATGTTAGAAATTGGTTATCACCACTAAACCAATCTTAGAAGATGTACTGATGGAAACATAAATATATAATGCATTCAAACATTTAATTACCTTACGTTTTACCTTAGGGATAAGCTGGGCATTTAATAGCTGGACCAACAACATGCAGCGTGGGTGACGCCATTTCTCACAAATACGAAAACAACGGAGATAGCTCCCGTTTGAAATTAGAGTGACCTCCCTTTCCCAATATGAACCACTGATAATGCGGTTACTGCATGCTATTGCTATGTCACCTCATTATAAGACAGTTGTATATTATTACTGCATGCTATTGCTATGTCACCTCATTATAAGACTGTAGTATAGTATTACTGCATGCTATTGCTATGTCACCTCATTATAAGACAGTAGTATATTATTACTGCATGCTATTGCTATGTCACCTCATTATAAGACTGTAGTATATTATTACTGCATGCTATTGCTATGTCACCTCATTATAAGACTGTAGTATAGTATTACTGCATGCTATTGCTATGTCACCTCATTATAAGACTGTAGTATAGTATTACTGCATGCTATTGCTATGTCACCTCATTATAAGACTGTAGTATATTATTACTGCATGCTATTGCTATGTCACCTCATTATAAGACTGTAGTATAGTATTACTGCATGCTATTGCTATGTCACCTCATTATAAGACAGTAGTTTATTATTACTGCATGCTATTGCTATGTCACCTCATTATAAGACTGTAGTATATTATTACTGCATGCTGTTGCTATGTCACCTCATTATAAGACTGTAGTATAGTATTACTGCATGCTATTGCTATGTCACCTCATTATAAGACTGTAGTATATTATTACTGCATGCTGTTGCTATGTCACCTCATTATAAGACAGTAGTATATTATTACTGCATGCTATTGCTATGTCACCTCATTATAAGACTGTAGTATATTATTACTGCATGCTATTGCTATGTCACCTCATTATAAGACAGTAGTATATTATTACTGCATGCTATTGCTATGTCACCTCATTATAAGACTGTAGTATAGTATTACTGCATGCTATTGCTATGTCACCTCATTATAAGACAGTAGTATATTTTTACTGCATGCTATTGCTATGTCACCTCATTATAAGACTGTAGTATAGTATTACTGCATGCTATTGCTATGTCACCTCATTATAAGACTGTAGTATATTATTACTGCATGCTATTGCTATGTCACCTCATTATAAGACAGTAGTATATTATTACTGCATGCTATTGCTATGTCACCTCATTATAAGACTGTAGTATAGTATTACTGCATGCTATTGCTATGTCACCTCATTATAAGACAGTAGTATATTATTACTGCATGCTATTGCTATGCCTACTGTGTGTTAACTACGTCATACGTGACGTCATCAGTACTGATGTCGCAATTCACCGGTACACTGGTGCATCGTCTGCAAACCTTGCTCGATACAATGCCCGATATATTAAATTTGGCATCGATTCACATTTGACCGCATATCGATTGTCCATGTTGATCTGGCATCAGTATTCATAAGCAATCACAAACTATTTTTTTAATTCCTCAATAACTTTCTTGGTCGTCTTTCGGATACGGAACTGGTCTGATAACAAGACTGACCAGCTTTTCTTTGCTGCCTGTCATAATACAGTATGTAAACTTGTTTGTTTTTCATACAGAATAATTGTCTTGACTCGTGTCATGTCAAGGGGTATTAGTCAGTTATCCTTTACTGTTATGAGCGAGTCTATGGGCTCTAATCTGTCAGATGACTTGGTTTTCCATTCAGAATGTCAAATATGCAGTATTGAGATATGTATCGTATCATGGCTTCTGTATCGCGACATCCTCATTCATCATTGTATGTGGATAACGCTAGGGCTGGGACGAGTCCAAATTTACTACCCGGGTACCAACCCCCCCTGTTATCAGACCCTACCCGGGTACCCACTGTAGGTCTCAAGAGATAGGTACAAAATGTCCAGATGGGAATAGTTTGACTGTAGTCCTGGACAAAATGTATTTAGATACAAGTATAAATCGATCTGGTCATGCATACACTGAAGTTTTATCTTTATTCAAACATATATAAGTCTGGGTGCATAGTCAGAAAGAAATGCGAACATTAGTGACTTGTAGTGTTGGCATATAGTTCAAGATCATATTTGTCATTAAACATATACTAGTATCACATGACCAACCACGGGTCCGGGTAGTTCTGTGGGTACCTGGATCATTCTCAGTACCCATCCGACCTGAGTACCCGAGTTGCCCGTCCCAGCCCTAAATGACGCCATCGTCTGTATATGATTGAAACGGCCTTACAGGTTGTTGCTCTAAATGTACAACAAACAACAGATGAAATACCAAGTGTGTCTCATCCTTTGGGTTTACTACAGATCCAACATTAAGCATATTTCTTATCAACAGAAATCTCACACATACAGGTTTTGATCATTCTGAAATCTGCTATTGTTTTTGTCAACTGTTTTTGTCAACTGGGTGGTGTATGATTTGCATCCATTCTGAATTATGATGCATACAGGAAGCAATATTTTGTGTCCGGACAAATGGCGTATATTTTTATGAATATGTAATATATTTAATAATAATAATAATAATAGGGGGACACTCTAGTGAGTTTGGTTGTTAATAAATGCCACATTCCGCAATATTTCAGTAACATGACAGTGGCCTGAAACCAATCCCGTCCAGACCAGACAAACCAGTGAGGGATATCATGAGCATGCCTTCACTTTCCCCAAATTCTTTTATTAAAAATTTCTTTGTACCCATGAAGATCTGGGTTAGAATAGGTCTTCAGCAGCCCATGCTTGCTGTAAAAGGCGACTATGCTGGTCCTATGAGGCGACTAATGGGATCGGTTGGTCAGACTCGCTGACTTGGTAAGTTGGTTGATGCATGTGATAGTGTCCCAATCGTGTGGATCGATGTTCTTGATGTCAATCACTGACCTCCGCCATATAGCTGGAGTATTGCTGATGCGGCGTTAAACAGCCCCCACCCCCACCCCCACCCCCAATTCTTTGGTGTCTGTGTGGTCTCACTGTTAATGGATTGGTTGGTCAGGCTTATAGCGTGTTATTATCCCCTGATAGTGTGGGATATCGCTCCATACCACTGATTTGTCAGGTCCAGACTTGCTTACTTACAATGCACCGTTATATAGCTCGGATATTGCTTAGTGCGGCGTTAAAAAACTGTCACTTCTTTACGCTTCAGTAATATGACTAAATGGCTTTCAACGAAGTTGTGATGTTTTTGCGAATTCACTTACCACAGTGTAGGCCTGATGTAACAAGTGCTGATACAGTGCCCCAGGTGGTGAGGTGAGGTGAGGTGGGGATGAAGGTCACATTAAGATTATATCACTCATTATAGCTTCAAGAATGAAGACATCTCTCAGTAAATAACAGTCTGGACCGGACAATCCAGTGATTGATGTAAAGAACACCTCGGTTAACATGAATGAACCAAGTCACTGACCCCCACCATCCGATCTTTTAGTCGCTTCTTACGACCAACCTAGGTTGCTGGGGACTAAGTCTCACCAGTGGTTCATATTTTATTTGGGGACTTAGCGAGTTAAGTGATAAGCACTGCAATATATGAGACTTAAAACTGTGTCGTCTGTGAGTTTTAAGGTGCTAAAAGTTGTGCTCAACATATATTATGTAAATACCATGGTGAATACGTGACACTTTTCATGGATAGCAACTTCTTTTATTCTTTGTCATGATGTTTCAGAGCAACATCTTTCTCCTTCCTCAGGTGAAGGAGCAAGAAGTAGCTCTGAAACGTGTGACGAAGAATAAAAGAAGTTGCTGTCTCTGAAAAGTGTCATGTATTCATGTTCTTCCAACTTCTAAATGCCTATGAAGTTTGTTTGTTGTTTAACACCGCACTCAGCAATATTCCAGCTATATGACGTTGGTCTGTAAATAACCAAGTCATGAGCGTTGATCCATGCAACTAGAATACGATGACATGCATCAACCAAGTCAGCGAGCCTGACCACCCGATCCTGTTAGTTGCCTCTAATAACAAGCATAGTCGCCTTTTACCGCAAGCATGGGTTGCTGAAGACCTATTCTACCCCGGATCTTCACGGGTCTAAAGACTTAAAATACTATGGTGCCTGAACATATGCCTTACTTAATAACATAATGAAATAATGGTATCAGTAAGGTGAGACAGTGATGCTTTGTTTACAATTACACTTGAAATGTAACTATAACAGCCAAAAATATAACTCTTTAAGTATTTAACCTTTAGTTTTATTGGGACAGTGTTACTTACAATGATTGATATTTTGCACTTAATATCATCAAGAAACTATGGAAATACATGGTGTGGAGTTTCCAGAAGTACAGACCTACCATGAAGGAAACTAGGTACATTACTGCAGATGAAGCATATGTTACATACTGGCACTGCATATTTAGAAATAATTTCAAATTTTGTAACATGGACACAAATATACACTAAAATTTGAAGAACTGGTTGCCATGGTTTCATACTTCTCTTTATAGGAGTTGACCTGTGAAGATCCGGGGAAGGTCTTCAGCAACACATGCTTGCTGTAAAAGTCAATTATGCTTGTGGTGAAAGGCGACTAACGGGATCGGGTAGTCAGGCTTGCTGGCTTGGTGGAATGTCATCGTATCCCAATTGCGTGGATCGATGCTTATGATGTTAATCACTGGATTGTCTGGTCCAAACTCGATTACTTACTGACTGAAGACATATGGCTGGAATGATGCTGAATGCAGCGTTAAACAACAAACTTCATAGGGGTTACTTTTTTTCTTCGGTATAAAAATTGTTGAGCTTATGAGACATTTAGTTTAATGGATGTGCTTACAATTTCAGAAAAAGAAGACATGGCAATAATGAGCATGTAAAAGCATCTTTCAATGGATACCTGTCAGTTGTAAATGATCATGAGCATCATGAAGGGGAAGGTGAAGGTGAAACAGGAGCCCCCTGACGAGGAGCTGTCGGCCATCTTGGACCATGGCATCCAGCTGGCATCAGTGGATGAAGAAGCTGAGGGTCTGCTTACACAGCAGATTGAGGAGATACTACCAGATGAGGGTGATGACGACGATGATGATGAAGACTATGAGGTTGAGGAAGAAGAGGAAGATATGTTGGAGGAAACACTGGATGTACCAAAGAAGAAACTGAAGTGTAGACGCTGTGATTTTAAAGCCAAAACGAAAAAGGAGTTAGACCGACACGAGGCTCGACATGCCATCAAGGGCTGGTACCATGAGTGTCAGTATTGCGATTATGTGACCCACATCAGACAGCGTCTACAAGAGCATGAGGCCAAACACACAAATACCAAACCATTTAAATGTGAAAAATGTGAATTCAGAACACGATTCAAAGCTGATCTTTACAAACACAGAGCCAAACATTCCACTGTCAAAAGATTCAGCTGCCCACAGTGTGACTTCCGGACAAAATGGTGTCGGAACATCAAGCACCACATGCTGAAGCACACGGAGGACAGACCACATTCGTGTGACATCTGTGGGTTCCGGTTCAAGAGGCTTCAGGACTTGAAGTATCATCTCTTCCGGCACAACGATCTGAAGCCGGTCCAGTGTGATTTGTGTGAATTTAGGTGTAAGACAAACTATGAACTCAAATGTCATCGTCTTAAACACAGCAACATCAAGAACTTCTCTTGCACCTTTCCGGGGTGTTCCCAGAAAACCAAGACCAAATCTGACTTGACCAAGCATTTGAAGACCCACAATAAGGACAACAGCTTCCTGTGCTCCATGTGTGGTAAGGGATTTAACACCTTGACGAGTTTAAACAAGCATAAGGATAGACACAGTAATGTCCGAAAATTCAAGTGTGGACTGTGCGAGAAGTGGTTCAAGAATAAACCATCTTTACGTGCTCATATGAAGGTTCATTCAGGAATAAAACCCTTTCAGTGTGATGTGTGTTTGCGGAATTTCCTCAACAAGTATAACATGCAAAAGCATAAAGAGACGCACACAGGGGATCGGCCATATGCATGCCCCATCTGTCCTTATGGTGCAAGAACAAGTGACCATCTCTTGGCTCATATAGGTTCCATGCATGGGGACTCGCATGCCTACTTCTGTGAGCTGTGTCGCAAACCGTTCAAGCGTTACAGCCAGCTACAGGTTCACATCAAGCGAATGCACAAAAACGTGAATGCTATTGATAGAAACGATGATGGAAAACTTGACATCAAACTCGAACCAGGACCAGATGGGACGATCATGACGGGCACGGATGTCTTCAGTGTAAAGAAGATAGGAGATTGTCATTTTGAGCCTGAAGTGAAGAGGAAGAGAGGTCGGCCACCGAAGAATCGACCGCCAGTTCCTCAAGTAGTTCCTGAGGTAGTTCCTGTTCCTGAACAAGAACCAAACAACAATGGCCCTGAAAACGTGAAACCAGCCAAGGTCAAACTGGAGGAAGTCAAGTCGGAAGAAACGGTAAAACTGGCAACTTATCAAGATGGCTTTAGACTCCCTTTGGCGACAAGAGGGTTTCATTTTAATTTTGATAAGACTGGCAAGAAGCCCAAATCTTGGTTCATGCAGCCTGAGAACATGTATGGCAAAGCTGCTGTGAAACAGAGGGCTTACATGGAGAAGAAGGAGAGATACTTCGACAGGTTGAACAGTGGGCGTATTCAGAGGGCCAGGAAGAAGTCTGATGTTGTGTACAAGACGATGGTTACCAGGAACAGCTCCACAGCTGGTACTCAGGACAGTGCGGACAATTCATCGGAATCAGATCCTCACAAGCTGCTTATTACTGGCAGAACGAAACTGAAGACGATGAGGAAAATTAGAAGAAGAATTAGAAAGATGAAGGCATGTTTGCAAGGTTCACCATTTCTGAAATCTCAGCCTGTGCAAACACTGGAAAAAGACGGTATTTCTGAAGTTGGTGATGGCACAATGTCATCCATGGAAGGATGTCCTGATGATGATGATGATGATGATGATGATTATGATACAACTTTCGTGAAGGAACCATGTTCTGAGGGTGAACCTGACACTCCAGTGAAGGAACTATATTCTAAAGATGAACGTGTGACTGTAGTGAAGAAACCATGTTCTGAAGGTGAACCTGTGACTCCAGTGAATGAACTACATTCTAAAGATGAACCTATGACTTCAGTGAAGGTGCCTCATTTTGTCGATGAGGATGATGTTCCTTTAAGTCAGCTCAAATCAAAGGAGATGCCAAATGGACAGCCGTGTGTTGAAACTGCTCAACAAACTCCAGGTGCCAAATATATTTCAAGGTCCCAACATGACAGTGCTCTTGAGACTTCTGGATCTCACATCAAACTGGTGCTAAAGAGGAAAAAAAGGGGAACTTTCAAGGTCACATTAAATACATCAGCTGCAGAGCCAAGGTCAAGTGAAGTGGAGACCAATACAAATATGATACCGAGTCATGTCTCAGATGTTTATAACCGAAGTCTGCGAATTCTAGGAAAGTCTTTACAATCAAAATGTGCAAAAACAAATAAGGCATCTAGATCAAGAGCTGGAGTTGGGTCTAGTGCCACATCAACTAGGTCTGTCTTGCCAAAACACAAGTCTGTAATTAATGTTGTAAAACAAAAGCCAAGCAAGGTGATGCATGGAAAGAAGAAAATTGACCCTGAAAAGAAAACAAAGAAAGAAAAAGTTTCAAAAGTATTAAAACGCTGTGGGCAAACATCTAGGAATACTAAATTGAAAAAGAATGGTGCAAAGTCAAGATCTTCCAAAAATGAGAATGAAAAGTTAAAGAAAAAGGAAATAAAACCAAAGGGTGTCAGGAAAGGGCCAAAATCCCCAAAGTCGAAAAACAAAACTGCACAAAAAGGAAAGAATAAGAAATTAATATGCTCTTTATGTACTGACCAGACCACAAGTAACAAATCCAGTCATGCATGTGACAGCTCAGGTATAGATAATCAGTATTTAGCAACACAGAGGCGGTTTCTCCACGCTCAGTCGTATGATGAATTCCCAATCAAGATTGAGCCAGTGGAGGATGACTATTCCCTCTGCGAGCCACAGCCTGGGACGAATCCTGCCATGGACGACTTCAACCCAGCTGGCCGAGTGGTGGTCAAACAAGAAACTGATGGGATGTTGGCAGGAGAAGACTGCCCCATCACAGGCCTTGATGTAAAGATGGAGGATGTGTCTGAGTCTTTGTCTCATTGTAAGTATTTGTATGACGTCAAGCCAGCTGGAGAGGCTAATCCAGCAGCGGCTCCAGGAGAGGCTAATCCTTCAGGAGAGGCTAATCCTTCAGGAGAGGCTAATCCTTCAGGAGAGGCAAGCTATGCCCAGCATGCTATCGCTTGGGGTTTGAAAGTGGACGCTCAGGACAAAACAAACACATTTGACAATTCTTTGCTTGACCTTTCAACTTCTGTTGGTGTAAAGGAGGGTCCACAAAACTCGTATCTTACAAAATATCTGATGTCGAAATCTGATGATGTGGCTGCTTCAAAGGAGCATTACAAGGTTTGTGGGGCATCAGGTGATGGGCTGGGTGGACCGGTAGATGTAGTGGGTGGGGGAAGTATACATGTGCAACAGAACTGTAAGGTCGACAACTCCAGAGGCATTGGGGAGCCTTTGCTTTCTCAAAATCAAATTACGGTATGGGATGAAACTACAGACTCACAGAACTTTAACACAAATCTTTTACACCAAAGTGTTACAAATTTGAAAACTAACAGTTTGTTTTTGCTTGAATCTGTCAACAGAAGGTGTTGTGAGCCCACAGCAGCTGACACAGAGAACCTAAACATCGAACCTCAGCCTCTTGATTTAAGTGTCACAAAGAAGCTTGCCTTCTCGGACAGCCTGGTTGACTGTAAACCTTGGAATGTTTGTGAGGATCCCGGTATTCAAGACAAAAATGCATCCTCTGCAAGTCCCCCTTTGTCTTTCACATACACTTTCTAATGAACACAGTGGTTCTGTGGGACAAGGGTCTCCACATGCGGAGTTACCTCCCCTTGCGTACACAGCCATAGCATATGACATAAACTAGAAATATAATATCATGAAATTAATTTAATTGGTCCCTGGATTAAATAACTATTGAAGAAAATCTCAAGTCAACAAGCCCCCTAAATTTGGTAACTTCTGTCACGTCTTAGTGGTCAAGCTCGGTGATTTGGTTGATTGTGGGTCATCGTACCCCATGGAGTGAATGTGTTCACCATATTAATCACTGGATTGTCTGGTCCAGACTTGATTATGTTCATATAGCTAAAAAACAATCAAACAAACAAACACAAGATGCTTGGCCTGTGGGATGTTGTATTTCTTTCAGTACCCAGACTCCCTTGTTGTACTGGGTATTGTATGTTGTTGTATTGATATGCTGCTGCGTGTTCACATGTTTCGACTTGATGTAATTGAGGTTGTTTCCAATGGCAACATGAGAGGTTGTATGATGTCTGATCATGGCTGATTTAATGGATCAGGATCAGTGATATGTCGCACAGTGTATCAGTGTTCTGCCGAGGCAGGGATTTTCTCAATATTTTATAGATTGGTGCATAGTTATTTTCAGTGGGACAAGGGGTGCATTTATTTTGATGGGTTATTGCATATTATTATGGGAGTCATAATCTGTCTCAAAAACAGTTTACATCATGGGACAACTGCTTCTATTATGGAATGTAAACTTTGTAATATTTGTTGCCTTATGCATCTCAATTTTCTATCACCTTCTTTCATTGGCTGAAAGTCACAAATGGTCCAATCAGAATTGAGTTTACACCTTTTTGCAAAAATAGTAGTCATAGTTCTGATAATGCCAAGATGTTTCTGCTTCAAATGACCGGAGAACACCAGAATTGTTGACCAAAATGTATGTTAGCGATACACAGAATGTGTTGCATGGCTCACCTGAGAGTGACTGTGGTGACAGACTGAGGAAAGATAAAAACACTGAGAAAGGTAGAAGTTTTCAGCAAACCTGGTTTTGTGACTTCACATGGTTGCAGCAGAAATATTATGTCATGTCAGCTTTGTAGGATTCATGTGAAATCTAATTCAGCTACAAAGCTACATTCTAATTTTATAACGAGTACCTTGAAGAGACATGCTAACGGCAGTGATCACAAACAGACTGTTGAGGCTGAATAGATGACATCGGATGTTGTTCCAATATGAGAAAGATGCCCTGTGAAAATTCTGTGTATCGCTAACATTGCTTGTGGACAGTGATTCTGCATTAAAAACCTGCATACCATGGGGTTTTAAGTTTCAGAGTGTGTCCCCATTGGTTTTGAAAATGACCCCATGTATTTATGCTGAAGGGTTCCCTGTCCCCACTTGTTCACTGGTGGATTATCTCATCTTAAACATTTCTGGTTTCCATGGTGATTTTCTTACAATAAATCTATTACTTGAAGTTGAAGTAAACAGGGTTATGTCCCAATAAATTAAATTATTGTGTTTCTAAATTTAAGGACATGGTATTTACCGAAATTAGGATGCAGAAGAACCTATTATTCTTCCTCGACAATATGTTCCTCAATCACCCGTGAATACTTTGGGCCGATATGCTGTGTGGTAGTGATGTTTTTCTAGGTGTAGTCAGCTGATGTAATGAGACGGAGTCAAAGAAGTAGATGAGCCCTACTCAGGACGTGGTGCAAACCCTTATTATTTAGGGGGGATTTAGGGGGGATTTAGGATTCCAAACTAAGTGCCCTTGGCAGGCACATTGGGAAGATATCTAGTATTTTTCAATATTGGATTATTTTGATATTCTTTGTTTCGAAAAATCTGAAGTATTGGGAAAAATCATTTTAGGAATTTTACTGACATTTGCTGCAGACTTGGGGCAGAATATTGGCCTCTGAGCAGGACGAGATAAACCCCTGACAACAATTGAACACGAAGTACGGAGTACATCCACTGATATGGAGAAATTTATGTTAAGGAATGAATGCTGCTATTCATTATTTGGTACCACTTGAATATGTTTCCTTAATCATTTAAAGACACAATGCACCGCCGAATGCTTCACAAGCGTCTAGTGCCAGCACTTTGGAAACTCAATCTATTTTTGACTAACAGCCTCTGAACATGTGCAATGAGTAATATTTATGATTTTTCCTTTCGAATTTATGGGGACAGAGGGATTCGTCATCTTCGGATGACTCTTGTTGGCATTTCTCAGAGACCCCATTTTGTAGCCTTGGAAGCCCATTTTTAGTGAGTGAGTGAGTTGGGTTTAACGCTGCTTTTAACAGTATTCCAGTTATATCATGGCGTGTCAGCTTAATGTGGGAGGAAAGCCCCAAGTGATGGGACAGTACAATTTTAGACTTTTGTTCCCCTGGGCCCCCCAAATAAATAACTCAGGTAGCTCCCATCACTGAAGCAGTGTGTAGAGCAGGTAACACCAGGTTATTTCACGAGGCACACAAGGTCAAGCAAGACATTGACGTTTGCGAGAAGTAAACAGTAGGGCTGTTACGATTCACTCGCATATTCGGTGAATCGAACCGTATCCATTCATGAATTGAATTCGTTATTTGTTGAATCGAATATTTATGAATATGCAAGTATGTGCATTTACATACCCTGTACCTAATAATATCCATAAGAACATATTATATGCATAGATGTCTTCAAAGACAACACTCTTATGATATTTAATTTGACAGTATTGGGGTCACTGGTCATTTTCGCATTTGAGCAGATACTACTAACTGGATAAGTGCTGTATATAAATGTATAATATATTTATAATTAACAAACCATGTCCAAAAATTTATGTTAATGTTTCACTGTGTATAACAAATAATACATCAACTGCTGACTTGTTATTGTATTCGTGAATTAATATTCGTATTCATTACCCTATATTCGTGATACGAATCGTATTCACCTCATAGTGTATTTGTTGCAGCCCTAGTAAACAGAGGGTTCCCACTGATTGGCTGGAGTACTCTGTGTTTTCCTGGAACAGGCCTTGGATTGTTGTATGCGTTATAAATAGTAACCACACTGCAAAACGGCATGCATATTAATGGGTGATAGAGGAATATAGTCTGTACACACATTATTGATCATGATGCGCGGGCTTAATAGTCAAAGGTGAAACAGTATTAAACTTTAGCTGCTGTGATTTGGTTGCAATGGTTATTTTGTGTCATTTTACAACCACAGTATTGTTTACTTGTATTGTTGTGCAAAGGTTGATGTAACCATGGAAACTAGTCATCTTCATTTCTCAGGTTGACATGGTGACAGAATATCAATGTGTTAAATTGATGGCAGTTTGTTTATATTTTGGTTCGTTGTTTACATTTTTCTACACTTTGTGTCCCCTGTTGACAACAGTTATATTGTATGTATGTTTGGATTTCCTGCTTCTCGAGGGCACGAGTGTGGTTACCGTATATGCCACATTAAGAGACCTGCCTCAATAAGCACCCCCTGACCAGACTCTGGAATAGTCTACTGGTTACCTTTATACAGGTCAGTAAGGTCACACTTGTTGTTAACTTGCTTCACGGATCTGATGACTAAATGTTGTTGAATTGGAACAAAAAAATTTTAAGAATTTGCTCTCTTTTTTTTTATCCCACTCACAAGCTGATCGCATATTGCACCCAAAATGTATTTTTCTAAACAAGGACCCACTGAAGTTGACATATCAAACATGGGAGTGAAAATAAAGTTTGTTGTTCCTGAAATTGATAGGATGCAAGGATGCACAACAGTGTTCCCGCTTGATTCGCCAGGTTGGCCATGGCTGAAAGCAACAGCTATGTTGCAGGCCCCCCTCCCCCATTGAACCATTTTGATTTTTTTATACCAGCTGACCTATAGTAGTGCAGAATACCAAAACAATAATAGATTGCATCTTCTTCCCCACCTACCGACGGGTATTTACTTTAATACATCTGTAAAGCAAGTAAAGAAAGTATGGCCTTATTAAGCCTGAAGGTTACTGTATGTAATAGAGAATATACAGCAGTGTAGAAATGGGAGCGTATTAAACACAGATATTAAGTCCGAGCTACAGATATATATCTGGAGCTCTGTTAAGTTCCGTGTTTATGTCCAAGTCTAATCCGGGACTTGCATGTTTCATCCACATTTTAACAAAGTTTCTTCACTCTCAATCTCCAACATCAATATTAACTTGTGGTTAATTTAATTAGCACCCTTTTCTTTATTGTCTGATCCCAGAGTGCTTAATACGGTGAATACGGTAACTGATGACAATTTTGCTACATCTACAAGCGTGGATGAAATATGCTACATGTGTTAATGAATTGTGAAACACAATGAGTTTTAATTATTTCCCACGATTTACAAAATGGCAACTGCAACTTAACATAATAATGGTCTCCCCAGTGTCACAAACGAACTCCACCAATAGCTGCAGATGAAAGGACCATTCAAGTCATATCTGCCTACTATTTCTTGTTTGAAGGCAGGCTATAATTTGTACATAAAGCCTTATTATTTTTTTCTCATATTTTATGCGAAGTATAGATCTGCTCAAAGAAGAAAAACAATGTTTTGCTATATGAAATCCTACGGACATCAGTAATGGATGATGATGATGATGATGATGATGATGATGATGATGGGTCAAGTACAGTTTGCATGACAACTTGCTCAAATGTTTTGATATTATTCTCTCACCATATTCCGTATTGTGACAGGAAGGAAATATGATAGTGTGTTTGGAAATATACTAATCAAAAGAAGTTAAAGAACGCCAGTTCTTTCATATACTCAATTCCAAAAGAAACGCAAACCCTGCTGATGCATTGTGGGTGCTGACATAAGTCCCTACTGGGTTCCAGCTGTCTGTCCTGCTGTAGTTGAAGGTGGTAGGTGGTGGCGACGCAAGTGAGAACGGGCGATAACCCTATCTTGACGCAATGATGTTACAAATGTGTTTGTTAATAAGATGATAGATGTTTGTTGGTGAACATGTCGATCTCTTGCTACTCGAACCCGAGTAGGTCGCCAGCAACACATGCTTGCCATAAAAGGCGACTATGCTTATCGTTAGAGATGACTAAAAGGATTGGGTGGTCAGGCTTTCTGACTTGGTTGATGCATGTCATCGTATCCCAATTGCGTAGATCGATGCTCTCGATGTCAATCACTGGATTGTCTGATGTAGACTTGATTATTTACAGACCACCGTCATATAGCTGGAATATTGCTGAGTGCGGCGTTAAACAACACTCAACATCAACAACACAATGGCTACTCGTGTTGCCTTCACACCAGCTTTAATCAATGCTCGTTGATGATTGTTGATGCCTAATCCGGACATGGTGCATTCTGTGTCAATCAAAGAACTGAAGGACGTTTGTTGCCCCACTTCGCTTTTATGGGCACCTTCAACACCCAACAGTCCATGTTGCACATTAAAACCTTGCATGTTCTCAGTATGTGCTCAGTATTTGATTCCAAAAACAATCAGCGGAACATTTCAAGACATGTTATTTTTTCAATATGTGTCTTTTATTGTGCAAATAAATAGCTGTTATATTAATGTTAAATGTCAATGTTAAATAGTTGGATATTGCTGAGAAATTGCAACGTGAAATTTGCGTTTCGTTTGGCACTTATTAGTATGAAACTATAGGTAATCTGTCATGGCATAACTAGCCATATACAAGACATGGGCGGATACAGCTTTTTTGAAAAGGGGGGGTGCACAATTAAGATCTATTTATTGTCTTTGGTGGTAATTTATACAGAAATGAAGATATTTTTCGAAATAAAAAGGGTGTGTGCGCACCCCCGCATCCCCCCCCCCCTCTGTATCCGCCCATGCAAGAATCAGGTGTTCTCTAACTTCTCTTGAGTAGTATATGCTCTCCATCATCGTCTTCAAGTTCTTTGTTGATTGTCAACGAAGGACAGCCACTGTGTCTTTCTTCCAAATGTCTGTATGAACTGTCTGGAAGAGATGACGTTCATTGATGTTGTCATATCATGCGAAGTTCATGGCACAGAGTTATTCAGTGGAACAGCTTGGCTGGTCGTTTGTAATATGTCTGTATGAACAATTAGAAATGAACGATCAGATTGCAAAGTCAGATCTGTGGAACAGTTAGTGGCTGTGGCTGAAACAGAAACTTACAATCACTTATTTATAAAACTGAATTATCAATTGAGGGCCTAAATCAGAGGAAATAATCAATCTTTTCCACTGTAAAATCTGATCACTGTAATGACAAGATATTCACCGATGTGTACAAATTTGTTTCTTGTTAAAAAAATGAAATTGTGTAAGAGAAACACACTGCAAATATTGGATTTTGACACGTCACCTGTAAAAATGTGGATAAACGAGGTGTTAACATGATGAGCTATCAGTAGCCGTGTATAAACAGATTACCAGATTACAAAAAGATGATGTTTGAGTGTAGGATGCTTCAGTCCCAGCCCATACATCATTGGCCTAATGTTCTTGTCGTTGGCCTAATGTTCTTGTCGTTGGCCTAATGTTCTTGCCAATGGCTTACTTTGCCAAAAATGTGTTCATAGAAGCATGTTCTTTCATCAAATCTGTACACAAGGGCAGGTAACTCTAAACTCATTTTATTTGTAATACAGATCAGTCCTTGTTCAAGAATGGACATTTTTGTTAGGATTTGAAATATCTGTAATACACATGCAGTGTGTGTACATCATACAGTTTGTGATGTCTTGGTAGGTGGTAATGAGATGGGTTACACCATGGACTCTTCATACTACTATAGCTGTAATTAACATCCATGGTTATATACACTTTTCACTACAGATGGTGTATACTGGTTGGCCACAAATCCTGGATGGGATACACATTGTATCCCTCATCACACCAGATGTGATACTCATTGTATCCCCCATCACACCAGATGGGATACGTGTTGTATCCCCCATCACACCAGATATGACACACATTGTATCACACATCACACCAGATGGGATTGTGACAGTGTAATATATCTCAGTACCTCATACAAACCCAGAGAGCTCCTTCAAGAACTGATTCTGTGTATGGAGTTTTGAATACTCATCTCGCAGACCAGAGAAATATTTACTGTCAATCATGTGTCAATTGTGCTCTTGTGAGAAAGTATAATGTTGAGAAATCAGTATTATATCAGATTTTGAAGGTTGGTATTCCAGTTGATGAATTGTTATGTTGTTTTAGTTTACAGTTTTGTCAAATTTATTGATGTAATTGTCAGTATTGTTTCATTTGTTGTTTATTATTAAAAGCTTAAGTTTTTTGGGATTGTTTCTGTTCTTATTCTACAGGAAATGCATGGATCTCATGAATTTGGAGTCAAAAGGGCTCATGTGGATTTCTGCTACATAGGAATAGTCCTAGGAATCGTGTTTGTATGAGCCCCAGTGTTGTCATGTACCTCAGATTCAGACAAGGGTGCATCGTTTGTATGAGCCACAGTGTTGTAATGTACGTCAGATTCAGACAAGGGTGCATCGTTTGTATGAGCCACAGTGTTGTAATGTACGTCAGATTCAGACAAGGGTGCATCGTTTGTATGAGCCACAGTGTTGCAATGTACGTCAGATTCAGACAAGGGTGCATCGTTTGTATGAGCCACAGTGTTGCAATGTACGTCAGATTCAGACAAGGGTGCATCGTTTGTATGAGCCACAGTGTTGTCATGTACGTCAGATTCAGACAAGGGTGCATCGTTTGTAGGAGCCACAGTGTTGTAATGTACGTCAGATTCAGACAAGGGTGCATCGTTTGTATGAGCCACAGTATTGTAATATACGTCAGATTCAGACAAGGGTGCATCGTTTGTATGAGCCACAGTGTTGCAATGTACGTCAGATTCAGACAAGGGTGCATCGTTTGTAGGAGCCACAGTGTTGTAATGTACGTCAGATTCAGACAAGGGTGCATCGTTTGTATGAGCCACAGTGTTGTCATGTACGTCAGATTCAGACAAGGGTGCATCGTTTGTAGGAGCCACAGTGTTGTAATGTACGTCAGATTCAGACAAGGGTGCATCGTTTGTATGAGCCACAGTATTGTAATATACGTCAGATTCAGACAAGGGTGCATCGTTTGTATGAGCCACAGTGTTGCAATGTACGTCAGATTCAGACAAGGGTGCATCGTTTGTATGAGCCACAGTGTTGTAATGTACGTCAGATTCAGACAATGGTGCATCGTTTGTAGGAGCTGCAGTGTTGTCATGTATGTCAGATTCAGACAAGGGTGCATCGTTTGTAGGAGCCGCAGTGTTGTCATGTACGTCAGATTCAGACAAGGGTGCATCGTTTGTAAGAGCCACAGTGTTGTCATGTACGTCAGATTCAGACAAGGGTGCATCGTTTGTATGAGCCACAGTGTTGTAATGTACGTCAGATTCAGACAAGGGTGCATCGTTTGTAGGAGCCGCAGTGTTGTCATGTACGTCAGATTCAGACAAGGGTGCATCGATGTGTACAGTAAGATGTGTAGCTGTTAAGATGACAACCAACAAAATGTTTAAATGGCTACAAGCGGCAATGTCTGGATGATCTGTGAAGGTGTAAATGCTATTGTCTTTTATGATTAGAGTGAGTGAGTATGGTTTTATGCTTGTTTTCAGCAATATCACAGCTTCACACATTGTACCCATGTCGGGAATCGAACCCAGGTCTTCCGCATGACAAGTGAATGCATTAATTTTATGAAGTGAGTGAGTGAGTGAGTGAGTGAGTGAGTATGGTTTTACGTCGCTTTTAGCAATATCACAGCAGGGAACACCAATGGGCTTCACACATTTTACCCACGTCGGGAATCGAACCCCGGTCTTCGGCGGCGTGACTAGGGAACACTTTAACCACAAGGCTACCCCACCACCCCTTTTATGATTAGAGAAAGTAGGAATCTCCAATCTTCGAGACATATTCAGTGTGACTTCCCTTAACTTTGGACTCACCAGTGTAGTACATGGGATGCAAAAAATATCGTATGTGGTCCACAGAATCATTTATAAAAAAATATAATGGTGTACATAAAAAATCTTTCATAATTTTAAGTTTTTTCAGTAATTTATTTTCAAATCACACCCTTTTCTCAATGCTTTTGAAATATGTGTTGACGGGTAAGTAGTACTCAGGATTCAGGGGTGAGCAATGATGAGTGAATGTGGTGGGGGAGGGGGTTGGTGCTTCTAACTGGCTATGAAGTTATGAGAGCGGGAGATGGATTCTGCTTTGTAAAGTGTTTTGCGTATGTCACAGCATGTCAGTTCATTGTGGGAGGGAGGCTGAAACTGACACAGGTCGTAGACATTTATTATTTCGGTACTGTGCTAGGTATGGGTACCAAGCCTGAGAAATTCCCAGGAATGAGTTGCAAAGTTTGTACATTGACCCCCTCCAGTCCAGTGAGTGTTGTTTTATTGTGCCGTCGGCATATCACAGCAGCCTGTAGATAAAACAGGGTCCTGATCAGATAAACTTATGGTCGATAGCATAGGCATCAATGAACACAACCAAGGTACAAGCTTGTCATAAGAGGTGACTAACAGGATCGGGTGGTCAGACTCACTGACTTGGTTGATGCATGTCATCATGGTCATCGATCCCAAATGTGTGGATCGATGTTCATGATGTCAATCACTGGATTGTCTGGTCCAGACTCGATTATTTACAGACCACTGTCACATAGCTGGAATATTGCTGCGTGTGGCATTAAACAACAAACAAATATTATATGATGAACACTCTGGACCAAATCACTGACCATAGCTTTGTTTTGGAAGTGATGACATCCATCCCTTGTATGATGAACTCAACTCTGGACTTGAGAAGTAAGCATCATCTCAAATGAAAAGTCAATGAAGTCAAACAAAAACATTGCACATTCATATTTATTTAACTGTTACTTCTATGTACACCTATTTGCATGGAGTCTTGACCAGGACTAATGTTTATACACCATTAATATTCCATGGTATTTACACCGACACTACCGGAAGTGTCTCTTGTTATTCTCCTTCCTCCCAATGTTGGTGACCCTGAGTGAGAGATGGCCACAAGGAACGATCCCTTGTCTTGTATCAACACCCACCCACCCACGTGGTGTGGCATGACATTCGTGAGAGCATGTGACACCAACGAGTTCTACGCAACACAAATGGAATCCAGTCTGCACAAATGTTGAGAATGGATGCAGAAACAAAAAATACTGCATCCAGAAGGACAATAATATTCAGTGTGCCTACTGCACATCAAGAGCAGTTATTCTATTTTTCCCTCCATCAATCATGACCACTGTCCACATGATCATGGCTTCATTCCAGGCTACATTCAGAAGTAATGTACCATCACATTACTGTATAGGTCTCCCATATTGCCTGGAGGAACACTTAAAATTAATTTTGAAAGTCAGGGTAAAACCTTGCACCAGTAACCATGGTAACTGGTAGAGAAAAACTACGATTTATTTGGTACACAATAAACAATACAAGAAGTAGGTGACTGTATTGTGACGTCAACATACTTGCTCATCTTCTGGCTAAAAGTACCCATGATCTATAATTCCATCAACAGTCATGTGACAAAGACAAGCTTGTTCCACAAAGGAATTAGTTCCACATACTTATAACACTGACTCGTAGTGTTCTGATTGCTGTGGAAGGCCGAGGCTGCCGTTCTCTGCCATTCCTGACCGGTGTCGTGTCCTGGAGGTGAGGAATCTAGTCAGAGCAGAGCAGCTTGTACATACATTCAGCATCTTGTTAGATTGATCTTAAACTGTTTTCTTCACATTGGCACCATGGACTTTAACTTGGATAGTGTGTTGTGCTGGATCAAATCGTATCGGAGCATGTCAAGATGGACATTTATCATGGAGCTCTCAACTTGGATCATGTGTCAAGATGGAACAGATTTCAAGATGGATCGTGTCGTACTGGATCATGTGTCGAATGGTTCTTGTGTCGAGATGGATCGTGTCGTACTGGATCATGTGTAGAGTCGGATTGTGGCGTCTGCTCCACTGGAGAACACCCAGGGTTGTGTGGGGTGGAACTCACAGTCCAATACACTGAGTCCACCGGTGGTCACATGACCCTTCAACACTTTCACAGGCACTATGAGGGGGTTCTGGAGCAGGTCACTGAAACAGTACAACAGAAACATGTCTCAGATCCACAAGGACCAGGATGATTACATCGAGTAAATGAATTGGCTTGCCACTCTCAATAGTATCAGTCACATGACTGTGTCAACCAGCCCAAAAAACTTGGTACCTAATTATTTGCAAGGGAGGTCAGCCTTACAGAACTACTTTCAACAAGTGCCATACATTCCGGGATAAGAATGTTCTTTTCTAAAATACAGTGACAGTTAGCTGGGAATCTTGGAGACGATATGATTTAGGAGTATATTGTAATGGCATGTATCATATAGCCAACAAATGGCATGTAGCCAATTCTGCAGAATATTATCATTCCTGATACATAATGCTTTGCCTTTCTGATAAAATAATATACTGCCTTAACATAACTGGTTGTATAGTATCAGTTGTCCTAGTTTTTAACATTTACTGAGAGACACAAGGCTGAAACAACATGGCTGCATGGCCCCTGATTGACATGGAATGGGACCTTTCTTCATATTCGGTCAAAGTTGTAATATCGGTTGGCAAGTGTAATAATGGGTCCCTTTGGCTATTGTTAAAATGAGTGTATTTTTTTCTTGTCACACACATTCCTAGACTTGCATAAATATCACCCAGAATGTACAGTAGATCCCACGGACAGAACTAGCAAGGTACTCACTTGTAGACCATTCCGTGGCAGACGATCAAAGACCCATCATCAGAGGCCGAAGCAAACAGCGGGTACTTCCTGTGATAACACACCTGCCGGATCGCCTTCTTGTGGTGTCTGTAAGGGGACATAATTTGGTTAAGTTAAGTAGCAGCATCTTACCATGCACACCTGGATGGCAATAGTTCAGTTTTAATTCACCTATTGTCCTCCCAACTCATTAGCAGTCTCAGTAAAATAAGATCTTAGTACTTGCTACCGCTAAACAAACATCTGAGGCCATCCCATTTGATTTGAATGAGATTGATCAGTGGAGTCAATACATACACTTTCATATTCAGTGAAATCTCGATAAATTTTTTCAAGAGAATAACAAACGACAAGAAGCGATATTTACTCCACAATTGGCCAACTGTCATTATTTTCCTTGTTAATGTGGAACTAACGTCAAAAGAAGTCAACCGTTTGTGTACGGGCCAGACACATACGATAAAGGGAGACAATTTGAGGGGAAGTAACTCTTGTATCACCACAGTTCTGTCAAAGTGTTATGTTCACAGCAGTGAAATATCAAGTGTTATGTTAACTGCAATGAAAATATCACTTTTCTCAACTTCGGAAAACTCAGTCTTTCACACTGAAGTATATAATACTTACCAGTTCTCCGTAGATCATGCTGAGTGTTGGTAACACTATGCCGACAACAAGACAAGGAAGTAAAACGATATGTCAAAATAACAAAGTGTCACTGAACTATCTTGTTATTTTATACAACTATTTTATATCACATCTATAGGTTGATGTTCTCAGTACCAAACATTGGCAGAATGTGTACACTTGACATGTTCAACTGACCTGAGAGTGTTGTAGGGTTTGGTGGAAAGGTCAAGGTCAAACCAACTCAACCTGCTGTCGTAGCTGCCGACTATCACGTTGTCTCCTGGAAACAATAGGATACATTTTGTGAAATTAGGATGCAGAAGAACAGGTTTACCATTCCACACCCAGCTATGTCAGACTGTTAGTGTGTGTTTGTTGTTTCATGCCACAATCTGCAATATTCATGTAAATGATCAAATCTGGACCACAAATCCAGTGGTTGATATTATGTCATCAGGGTATGATGAACCAAGTCACTAAATGTTGATCCACTCAAACACGGAGTCCCCATGGGAACCCTACCCTGTTTGATCAAAAGACCATCATGTGTGAGGAATGATCACTCTTATACATGCCCTGAGAGTGCCAGTTCATTTTTTCAAGATACATCAAGAGAATTTGACTCATGACCTACAAACGTCTCATTAAGCCATCATGAAAATTAATATAAACTAGAAAGTGTTTTTACTCGTAAAAACATATGTCTCCCCCGACTCCCCTAACTCCCATTCATTCGTTTAATCACGTTAAACCCCATCTCTTCATTCCCACCCTCCATTACTAAATAACAGAGACAAAAATAGAACTCCTAGAAATTTCAAACAACTAATGGGCACCACTTCAGTGCTGGGTTAATGTGTATACAAAGTTTCGCGAAAATATATTAAACGGTTTCTGAGTTATGGTCAGGAAACAAAGCCTACCCCCATTCAGAGCCTATGTTCAACTTATCTCCATGGAAACGAGAAAAAATAAAAATGTCAAAAATCTCTAAATAGCAAAAGGCACCACTTCAGTGCTGGGTTAATGTGTATACAAAGTTTCGCAAAAAAATATTAAACGGTTTCCGAGTTATGGTCCGGAAACCAAGCTTACCCCCATTCAGAGTCTATGTTCAACTTATCTCCATTGAAACGAGAAAAAATAAAAATGTCAAAAATCTCTAAATAGCAAAAGGCACCACTTCAGTGCTGGGTTAATGTGTATACAAAGTTTCGCGCAAAAATATTAAACGGTTTCTGAGTTATGGTCCGGAAACGGTGGGAACGCCGACGCCGACGCCGACGCCAATGCTGACGGGAACCGTGCCAAAAACAATATGCCTCCCTCCATTCTGGGGGAGACATAATTACACTTGCTTTGCCTGCATTTGTGAAAGGAGAGAGTGGTCGGTGGTCGGGTTGTAGAGTGAGTGAGTGAGTGAGTGAGTGAGTGAGTGAGTGAGTGAGTGAGTGAGTCTGTCCAACAATGCACTGCGATTTCATCTAAAAAAAATATTTGGAGATTAAATCTTCGCTAGTTGTCTTCGATAACAAAGAATTCGTAAGGGAAACTCAAGTAGAAACTAAGAAATCATAAGAAACTACAAAGTTACCTCCAGGATGAACGGCCATACTTGACACCCATTTACAGTTGGTCATGAGCTTCTTGGTGAGTTCCTGCTTCAGGAGATTGTACACTCGCACATAGCGCTGGGTCTGTCACAATATCAGAACAATACTTCACATCTTGCTGAACAATACTTCCGTTATATCACGATTAGTCCTCTCCAAGTGGGAGGAAAGCAAGGTCACTTTCAGATGCCCCCAACCAATGAACTTTCTTGTTGATCAACTTTAACTCTTAACAACTGAAACACTAACCTGTGTGTGGCCCCGCCTTGACTCGGTGTACACAGCTATTCTGTATTCTAACCCTATTTTATTCTCGTGTTAAATAGACCCACGGCCGGGACATATTCAAATGTTCATGGCCGAAAACCAATAATGTGTGAGTGACACACAGAAACTGTTTCATTGAGGGTTTTTATCAATCTCAGAGACAAATCCAGCTACAACAGGTCTGATTAATATAAGCGTGATGTAGATATGTGTTACTTACAGCTACAAACAAATATGGACGTATGGGATGGAAGGCCACTTTCTGCACGAGACCTTTAGACTTGGAGAATGGATTCTGTAACAGAAGGACATCATGATCAGACCTACTTGGTGCCTCATCAATGTGCCAAGTGCTTTACTCAGCTACAAAATACTTCCTATGAAGAATTCCTTATTATTCATTTCAGGGATCCAGAAGAACAATTAACGATTACAATTTACCAGCATCATTGCATCTGTACTGGCGAACTAATCAATCTAACATATACCTGCGACCTCCTCTTGGACAGCTGGTGTATGACATTCTGTCTCCCTAACACGTACCTGCGACCTCCTCTTGGACAGCTGATGTATGACATACTGTCTCCCTAACACGTACCTGCGACCTCCTCTTGGACAGCTGGTGTATGACATACTGTTTCCCTAACACGTACCTGCGACCTCCTCTTGGACAGCTGGTGTATGAGGACTGACATACTGTCTCCCTTACACGTACCTGCGACCTCCTCTTGGACAGCTGGTGTATGACATACTGTCTCCCTAACACGTACCTGCGACCTCCTCTTGGACAGCTGGTGTATGACATACTGTCTCCCTAACACGTACCTGCGACCTCCTCTTGGACAGCTGGTGTATGACATACTGTCTCCCTAACACGTACCTGCGACCTCCTCTTGGACAGCTGGTGTATGACATTCTGTCTCCCTAACACGTACCTGCGACCTCCTCTTGGACAGCTGATGTATGACATACTGTCTCCCTAACACGTACCTGCGACCTCCTCTTGGACAGCTGGTGTATGACATACTGTTTCCCTAACACGTACCTGCGACCTCCTCTTGGACAGCTGGTGTATGAGGACTGACATACTGTCTCCCTTACACGTACCTGCGACCTCCTCTTGGACAGCTGGTGTATGACATACTGTTTCCCTAACACGTACCTGCGACCTCCTCTTGGACAGCTGGTGTATGAGGACTGACATACTGTCTCCCTTACACGTACCTGCGACCTCCTCTTGGACAGCTGGTGTATGACATACTGTCTCCCTAACACGTACCTGCGACCTCCTCTTGGACAGCTGGTGTATGACATACTGTCTCCCTAACACGTACCTGCGACCTCCTCTTGGACAGCTGGTGTATGAGGACTGACATACTGTCTCCCTTCGGCATCACTGTGGCTAGATAGTCTCCCTTGCCATGCCACGTCACGTACGACACTTCCTGTCACCAGCACAAACAGACATTAGCCAAACAATCAACTTGATAGTGTGAAGGAGTGAGAATTGTTTTATGACACTTTTAGAAATATTCAGCAAGGACAACCAAATGTCAGCCTTTGTACTGAGAATTTAGAAGCCTTCGTGCAGATTGGCTGAAAGTTCACCTGATCTGTCCTGTGGAGGTATGGTAAAGATCTGATCTCAATAAGATTGTTGTACACTCTACCTTTGGATGTTTCATCCTGAGTCGGAAGCCGCTCTGATGTTCCTTGCCTGTACACAACTCCCACTCCACCGGCACCTTCTTCCCTGTGAAACATAGCAATCAATCAACACCTGTATCAACACCTGTATAGCAATCAATCAACACCTGTATCAACACCTGTATAGCAATCAATCAACACCTGCATGGCAATCAATCAACACCTGCAAAGCAATCAATAAACACCTGTATCAACACCTGTATAGCAATCAATCAACACCTGTATCCACACCTGTATAGCAATCAATCAACACCTGCATAGCAATCAATCAACACCTGCAAAGCAAGCAATCAACACCTGCATAGCAATCAACACCTGCATAGCAATCAATCAACACCTGCACAGCAATCAATCAACACCTCCACATCAATCAATCAACACCTGCATAGCAATCAATCAACACCTGCATAGCAATCAATCAACACCTCTACATCAATCAATCAACACCTGCACAGCAATCAATCAACACCTGCATAGCAATCAATCAACACCTGCATAGCAATCAATCAACACCTGCATAGCAATCAATCAACACCTGCATAGCAATCAATCAACACCTCCACATCAATCATTCAACACCTGCATAGCAATCAATCAACACCTGCACAGCAATCAATCAACACCTGCATAGCAATCAATCAACACTTGCATAGCAATCAATCAACACCTGCATAGCAATCAATCAACACCTGCATAGCAATCAATCAACACCTGCACAGCTATCAATCAACACCTGTATCCACACCTGTATAGCAATCAATCAACACCTGCATAGCAATCAATCAACACCTGCATAGCAATCAATCAACACCTGCATAGCAATCAATCAACACCTCCACATCAATCAATCAACACCTGCATAGCAATCAATCAACACCTGCATAGCAATCAATCAACACCTCTACATCAATCAATCAACACCTGCACAGCAATCAATCAACACCTGCACAGCAATCAATCAACACCTGCATGGCAATCAATCAACACCTGCATAGCAATCAATCAACACCTGCATAGCAATCAATCAACACCTCCACATCAATCAATCAACACCTGCATAGCAATCAATCAACACCTGCATAGCAATCAATCAACACCTGCACAGCAATCAACCAACACCTGCATAGCAATCAATCAACACCTGCACAGCAATCAATCAACACCTGCATAGCAATCAATCAACACCTGCACAGCTATCAATCAATTGCCAAAGGGAGACCAGCATAGGTTGCTGGGGACCTGTTCAACCCGCAATTCCCACAGGGAGACCAGCATAGGTTGCTGGGGACCTGTTCAACCCGACCTGTTCAACCCGCAATCCCCACAGGGAGACCAGCATAGGTTGCTGGGGACCTGTTCAACCCGCAATCCCCACAGGGAGACCAGCATAGGTTGCTGGGGACCAGTTCAACCCGCAATCCCCACAGGGAGACCAGCATAGGTTGCTGGGGACCTGTTCAACCCGCAATCCCCACAGGGAGACCAGCATAGGTTGCTGGGGACCAGTTCAACCCGCAATCCCCACAGGGAGACCAGCATAGGTTGCTGGGGACCTGTTCAACCCGCAATCCCCACAGGGAGACCAGCATAGGTTGCTGGGGACCTGTTCAACCCGCAATTCCCACAGGGAGACCAGCATAGGTTGCTGGGGACCTGTTCAACCCGCAATTCCCACAGGGAGACCAGCATAGGTTGCTGGGGACCTGTTCAACCCGCAATTCCCACAGGGAGACCAGCATAGGTTGCTGGGGACCAGTTCAACCCGCAATCCCCACAGGGAGACCAGCATAGGTTGCTGGGGACCTGTTCAACCCGCAATTCCCACAGGGAGACCAGCATAGGTTGCTGGGGACCTGTTCAACCCGCAATTCCCACAGGGAGACCAGCATAGGTTGCTGGGGACCAGTTCAACCCGCAATCCCCACAGGGAGACCAGCATAGGTTGCTGGGGACCTGTTCAACCCGCAATTCCCACAGGGAGACCAGCATAGGTTGCTGGGGACCTGTTCAACCCGCAATCCCCACAGGGAGACCAGCATAGGTTGCTGGGGACCAGTTCAACCCACAATCCCCACAGGGAGACCAGCATAGGTTGCTGGGGACCAGTTCAACCCGCAATCCCCATGGGGCTGTGTGTCAGAAGAATGTGAGAGTCCAGGCTGTTTACCTGCCGCCTCTTCCTGGGGAGGCTGGAAGGCCGCCACAACGGTGTCAGTGTTGGACACGATCAGCTTGTCTCCCAGTCCTGGGTTCACCACAACTACACTCTGCTCTCTGTAACCAAGGGTTGTGTAACCACAGTGACAAATATAACAAACAATTGTTACAAACAGACTTCTGTTAACACAGAAGGTAAGCGACTGTCGCCAAATGACTTGCGTTATCTCATAATCTAACACCATGATTTCCTGAGGTCTATGTTTGATAATTTTCAAATTATTAGCACAACTAGTGAGTATGGTATTACGCTGCCCTTATCAGCCACTAATGATTATCAAACACCTTCAGGTGGTATTGGACACTGATGATCACTGCTGCATGTAAAAACGTTCTTCGTGGGGTTTATGTGACAGTTATACAACATGTTTCCCCAAGGGGTTTATGTGACAACTATACAACATGTTCTCCGAGGGGTATATGTGACAACTATACAACATGGTCTCCGAGGGGTATATGTGACAGTTATACAACATGTTCTTCGAGGGGTATATGTGACAACTATACAACATGTTCTCCGAGGGGTATATGTGACAGTTATACAACATGTTCTCCGAGGGGTATATGTGACAACTATACAACATGTTCTTCGAGGGGTATATGTGACAGTTATACAACATGTTCTTCGAGGGGTATATGTGACAACTATACAACATGTTCTCCGAGGGGTATATGTGACAGTTATACAACATGTTTCCCCAAGGGGTTTATGTGACAACTATACAACATGTTCTCCGAGGGGTATATGTGACAACTATACAACATGGTCTCCGAGGGGTATATGTGACAGTTATACAACATGTTCTTCGAGGGGTATATGTGACAACTATACAACATGTTCTCCGAGGGGTATATGTGACAGTTATACAACATGTTCTCCGAGGGGTATATGTGACAGATATACAACATGTTCTCCAAGGGGTATATGTGACAACTATACAACATGTTCTTCGAGGGGTATATGTGACAGTTATACAACATGTTCTCCGAGGGGTATATGTGACAACTATACAACATGTTCTTCGAGGGGTTTATGTGACAGTTATACAACATGTTCTCCGAGGGGTATATGTGACAACTATACAACATGTTCTTCGAGGGGTATATGTGACAGTTATACAACATGTTCTTCGAGGGGTATATGTGACAGTTATACAACATGTTCTTCGAGGGGTATATGTGACAACTATACAACACGTTCTCTGACGGACTACTTACAGGACGACGGCGACGAGACAGAGAGCTGGGTTGGGGTTCCATGCCAGACTTTTCACTTTCTCCCCCATTTGCAACGTCTTCATACACCGGCCGGTCGCAACCTCCCACAGCCGCACCGTCTTGTCATCACAACCTGCACAGGAAGATGAAGGTGATGAAAGTCCGGGTACATACAGGGAGTTGTACCATGATACGCAGATACTGTTAAGATACATGATTTGCATGTGGGAGTATGAGTTTGTTGTATAAATATTCCAGCTGTACAGGACGATGAAGGTGATGCAAGTCTGGGTACAACACAGAGAGTTGTACCATGATACACGACTGTTAAGATTTGCATGTGGGTGCATGAGTTTGGTGTTAAACGCCTCACACAGCAATATTCTAGCGTAATGACAGCATCCTGTAAATAATCAAGTCTGTGCCAGACCATCCAGTGATTGATATTATTAGCAACAATACACACCCATGGGGCATGTTTACATGACATCAAGTCTGACCTAAGCCGGTTGTGACAGACACACGTTGTTGGGGACCAATTCTAACCGGGAAACCCAAAGAGGCCACGATTTGCAAAGGGCATTTCCTGCTACATGGAAATGTACAAAGTCCTCATTCTGCACTGATATGATCCCTACACATGTGAGCTGATACAGGGAGTGAGTGAGTGAGTTGGGTTTAACGCCGCTTTTAACAGTATTCCAGTGATATTACGGTGTGTCAGCTTAATGTGTGAGGAAAGCCCGAAGTGATGCAGGTCTTAGATGTTTACCACTTCGGTGAAACCCATGAGCACGGGTATGGTGCTGACAAACTTGGAAACATGAAGTTGAAACATAATCGGGGCGAAATGGTAGACAATGGTAGATGCAGATTCAGGTTAAAACACACAGGTAGACAATGATAGATGCAGATTTAGGTTAAAACACACAGGTAGACAATGGTAGATGCAGATTTAGGTTAAAGCACACAGGTAGACAATGGTAGAAGCAGATTTAGGTTAAAGCACACAGGTAGACAATGGTAGATGCAGATTCGGTCAAAACACACAGGTAGACAATGGTAGATGCAGATTAAGGTTAAAACACACAGGTAGACAGTGGTAGAAGCAGATTAAGGTACCCACCTGAAGCCAACCACTGACCGCTGGGCTCGACGGAGATACAGCGTACAATCCCCTCATGGCCCCTGTAGATCTACAGGAACAACAAAGACAACACATGTACACACACATTCCATACACAGCTCTTCCTAGAATAGGTGGGATGAGATACATTATTGGGCTGAACAATGACACTTAGCTTGTACAGTTTTGTGTGAGTTAATGAGTCAATAAGCAGTTTTTGAAGTCATTACTGTTGACTTATTTATTTGTAAGACTTGCCTTCAACTTGTTCAATATGTTTTGCTTTTATGGAGTGAAGAATGGGGTGCATACTTTGATTTACACAGTATGTTCAATCATTGTTTATGTTTATACCTCGATAAACACAAATAAATATCAAAGTCCATTTAGGATAAGACAGAAGTGTGCCCGATAAGCAGTGCTACAAGTGTTTACCTTCACCTCAAGAGTTTTATCATCATTCTATTTCCTCCATTTGTTCGTACGATCTCATTAAAACCAGATAAGTTCTCGCTACCACTAAACAAAGATCTGAGGACATCCTATTACGGGTCACATCATAATGACCTTTCATCCGACCTATCAGAGTGTTGCTTACCAGATCGTGAAAGTGACAGTCGGCATGTATTTTCTAATCATGCAACCTAAGATATAACACAGGGTGTTCCGAATGACAGATACAGGCTTTATGACTGAATCCATACACTCTAGGCCACCTATCAGCCATTCCTGAATGTTCAATGGTTTTCAATTTTTTAATTCAGAAATTGTCAATAAATGTTCAGTTTCAAATTCAGTTCAAATTGTACAGTTTGAAACTAGTGCCGTAAAACACGAAATAGCTGCCTTCTTATTGGCTAATGTTGACTTCTTTTCAGTCATTCCATTGGTCGGTCAAGATTCGCGAAAAGTCAGTCTGACATGATCTGTAATGGGATGTCCTCAGATCTTTGTTAGCGGTAGCAAGAAATAACATCTGATCTTCATATGATTGCCATTTGCTGCAATATCCAACTGTTCAATTTTCAGTGTGTGCCTTGCAGTGGGTGGGTGGGTGGGTGCGTGCGTGCGTGCGTGCGTGCGTGCGTGCGTGCGTGCGTGAGTGAGTGAGTGAGTTTAACATGGCTTTGAACCGTATTTCAGTTATATCTCGACAAGTCAGCTTTATGAACATGAGGGAGGAAAGTGTGTACAATACTGACAGCTGACTTCAGTCATCTACCCCCAATGACTGTACTTACCACGGACTGTGTGGTGGGGAATGGCTGCAGCTCCTTCGGTTTGGGCAGTTTGGGGATCAGATCCTCTGGGTTTACATTCATCTGGATAAAACAAATCCAGTTTTTGCAAGGATTTGGAAAAGGTACCAAGTGTCAATCACTGAACAAAACCAACAGATAGCTCCACAAATAAACACAGACCTTACCAAATACAGTTGTGGAGCATAGTATTTGTTTTACCAGTTTTTACACAAACAAAAAGTTCAGAGAGTTTTGAACATGTTGAATGAAGCTCCAAGAGACCATGAGTTAGTGAGTATGGCGCCTCCATTGCCCCTGAAGTGACCTTAAGGATTTCCTGGAAACCCCAGGAGGTAGGTGGCGCTGTAAACCAAGCTTGACAACTGGCGGTACAATCATTGATTCGGACGGTAAGGGGAAACAACTCATTGGGACACTGTCACAGTGTATTGTCATGGTTCCGAAAGGCCATGCTTCTCTCCATGGGGAATCAAACTCGGACCTTCGGCATGACGAGGGAACACTTTAACCATAAGGCTACCCAATGGCCCTTTGGATGATGGAGGAAGGCAGTGTGTAGAAGACAAGACAAGACAAGACATCAGGGCCCACTTGCACAAAGCGATCTTAGCGCTAAGACTATCTTAAGCCTATGTTAAAGTATTGTAGTTACGATCATCTTAGTGCTAAGATCGTTTAGCGCAAGTGGGCCCGGACTACTCATTCTGATTTATGTAAAAGTATGGGAGTTATGATCGTCTTAGTGCTAAGATTGTTTAATGCAAGTGGGCCCAGACTACTCACCCTGATCTATGTAAAAGTATGGGAGTTACGATCATCTTAGTGCTAAGATCATTTAATGCAAGTGGGCCCGGATTACTCACCCTGATCTATCTAAAAGTATGGGAGTTACGATCGTCTTAGTGCTAAGATCGTTTAATGCAAGTGGGCCCGGACTACTCACCCTGATCTATGTTAAAGTATGGTAGTTACGATCATCTTAGTGCTAAGATCGTTTAGCGCAAGTGGGCCCGGACTACTCATTCTGATTTATGTAAAAGTATGGTAGTTATGATCATCTTAGTGCTAAGATCGTTTAATGCAAGTGGGCCCGGACTACTCACCCTGATCTATCTAAAAGTATGGGAGTTACGATCGTCTTAGTGCTAAGATCGTTTAATGCAAGTGGGCCCAGACTACTCACCCTGATCTATGTAAATTTGGGAGTTACGATCATCTTAGTGCTAAGATCGTTTAATGCAAGTGGGCCCGGACTACTCACCCTGATTTATGTAAAAGTATGGGAGTTATGATCGTCTTAGTGCTAAGATTGTTTAATGCAAGTGGGCCCAGACTACTCACCCTGATCTATGTAAAAGTATGGGAGTTACGATCATCTTAGTGCTAAGATCGTTTAATGCAAGTGGGCCCGGATTACTCACCCTGATCTATCTAAAAGTATGGGAGTTACGATCGTCTTAGTGCTAAGATCGTTTAATGCAAGTGGGCCCGGACTACTCACCCTGATCTATGTTAAAGTATGGTAGTTACGATCATCTTAGTGCTAAGATCGTTTAGCGCAAGTGGGCCCGGACTACTCATTCTGATTTATGTAAAAGTATGGTAGTTATGATCATCTTAGTGCTAAGATCGTTTAGTGCAAGTGGGCCCGGACTACTCACCCTGATCTATGTAAAAGTATGGGAGTTACGATCGTCTTAGTGCTAAGATCGTTTAGTGCAAGTGGGCCCGGACTACTCACCCTGATCTATGTAAAAGTATGGGAGTTACGATCGTCTTAGTGCTAAGATCGTTTAGTGCAAGTGGGCCCAGACTACTCACCCTGATCTATCTAAAAGTATGGGAGTTACGATCATCTTAGTGCTAAGATCGTTTAGCGCAAGTGGGCCCGGACTACTCATTCTGATTTATGTAAAAGTATGGTAGTTATGATCATCTTAGTGCTAAGATCGTTTAGTGCAAGTGGGCCCGGACTACTCACCCTGATCTATGTAAAAGTATGGGAGTTACGATCGTCTTAGTGCTAAGATCGTTTAGTGCAAGTGGGCCCGGACTACTCACCCTGATCTATGTAAAAGTATGGGAGTTACGATCGTCTTAGTGCTAAGATCGTTTAGTGCAAGTGGGCCCAGACTACTCACCCTGATCTATCTAAAAGTATGGGAGTTACGATCATCTTAGTGCTAAGATCGTTTAGTGAAAGTGGGCCCGGACTACTCACCCTGATCTATGTTAAAGTATGGGAGTTACGATCATCTTAGTGCTAAGATCGTTTAATGAAAGTGGGCCCAGACTACTCACCCTGATCTATCTAAAAGTATGGGAGTTATGATCATCTTAGTGCTAAGATCGTTTAGTGAAAGTGGGCCCGGACTACTCACCCTGATCTATGTTAAAGTATGGTAGTTACGATCATCTTAGTGCTAAGATCGTTTAGCGCAAGTGGGCCCGGACTACTCATTCTGATTTATGTAAAAGTATGGTAGTTATGATCATCTTAGTGCTAAGATCGTTTAGTGCAAGTGGGCCCGGACTACTCACCCTGATCTATGTAAAAGTATGGGAGTTACGATCGTCTTAGTGCTAAGATCGTTTAGTGCAAGTGGGCCCGGACTACTCACCCTGATCTATCTAAAAGTATGGGAGTTACGATCATCTTAGTGCTAAGATCGTTTAGTGAAAGTGGGCCCGGACTACTCACCCTGATCTATGTTAAAGTATGGTAGTTACGATCATCTTAGTGCTAAGATCGTTTAGCGCAAGTGGGCCCGGACTACTCATTCTGATTTATGTAAAAGTATGGTAGTTATGATCATCTTAGTGCTAAGATCGTTTAGTGCAAGTGGGCCCGGACTACTCACCCTGATCTATGTAAAAGTATGGGAGTTACGATCGTCTTAGTGCTAAGATCGTTTAGTGCAAGTGGGCCCGGACTACTCACCCTGATCTATCTAAAAGTATGGGAGTTACGATCATCTTAGTGCTAAGATCGTTTAGTGAAAGTGGGCCCGGACTACTCACCCTGATCTATGTTAAAGTATGGGAGTTACGATCATCTTAGTGCTAAGATCGTTTAATGAAAGTGGGCCCAGACTACTCACCCTGATCTATCTAAAAGTATGGGAGTTACGATCATCTTAGTGCTAAGATCGTTTAATGAAAGTGGGCCCAGACTACTCACCCTGATCTATGTAAAAGTATGGGAGTTACGATCATCTTAGTGCTAAGATCGTTTAATGAAAGTGGGCCCGGACTACTCACCCTGATCTTCTTCTGGCGCGGACACAGATACAGATCAAGGCATCTCTCAAACCTCTCCTGGATGAACCTGGCAAACCCGGGGACCAGGCGCAGGGAAGAATACTTCTGTGGCAAAAACTTTAATCTTCTATCTTCAGGTTCTTGCTCTTGCCATTTCTTCTCCTGAAAATACAATAAGGTTGCTACAAAACCCACATCCTGTGAAGATTCCGGGTTACAATAGGTCTTCAGCAACCCATGCTTGTCGTAAGAGGCGACTAACAGGATCGGGTGGTCAGACTTGCTGACTTGGTTGATGCATGTCATCATATCCCAATTGCGTGGATCGATGCTCATGATGTCAACCACTGGATTATCTGGTCCAGATTCGATTATTTACAGACCGTCGTCATACAGCTTGAGTGAGTGTAGTGTGAAACAACAAACAAACAAACAAACAACAAAACCCACCCTACAACCATCTCACACAAACACGTCCCCACCTCCTCCTCGGTCAGCAGGTATTCAGAGGGGGAGTTGTATGACTGCCCCACCCATCTCACACAAACACATCCCCATCTCATCCTCCGTCAGGAGGTATTCAGAGTGAGGGTGTACCACTCCCCCCCTTTCCCCACCCACCTACACACAAACACATCCTCACCTCGTCCTCAGTCAGCAGGTATTCGGAAGGGGGGTTGTACGACTCCTCATGGCCAGGCAGGGACATCTTTGGGGCAGGGATGTGTTGTCGGTACCGCCGCGTTATCTCAGGCTGAAACAAGCATCATGCCATACAACACACAGAAGACTGCAGCTACAACGTCAAGAAGTAATACATACATTACGGACCTGAACATTCCACATTTTAGTTAACCACCCCAACCATATCTCAAACAAATCCAATCAGACCACAGATGTTCCCTTATTTCTAGTGAGTAGTATATATCTAGATGATGTTCCCTTATTTCTTGTGAGTAGCACATACAATTATGTTCCCCTTCTTCTTGTGAGTAGTTTATACAAGGGTGTGCCCTTATTTCTAGTGAGTAGTTTATACAGTTATGATGTTGGCCTACTTCTCGTCAGTAGCATATACAGTTATGATGTTGGCCTACTTCTCGTGAGTAGTATATACAAGGGTGTTCCCTTATTTCTAGCGAGTAGTTTATACAGTTATGATGTTGGCCTACTTCTCGTGAGTAGTTTATACAAGGGTGTTCCCTTATTTCTAGTGAGTAGTTTATACAGTTATGATGTTGGCCTACTTCTCGTGAGTAGTTTATACAAGGGTGTTCCCTTATTTCTAGTGAGTAGTTTATACAGTTATGATGTTGGCCTACTTCTCGTGAGTAGTATATACAAGGGTGTTCCCTTATTTCTAGTGAGTAGTTTATACAGTTACGATGTTGGCCTACTTCTCGTGAGTAGTTTATACAAGGGTGTTACCCTATTTCTAGTGAGTAGTTTATACAGTTATGATGTTGGCCTACTTCTCGTGAGTAGTATATACAAGGGTGCTCCCTTATTTCTAGTGAGTGGTTTATACAGTTATGATGTTGGCCTACTTCTCGTGAGTAGTATATACAAGGGTGTTCCCTTATTTCTAGTGAGTAGTTTATACAGTTATGATGTTGGCCTACTTCTCGTGAGTAGTATATACAAGGGTGTTCCCTTATTTCTAGTGAGTAGTTTATACAGTTATGATAGTGGCCTACGTCTCGTGAGTAGTATATACAAGGGTGTTCCCTTATTTCTAGTGAGTAGTTTATACAGTTATGATGTTGGCCTACTTCTCGTGAGTAGTATATACAAGGGTGTTCCCTTATTTCTAGTGAGTAGTTTATACAGTTATGATGTTGGCCTACTTCTCGTGAGTAGTATATACAAGGGTGTTCCCTTATTTCTAGTGAGTAGTTTATACAGTTATGATGTTGGCCTACTTCTCGTGAGTAGTTTATACAAGGGTGTTCCCTTATTTCTAGTGAGTAGTTTATACAGTTATGATGTTCCCCTTCTTCTTGTGAGTAGTTTATACAAGGGTGTTCCCTTATTTCTAGTGAGTAGTTTATACAGTTATGATGTTCCCCTTCTTCTTGTGAGTAGTATATACAAGGGTGTTCCCTTATTTCTAGTGAGTAGTTTATACAGTTATGATGTTGGCCTACTTCTCGTGAGTAGTTTATACAAGGGTGTTCCCTTATTTCTAGTGAGTAGTATATACAAGGGTGTTCCCCTACTTCTCCTGAGTAGTATATACAAGAACACTGCACCTCCTCGTCATCCTTCCAGATGTTGAAGTAAGTCGGCTGCTCTTCCTCTGGCTCTTCCTTCTCTTCCTCATCACTGTCCGGCACCTTGGGTGGCTTCATCCAGCCCATCTTGATGGCGTGCACCATCTGACCCACCTGCACATACAGCACGCACCGTAGTCATCGCAATTAGCTCACATGACATTTAATCTAATTAGATGTCTGAGTGTACATTTCTTGTAGGGCGGATGATAGGACAAGCACACAACTATCCTTGAGGAGTGTGTATATCAGGATTTCAGTTAATTAGTTCAATGAAGACTTCTGACAACCTACTTTCAACTTCTCCCACTTAGATGGTATGAAGCTTCTCTTCTGTGCTGGGTGGGCGGTTACGGGGTGGATCATCGTCTCGTTGGTGAAGTACTCGATCCAGGGCTGAAACAGGGACATCTTTTCTGTATTCTCACTTATAGCATAGGTCCACTACTAGTACAGGTACATCTCAGTGGATTGCGACTTAAATATCTTCCTACCTGTAACATGGTCTTGGATCCAATGGGATTACGACATATCTTCCTACCTGGAACATGGTCTCGGATCCCAGGGATTACGACATTTCTTCCTACCTGGAACATGGTCTCGGATCCCATGGGATTACGACATATCTTCCTACCTGGAACATGGTCTCGGATCCCATGGGATTACGACATATATCTTCCTACCTGGAACATGGTCTCGGATCCCATGGGATTACGACATATATCTTCCTACCTGGAACATTGTCTCGGATCCCATGGGATTACGACATATCTTCCTACCTGGAACATGGTCTCGGATCCCATGGGATTACGACATATCTTCCTACCTGGAACATGGTCTCGGATCCCATGGGATTACGACATATCTTCCTACCTGGAACATGGTCTCAGATCCAATGGGATTACGACATATCTTCCTACCTGGAACATGGTCTCAGATCCAATGGGATTACGACATATCTTCCTACCTGGAACATGGTCTCAGATCCCATGGGATTGCGACTCCTCTGTATGTTGTTGATCAGATCGAGATCCTCCTTGCTCAACACCACATTCTGCCCAGTCAGCTTGTTGGTGACAGTCCTCCTGGTAATGACAATGACAAATCATCAGTCTGTATTCACAACGTATTCATGTCATATTCTGGTAGTAATGGATCATAATGCCCATCGGCTCATTTTTCCTACTTTTATCAAAAGCACCAAACTGTATTCATTTGTAAGATGATTTGTGGATTCTAGGTGATCATTGATCCTCGGCAATCTATGCTTGTCGAAAGAGATGACAAAATGGATTGGGTGGTCAGACTCAGACCTTGTTGATGGAGTGGCTCAAACCTAAGATGTCAATCACTGGGTTGTCTGGTCCAGACATGATTATGTACATACCACCGTCATATAGGTGGAATATTGCTGAATGCAACATTAAACAAATAAACAAAAGGGAACAAATCACAACACAGCAAAATGTGAATTTCACATGATAAAATATCAAACAATGTCTACCATATGGAAGTAACCCCCTAAAAGTATTGTTTTTCAGTGAAACATGTCCCAGCCACTACCAGGTATCCTTCATTACAAATTGATGGAGAGGCAATCAAGGCAACACAATATCTGCCAATGGCATACACACCAGTAGTCAGGATCATCAACTTTGTTGAGGAATTCATCGAGTTCGTCTCCCTTCTTTGGCTTTATGAGGCGCCGGCCTAAGATGTCATAGCCAATGTGAGGATACTCTCGGTACCATTCCATGGGGATATTGCCCACTGTGTTGCGAATATCCTACAACAGAATGTTTCCATCAAATAAAAATCATTTTTTAAACATGTTTACGACAAGAATAGATGGTAAGAAGAGGTACAACTGCAACCAAACATCATCTGAATTTAGATCAGGAACTCATCAGCAGAACTTGTGAAAGACGAAAGCATCAGAATCACAGTTTACCATTATTTAGCAAAAGAAAGGGGGAAAGTCGTCTAAGGCACCATAATTCTTCATGGAGGGTTGCGTCCTTTGGACATGCTAGAAACCTGATAATCATGATAATGGGTTTCGAATCCTGGTTCATCCGAAAATGTTTCTAGGTTTAACAGAACCACACCCATGCTCGTGGATTACACCCAGGTTATAAACATTTCAGACTTGCATCACTTTGGGCTTTCCTCCCACCTTAAGCTTACACGCCGTGATATAGCTGAAATACTGTTAAAAGCGCCATTAAACCAAACTCACTCACTCACTACAATAGGAAGGGAATGCATTCATCTAACTGATGAGCTTAACGATATTCCTGCCTACCTCTTCATCAGATGAATCATGTTCATATTCGTCTGTCTGTGGAACTTGATCGGCAGCGGCGCTGCCTGAGGGGGTCGACTCCGTCTCATCTCTGGGGGCAACTCCTTCACCTTCGCTTCTTCCATCTGCATCCCGGTCCTCATTCTCCTCATCACTCTGAAGAAAAATATTAAGAATGTTGAATGTTTGTCTTAAAAAGGGCAACTTTCTCTCTGCAATAATGCCAGAGCATATAACATGGTGAAAAGAAGATGCAGTCAAAAATAAAAATATTTCAAATCTTTCAGATGTTCAAGGTCACGACACTTTCCACCAGTCCTTCTCTCAAACACCTACCACACACCATGACATGCTTTGTTTTTTTGTTGTTTAACGCCGCACTCAGCAATATTCCAGCTATATGACGGTGGTCTGTAAATAATCGTGTCTGGACCAGACAATCCAGAGATTCATATCATGAGCATCGATCATGGGATACGATGACATGCATCAAACAATTCAGCGAGCCGACCACCTGATCCCATTAGTCACCTGTTACATCAAGCATAATCACCTTTTAGGGCAAGCATGGGTTGCTGAAGACCTATTCTACCCCGGAATTACACCGGTCACTGACATGCAGTGATTTCGGAGAGACAAATGACATAAGCATATCAGTAATATTAGAAAATATTCATGATGACAAAATTAGATTATAAATTACAGGACATTCTTTTATCAGGGTTTCAGGTCAGTATATTTTCTACATTGTGTTCAAGGACATTGACAGACTGCCATGCTCTAAAGATATTTTTTATGAATTTGGAATAGAAGAACAACCTATCAAAACTTATAAATCATGAAAATGTTCTAAAGACCATTCTCCGACAAATGTCTCCAGCAAAGTCCATGGTGTATATCTGTCTTGTCTTGAGGGTATTTGGACAACCATCAACATAATGCCAATGTGACTATAAACATGATAAACATACCCGAACCGGCAACATTTTTGACAGACATATGATTAATTGGCCATGTTGACGAGATGTCTGTACACTCACACAGCGATGCACACAACTCACCTCATCCTCAGGCTCTTCATCTGAGGTATCCTCTTCATCCTCCAGTCCGGAGTACACACTTTCTTCAGAGTCGGTGGTATCGGAGAACCCTTCATCATCCCGTCCGTCATCAGAGGCATGTTTGTTCAGGATGTCAGCCTGAACATCCACACAGTAACGTCAGCATGGTTGGGGAAAGTGAGGCAAAGGCATGACAAGCATCAGGGACTTATCTAGGAGTTTTAACTAAGTGCCCTTGATGGACAAATTGGGAAATGTTTTTGTTATTTTGTTCAAAAATGGAGATTTTTAAAATTTCATGTTTTCTTAAATTCAGGGATATTTTGAGATTTGCATTTGATGCAATAATATAAAACCTGTTCCTATTTATTGGTCTGTTATTAGTAAATACAGGTTACTTCTACAAAGCCATAAACTAGTTATTAGTTATATACATTAATACATTGTCACATGAATTGGAAACTTTTTAGTTCCAAATTGGGAATTTCAAATGACATTTCCTGCAGACTTGGGGCCAAATATCGGCCTCTGAGCATGTGTGGATAAATTCCTGAGCATGATTAGTAGTGTGGGTCAAAGTGTGGACCAAATGCACATTCCTCTGTTCTAATATTTCTCAATTTAAAGAAACATTGCACTTCATTTGAAAACACTTTGTGTATATCTATTCTACCATGACAAACTCAAAACAAGGTAAAGAGCGCCCACAATTGGAAGGCTGTGTGTTTCAAACAGAGGTTATTATTGCCATTTGAAACCCTTGACTGACTAATCCGAATGTGGTATTTTCCCAAATTTCCCATTGTTGAATGAATATTATACACACGGTAAACATATGACAAAGTTTTGAAACAGACACAGAATGTTTCAAGCTCTGAACACGTATAACAAAATGAAAAGTGTTAAAAAAAACCAATACGCTGTCAAGCTACACATGATCAGTGTGAATCATTTATTCTTCAACATTATTGTTCCACTTCACATAACATCATCAAAGCATGCTTTAGTTTCACAGTTTAATTAATATATTTGAATCAGAAAATGAAATGGTCCTATTTTATCATCACCAACCTCATCATCACTGACATCATCGTCACCATCACCACCGACATCAGCTTCGTGCATTGAATGCCATAAGGAACAACTTATAAGATACAACTGGTACCGCGCACTTCATCATAGTGACCTTTTCTAACATAATCGATGACTGACTGTGATAAACCGGTTAAAATCAACGCTATTATATTATCGGAAATTCGTGACAAGTCAACTGCTACAGGTTCCAACATCGCTCGTATTTTATCACACTATACAGCCAGTTGCAACTACGAACCACATCGACCGAGTACAACACACCCATACCTATACCTAACGTATACAATCGCGAGTCTGAGATATACTCTTACCGAGTTGTCAGTAATTTCCTCGGTTGCAGCAACCACATGTTTTCTTTTGGTAGCCATATTCTTGAACATGTGCACGTTGTAGTCAGTACTACGGGATAAAGTCGGTAAACATTGTACCATTTCATATAAGATCTATCACCAATTGTTAATACAACATATCTGTTGTAACTATGGAAACAAAGCGATACACTTTGGTATATGTGTAAAGAATATTTTTACATTATAACTTAAATATAATCATGAAGATATTTATCAATTGTGTGTACTTACTGGGGCTACACGCGCCTCCTAAAATAAGATCCACGACAGGGGAGGTAATTCAATATTCATTGAAGCGGACGTACAATACTATAATAAACGCAGAAATTGTTTTGTTCTGGTACTACTAGTTTGTTTGTTGTTTAACGCCGCACTAAGCAACATTCCAGCTATATGACGACGGTCTGTAAATATTCGAGTCTGGACCAGACAATCCAGTGATTGATATCACGAGCATCAGGAAGAGAATTTATGGATGTCAACTTCTTTATTATTAATAGGAACACAACGTTTCGGAGTATATACTTGCGCCTTCATCACCTTATGAAGGAGTAAGTATATACTCCGAAACGTTGTGTTCCTCATAATAAAGAAGTTGACATCCATAAATTCTCTTCCTTATGTGTATCACTTCTAAATGCCTTTCAAAGACTTGACCATGAGCATCGATCTTCGCAATTGGAATACGATGACCCGAATCAACCAAGTCAGCGAGCCTGACCACCCGATCCCGTTAGTTTCCTCGTACGACAAGCATGGGTTGCTGCAGACCTATTCTAACTCAGATCTCCACGGGTCTGTTCTGGTACTAGACTGTTCACATGATACGCACACGTAGTGAAGTAACTGCACCTTTACGGGGGCGTGGACGAGATATGAAGTTAAAGTTTTAATTATGTAAATGCTTCCTTCTGACAGATTGTATCTGCAAAATAAACGAGATTATTACACGCGTGTATTTAACACAGAAATACGTTGTACAAATGTACTTATATTAAATGGGTTCAATGGATAGAGCTATAATAAGACATACGCGACCACAACAGTCGGATACTATTTTTATATAGCATGTGTGGAACTATTCCTGTTACCGTCTGTAGAATATTGCCTTTTCAACAAACGGTAGGAACTTTGAACACAAAGATAAATTCAAGGACAAACCGACAAACCGACAAACAACCAACATGCCAAACATTTGAACAAACATTCAAACATTCGCGATGCTGCGATAAGTACAAAACTGGAACTTCACGACCGTGTGGAAGGCCCGTCTATTTCGGTATCAACAAAACAATGAATGCTCGTCAATAAATGTCAGAGTAAGCTAATTTATTTTACGTGAACTAATTTTTAGCCATGTTTGTATTCCTAACCCAAACCAATTCACATAAATCAATATAAGCCTCAAAACCGCTAGGGTAAATCAAGTATACACATGGAAATTAGATTTGACCGAACAATTTCGAACGTTGTCAAAACGCTACTAATATAGGCTGGAAACAGTCGCCGACACACTGCAAACGTAAGGCCCAATATCACCCATGATACTCGATAAACTATCGAATAACTATTAATTTATTTTTTGTTTCATTTGTAGCCACTACCAAACATGGGTGTATACCTTCCCGGGTTGCGGTGGGGTAGCCTAGTGGTTAAAGCGTTCACTCGTCAGGCCGAAGACCGGGGTTCGATTCCCCATATGGGTACTATGGGTGAAGCTCATTCTGGTGTCCCCCGCCGAGATATTGCTGGAATACTGCTATAGCGGCGTAAAACTCACTCACTCACTATACCTTCTCGGCAGATCAATTGTTTCATGCCCGTCAACACTTCACATTTTGGACAGGTTGCTTGCAGGAGTACAGAAAACGATGTTGTTGCATTTTTACAATGGGGCCATACGAACTGAACATATGGCACACGAATACCTATTAAACATACATGAATATTTTGCAGGAAATATCTATACAGAGAGGTAATGAAACAATATATATTGCGAGAAAGATTCGGAATGAACGAGACACCCGACAAGAGCCAATCAAACAAGGACCTTCAATCTGTTTTTTTCTTCTGTAACATTCCAGCTCTCTTACGACTAACCTAACTGTGTATGCACACACACACACACACACACACACACACACACACACACACACACACACACACACACACACACACACACACACACTACCATGTTATTGAAGCACGAAAAGCACACACCAGCAACTGTTTGGCATGACTACCGCTTTATTCAACAGCCGTGTACCTTTACCACTTAATGTTACTCCAAAAGACCTTTACGTGACTCTTTTAAGTTGGTCATGCCAACTCCGTCTCTCTGTATAAACCGTCCAACGTCGATTATCCGCCGAAACAGATTCCTGTGGGCGTAAACATGCAAAATGTGCGCTTGGAATAAACGGAACTACTTCGAGATTGACACTCGAGTGAATGTATTCAAATTTTGTCGAACTCGCATCGTAGGATTTGAGGATGTGTGAAGTCAAACTCGGCTACGCCGACACATAAGAGAAGGGTTTATTAACTATTAAATATTTTCAAACATCTGCATACACCTTTAATATACTCTATATATGATAACGACTAACTGTAATTTAATTTCTGTTTAACGAACTAAAACTCCCCTTAAATCGTTTTAAGCAGCGGATTCAAAGTAAGAATTTCACCGTATGATGATACGGGCAATCTGTTAATAAGAACTATCAGGTTCATATGTTCTAAAATATTTGTATATATTTTCTCGACGGGTATGAACTACACTTATGAGAGAACTATGAAACACCAGCGTTCCATACAGAAAATGCATTAATCAGCATTAGCCGGGATTACAGCTGTCGCCTCTCTCCCTGATTTACGACCTCGTCAACGTGAACATGCATGACGCGGCCTCCTCACAGGATGCGGGAGAGTAGAAGTGTACGTGGGTTGATGTCTTATGTCTGAATATCCCAACTCAAACTCATCTGCATCAAATTGTTCAATACGACTTCAAGGCGAAAGTCGGGCAGCGAACTCATCCCAACAATGATGACCACAGTTTACCTACAACATGATCCTGTGAACATAGATAAAACGTGGCCGTGGTTGTGGCGCGTCAGCGTTGATAAATAGACACGACACTGTAGACCTTTGTTTTGACAGTCCGACATTTGTACATAATATCGTTTTATATATGACACTTGAACATTTATCAACAATGTTGTGTAGAGCCGGACGTGCCTACCAATTCAGTGTCATCAGCTGTAAATGCACAAATGTCAAAGGTCACATTTAACACATACCTCCGTGAAATTAATTCTAATCAATGTGTGCTACTGACTGTAAACAGTCAGACGTTGACCTCTGACCTCCAAAGAATGCGCGACCACGCCTTTGGTAGAACACCACAACAATTTCAAAAGGAGTGGAAACAAAACAGTTCTCCATATTGTTCAAAGAGGAGCCACAATGCATGCTGATGTAAGCATTACCCATAGACTAAACACACACGGGGTGGGGTCTGAGAGACTGCGTCAGTTTGTGAACGTGCACCGCACGCTCATTAATAAAACAACAGTCGATCTGTATGCTGCAGCACACTGATTATTTGTTTTCTGAGTATTCCACCAAACACCCCCACCCCCCAACACACACACACACCTCCCCAGCAAATTGAGGGCGTAGTGTTACAATTAATTTCGAAGAATGTTTCTATATTCCCACATATGTTAATATCTAATCAAGAGATGGCTTGTCAGTGACTAAACTATTATTTGGGGTGTTGACAGCCACAAATTTTTTTTTCCACAATCATAAGAAATCTCTGCTAAAAGCAGAGACCATTGTATGATTCCGACTATACCAGGATCATGTGTTTATGATGCACTATCACATAGTGATGATACCAGGTGCTCGCGAATAGGTGATCGTATCCTGCCCCACCGTTACAAAAACATGCAAAGGCAAGTCAATTGTTCCACGGAAATAAAGCACGGGAACATGTGGTACAAGTCAAACTACGTGAATCTGACACAGTTAGTCCGTCTGATACTTTGTCCGTTTTTACCGCGCTGACATCCATCTACTCTGTAATCTCTCACAGCGCAGGATATGAGTGAGTGAGGAAGTATGTTTTACGCCGCTTTTAGCAATATTCCCGAAATATGACGGCGGGGACCCCAGAAATGTCCTCCACATACCCACCGTAAGCCTTTGCTGAGGCTTTGAATGTTGTCTTGATCAGACTACTGATCTTATTTCAAACTTATGATAGGGTTTGTTTTGACCAAAAACTTACTTTCCCAAGTATAATAGGCAAGCAAGCGAAAAAAGCAACTGTTTTGTTAAAGATATAATGAGTGTCTGTAGACGAATTAGTTTAATATAAATAAATTGCAATTGATTCCAGGGAATTTGATTGGTTATTCAAGCCAAAGTGTCTGCGTTTATGCTTTCATGAACCGAAAACATTTAGGCAACGTCCACAAGCGGAATGCTGTTCCCTGACGTCACTGATGTCGTGCTGTTGTCTACAGTTTGTGTTACTGATAACAGTATCATTACTGACTTATATATTTATAAGAACGGACATCAATATGGTGTTGGCATTTCACGCGGAGTTACTCAGTTACACCGCAATAAGCGCAAACATATTGGTGTCCATTCCTGAGTGGTCTGAAGTCATACGTGAATCTAACATAATTAGTCCGTCTACTAGTTAGTCACACTAACATCCATCTACTCGGTCGTCTTTCACAGCGCCAGATATGAGTTGTGCCTATTTGTGCCCAACATGGGAAGATCAAACATGTAATTTGCTGTAGACACTGTTATTAGTAGATCTTCAGCAACCCATGCTTGTCATAAAAGGCGACTGTGCTTGTCGTAAGAGGTGACCAACGGGATCGGGTGGTCAGGCTCGCTGACTTGATTGGTGCATGTCATCGAATTCTAATTGCGTGGATTGATGTTCATGATGTCAATCACTGGATTGTCTGGTCCAAACTCGATTATAATTTACAGACCGCCGTCATATAGCTGGAATATTGCTGAGTGCGGCATTAAACAACAAATAAA